TGCCGTGCATGTGTGAGAGAGTGTGGGGTAACGGCTAGAGTTGAGCTCGTGCCGGGCTACAATGCAGGGGCATGCCTAGCTCGTGTCACGCACTCAGCTCTAATGCAGCATTCTGTGTGCGCTTGTTTTAATTAAATATTCCATTTGCCTAAACCAAAACCGAAACGCGCAGTTTGGCCTGGCGCAGCGTCTAGTCAGTGTGGGTGTGTTTGGATAGTGCATAAATTCAGAGCTGGACAGCGGTCAAATTGCTAGCACTGTTACCTGTGTTACCTGTGCATGTCCTGACATCAGCTGTAGCCACCATGCTGCATGTTTGCATTAAGGATTATGTGCGACTGCTCATGGCCGCATTTGCGGACGCACAATCACAACTGAAGTTACCAACTGCCGCACGCCCAACCCACAGCCCCCGCCTGCTTCATTAACACGTGCTTCTGCGGTCAGACAACTTTAAGGCTTAAAGTGCACCTGACAATGCTTTTTATCGTATTTTTTTACTCTACACATTTGAATTTCAATTAGCCGTAAAATAACATTTGGTGCGTTTGTCGTGAATTCATTTAAAATGCATTGCGACCAAATAATGAACCACAAACATTTTACAACTGAATAAATAATTTCCACATTAATTGCACGCATTTATTGTAAGCCCTTAATTGCGCTTATATAACAATTTACAATATTTTTTAAAATACTTTTTTCTTCGTGGTATATTTTAAACAACCCAAAAGCCAGAAGTGACCAAAAAATCAACTAATTAAAGAGGACAGCCAACTAATTACATTCGGTTATTTATTTAATCTATTATTTAATGTATTTAAATATAAATGAACTCATCTAATATGATCATTTTGGCGTTAAAATGAAATTGAAGACAATTAATTGTGTTAAAAAAACATTTGAAGCACGAATTATTCTGAATTATTTCGAAAAAGTTTTAAAAAGTTTATGTTGTATTATGTATAATAAAATAAATAATATTATATATATAAATAATATAATATATTTTTTTGTAATATATAATAAATAATATTTATAAATATTTATTATTATTTTTATAATATTTTTAAGTTTTTATTATTTATTATTTTATTATTAATACATTAATACATTTTAAAATATATTCCATTTTACTTTATTATTTATTTTGTAATATTATTTATTATTTTAGTTATTCTCAGTCTTAGGTTTTATCGCCTTGTTATTTATTCATTTGCCCTTCTTTATTATTTTCTCTCATGTATTTTGGCATTAAAAAGGTTTCTTTGAAACATTTTTAGGGCACGTCTGATTAATAAATCATTTAACTCTCAAATTCTTTCTCTCCCTCTCGCACGCGTCACTAATTTGCGTCTGTCCAATGATGCCGAAGCCATAATTAATGAAATCAAAATCCTATTACATTACAAATCATTAAAATTCAATAGAGGCGAACATAAATTTCGTGACATTTAATTTGAAAAAGCGCGCGACATAATTCACTTTACGCACAATTTTTAATGAAAATGTCAAAAGAATAGCAAAGAATGAAAATGTTGGAAAAACGAAAAACTTTTCTTGCCTCAACAATGGCAACATGCAAAGCAGCAGCAGCAGCGACCGAAGAACCTGAGAAGCTGATGATGATAATGGCGACTGGTGGCAGCCAACGGAAGCGGAAGTAATGCCAAATAAGAAAATGGCAGTAGCACCAGCAACAAAGAGAAATGGAGAAGGCGCCAACATATAATAATAATAATAATAATAATGCCATCATCAATGCCAAACAAGCAACGGAAAACTCAATCTGAAGTATCGACAAACAGGCAAATTGAAGAAGGAGAATGAGAATGGAGTGAGTGGGCGTTAGTGGGGGAATGTGAGGGCAGCAACAAATGATGGAAGATGCTTTAAATTGACAAGCAAATGCAAATAAGCCGCAACCAACAAAAAAAGAAAGAATCAAGTTGCGGCAAGTCGAAGACTAAATACACTTAAAGTGCTACAAATTTATTGCCAATCAATTGTATCTATTGCAGTCAAAGAAAACGTGAAGCTGAGACTTTTAATTAAAGATCAGCATCAAAATATGTTGAGCAACAGATTTTGCTTATATGTTCTTTAATGTATGTTATAGAAGTCAGATTGCATGCATATGTAGAGAACGACAAGCATATGAGATGCTTACTCCTCTATAAATACCAGTTTACACATAGAGCTAAGCTATCTTTATTATATAAATAAATAGCTATATACATAATTATTTATTAATATATCAATTTTAATATAAAATTTATATTTTCGATTTTATTTGCCTGTTTTGTGAGACAATTGATATGCCCTTTGGCAGGGTATAAACAGAGGGAAATAAATTAGATAAAGGCAAAAGGCAACAAACGCACAGGACTACGCACAGGACAACGCCGCGAGGCGATGCGCAGCACGCGCTGGGATTATAGCATACAAGCAGGACAAAGCTATAGCAGCAGCAGCAACAATAGCAACAACAACAATAGCCAAGCACCAAAAAAGGACAACGCGCCCTCTGGCCAAAAAAAAAATGGAAATACATCTACTCGCATTTCCTTTTGTATTGAAGCAGAAGATTTTGCTGGTTCGTTAAATATACAAAAACCGTTTTTGTTGGTGGCCAAGTCGAATGTCAATAAGTTAAGTGGGCATGGTCACGTTAAATGGCCCACCCGTCTGTGTGACTGGCATGCCAAAAGTAGCAGAAGGAACTGAACTTTGTGTGTGTGATAAATATGATTAAAACATATTTCGAGGCGCGTTGATAAATGTGCAAAGTTTTCTATTTTGGCCTGGCTTAAAGCACAGTTGGCAGCTGCCAGCTGCCAGCTGCTGGATGTATAAAGCAGATGCCGATATAAATCCAATTTAGTAGCTACCATAAAAGTGGCAGTGGCAAGGTCTATTCAACTATTTGCATGATAAAAATCTTTCATCAAGCCAAAGCCCAGAGCCAAGCCCAGCCAGAAACAATCTCAGTTACTGTCTTCGTCGCAGCTTCCCCTCGACTCCAGCCCTGATTTCTGCATAATTCGACGATTGCAGCGTGAAGCGGCGGCGGCTTTGGCCTTTGTGTGGTAAACACCTAAAGTAGTAAACTGGGATTTAAGCACACACACACACAGACACACACCTACACACAACAATTCACGCACACACACCCAAACAAACTCACCTACGTGTCTATAAAAATTTTACGTCGTTGGCAAGGACAAAAACTTTTGCCAGCTCTTTGCCAAAGGCAACAGCCAATGCTCAAGTTGTTAAGAGAACCAGGAAAGGGCGGAATGGGGAAGGATATCACCGTTATACAGGATATGCCTTTTATTGCTTGCCAACCATGGGAAATTGTCCTGCCTGCATACATACATAAATTCTCAGCTAGCGTCTGCAGCAGCAAAAACCCAATAGGGACATTACGTCCTACTACTATAAGAATCTATAGAATATGTAAAATACTTTCCAAAAAGATTAAAATTTTTGCAATTTTAATACGACAACACACAGGCCAACAAAGGAAGGTGAAGTAGAATACACACACAAACACAAACACACACACACACACATGCACACTCGCAGGAGTAGACAAAGTCTGAGAGCAAACAACAAAATTTAAAAGTTATGAGCAGGCGGGTAGGACGTTTGCAACTCTCTTTGGGTCTCTGTTTGCACTGTAATTGTTTTTCGAAAAAGTTTTATAAGCAGCTGTGTTTATTGCCAAAACTCTGGCCTTTACTGAAGATTTTCATTTTTTTTTTTGTCATATTTGAAAAATAGATAAACGATAAACGAGATACAGCTATAGAGACTCTTAAGTGAATATTTCAATTATGTTTAAAGTCGTTCAACCCAGGAAGCTGGTGAATCGGAAATAAAAAGGTTTGAGCAATTGTGATTTCAGTTAATTTCTATTGAATTTTTTGTTAGAATGTTTTAAGTCAGCCATATTTAAAAGCATAAAGTAACTAAAAAATTTTATAGTTCATTAATCTAATTCAGTTAAAAACGAAGCAGTCTTTATTGTACTTAAAAAGCCCGCTACAATTCCTAACTTAAGCAAATATCTTACAACTTTTTCAGCTTGCAATCTGCATTTAATACCTTTAATAATATACCTCTTTAATTGCTTATTTATTTCCCGCTTTCGATTTTCTGTATTTTTAGAACTGCAAATTCTTTGCTTAAATATCTCCAGATTACGTTTCCTTTCGCAATCACTTATTAGTTCCTCTTGAGAAGTTTCTCGTTTTCGATTTTCTTTGTAATTTTTAAACTCGCCTTTCCCCTAAATCATTCTTACCCTACTAAGCTCGTTGGTCACGCTTTTTCTACAGCTTGCAACTTGGCTGAACTAATAACTCAGTCAGGCGTTGTCCTGCGTTTCAAATCCGCTTAGGTTCATGAATTTTCAGCAGTAGCGTCCACTTCCGCTAGAGCATCCGCTTATTAAGCAGCCCGCGCGAGCACCTTGGCAACAGCCAGTGGGTTGCCTAGCTTATGACCAACCCAAAAAAAAAAACCAAATATATATATATATAAATTTATATATGTATATAAAGGTGGCCAAAAGAAGACGTTAGCTGGCAGCATACAAAGAAATGGAGCTGGCCTTACCCCGGCTCCTGGGCTTGGCATTTAAGATAAATGATCGCCTGCCAACAATGCGCACAAAGAAGAGTCACAAAAAGTTTGGTCACGTTCCTGCTATTTGGCGGCGCAGGCATATGCTACAATGGGGGTGGCTACCACTCTAAGGGGAAGCTGGGCGGGGCTAGAAAGTGGGGTGTGGCAACGTCTAGGTTGCATTTTACCTTGCCGCAATTTTAATATGAAGCACAAGTTTTAAAATTCAAGACACATGCAGAAGCTTAAACGTTTTAGAAATCTATTTTTCAAAATGCCAACTCCGGACAGTTGGTAAAGAGGCGGGAGCAGCGGGAGAGGCGGGCACATGTGTGCGTGCAAATTGCCAAACGTTGCGCGCATTTAATTGAAACGTCTGCATGGCCCAAGCACGGGAGGGAGGCAAGTGAAAGTATTTTTGCCAACTATGGGAACAAGCAAACATGTTTATTACTACGCTCAAAATAAGAACGATGCCAAATAAATGCTGATGGGCAGCAGCAATCCGTACAGGATATACAGCTCAATTTGCAGGACAGACATCGACTGCATCTGGTCGAGCGCCTTCTGTGCTGCCTTCAACTTGGTGCAGTGTTCGTAGAGGACCAGCGTGTGCCATATGATCGTGTGCTCGACCCACTGCACATGCTCCAACTGCTTGTAGAAATCGAAGAAGGTAAGTAGGTGCATCTGTTCGTGAATCTCGGTCAGCACTGTTTGTGGTAAATGCGTGTTCATTCTATTGATAACACTGACATCCAGCTCGGGCAACTGTAGCTCATTGAATAGCTCCTCACAAGCGACTAAAGAGTCCGGTTTTCTCATGCCCTGCAAACGTTCTAGCAGCTGACGCATCAACTGCTCCTGCTCGCTGGGCAAAACACCGCTTGAATCATCTAACAACTGCACCGCCTGGCCATAGCTACCACGACAAATTGAGGCGACAATCCCATTGGCCACTCTGCGCTGTTTGGGTGTTAGTGTGTGTGAAAAGGACATTGCCTGCAAAGGCTTAGTTATGCTCAATGGAATATGAAATCTTTTTTTTGTGGGTGCTATGCTTTTGTATTTGCATGCTTACCCCATGGATTGTGTAGGCGGAATTTTTAGGACTGTATTTCTTTCCAGTTTTTTGTATTACATATTTTTAGAATTTCAAATTTGGCAATTTTTTTCTTTAAGTCTGCTAAGTTTTACTGTGCTATGATTTAGTATAGCTTAACAATACCTGGCATTAAGCTCAGCATCTATGTTAAAAATTTCCTGTTCGACGAACTAATGATAAGAACATCTGCTGTTATGGGTACTGCTGTCAAGTTCCGCTATTGCAGTCAGACTGTTGCAATGTAATTTACTGCGCTTTGCTGTTAAGCCCGGATACCACTCTCATTATGTTTAAATGTCCCTGCTGAGCCGAAACTCAATGTTGAAAAATATCCCATATCGAATACAGAATATGCACTTCTTACATAGCTTAAGTCGCTGTTAATTTACTGCACTTTGCTGTTAAGCCCTGAAACCACTCTCATGTTAAACTATTCCAGCTGAACCGAAACTCATTGTCGAAAAATATCCCATACCGAATACAGAAAATGCACTTACATAGTTTAAGCTGCTGTTAATTTACGGCACTTTGCTGTTAAGCCCTGAAACCACTTTCATTATGTTAAACTATTCCAGCTGAGCCGAAACTCATTGTCGAAAAATATCCCATATCGACTACACAGTATGCTCTTCTTAAATACCTTAAGTCGCTGTTAAACCTTCTACTGTTAAGCCCGGCACTCATTATGTTAAAATTTCCCAACGGCTGCTTGCATTAAAGGTTTTTGTTCCCCACATTGTTATTATTACCATTCCTTGTATATATTTTTTTTCCATATCAACTACTTTGCTAAAGTTGAAAACGTGCCCCAAACTTGACATTGCCATGCAGCTTGATGAGGGCAGGCGCGACTGCCTCCCGGCTACAGGGCCCATAAATCGAGCCACATATGGACGACATTACAAGTGGCTGCCGTCTGTGCGCCCAATTCAAATGGAAATCAAAGTGGGCGTTCATGAGTTAAACACTCCAGCAACAGCGTGGGGCGGCCAGGTCCTATGCAGGTCCTGCCAGGAAGTTGAAATGTGACAAAGTCGCTGGCAATGCGCGCACTTGTGGTTTACGACCTAAGCTTCAGCTCTTTTTTGCCCAGACTCAAGTGTGGCCAGAGGGTGGGCTATAAAATGGCGCAACGTTTCCGCTTTTGACTGCCACATTGCTCAAAAATTTATTATTCTCATCTAGATGAGTTCATTATTTTGCAGCATGTTCCATATGGCATGTGGAATGCGAGATGTGGAATGTAAACTGTAGCAAGTAGAGTGAATGTCGAATGCGAGAACAATTTAATTTTATTGTTTTGCACATAAATTTTTCGGTTTGCCATACGCCAGAATTATGCATTGTTTTTGCACATTGGCAGAAAGAGAAAAGCGAAATACAGACAACTATTTTCCTGCACACCGACCAATAAATGCCCTTACAGGTATAATTCGCAAACTTTATGACAATAAATTATTTCTTACTTGTAATTTAATGAAGCCAATTTTCGTACAGTGTAAAAGCACAGCACACATAAAAAACAATGAATCAAGCATATTTCACTTAGTTTTACATATCTCAGCAAGCTGAGTGGGAAAACCAATTCATAAACTCACGCGACGCATTGTAAACACACCTTGTGCTATATATTTTAACTAATTCTGATTTTAAACTATTTTCGATACACGCGGCGCAGATTCGACCGATCAAAACGAACGACGCGCCCGTACTAAATAGCTTAATTTAGTACGCTCTCAGCTGCACACGCAACTCAGATAATGGGATAAAAAGTATTTGCAACCAATAGGATCCATTTGCTTGACTTCTCCCTGCTCTAGCATTCGCATTACGTGCTCCCTGGTGTTGGTGCTCCAAACATATAACGGGATCAAATGAGTGAGGAGTAAATGATAAAAGAAGAGATTCACAATTTGCATTAGCTGTGAGGGCGCTCTATCTCTGCTTTTCTCTTTGCATTTATCCCTTATGCGTTCGACATTTATCACGGCATCTAACGGGATCAAAAGTGTGAGGAGTAAATGTTGAACGAAGAGATTCACAACTTGCTTTAGCTGTGAGGGCTCTCTATATCTGCATTTCTCATTGCATTGATCAGTGGATTCGCTTATGAGTTCCACATTTTATGATACAGTTAAAATGCTCGCTGCAAGTGTATTCAAGGGAAATTCCTATAAAAATCTGAGACACACACATATGTGTGAGTGGGTGGGTGGCATAAACAGTTGCCTGCTGGCCCTATAATTGAGTCACGTTTGGCCGGGGCTTAAAGGCGTCTCTGTAAAATATTCAGATTTATGCCGCGTATTGGAAACATGTATATCTAAATATGTGTACGGGTATATCTATATAAACAAATTGTTGTGCGAGTGTGTGATGTGATTTATGTAAGCAATATTCCTGATTGCATATTAGCAAAGTCTGCGATTTGAACATTCAATATTTTATGGCGCTTGTACGCAGAGTAGACAGAAAGCGAATCTGTTGAAAATTTGAGTTATTATTTATCTTTATATCAAGCTAAGTCTGGGAGTCATTTGATATACTCGTTGCAAGACTTGAACCCTTAACTGCGTTTACTTGTTTTTCTGTCCAGTTTAACTGAAACCCGATTAGAAAATCCAGCCACGCCCACTTCAGTGCATATCACAGCAAACGTTAAGACCACAAATAAACCTATTTTGTACGTTGTTATTAAAGTAATATGGACAAACGCTCTGACTGCCATTTCTGGCTACGTGTTTATAATGCCAATCCAAGTTTCGACAACCCCCTCAGAGACGCACACACTCACACGACCATCAATAAACAGAAACTAATACACGGACAGGAATCAAAATGCGTGCTGGCACCCCAAAAAAATAATGTTCCAATGCAGAGCTCCAGAATAGGAAAAAAATTTAATTTATCTGTATCAGTTGCACGTGGAAGCAACTGAAAGTCAGAGCTGACAGCCGGCAGAAGCAGGATTAGGCAGGAGGAGAGCCGTGGCAGGAGGAGCTGCAGTGCCGAATGCCGACACAGCTGGAGGAACACATGTTTCAACAAATTCATCTGCCATGTCACAATGCGCAACGGTATGCAGAATTTTTGGGGGCGGGCCACCCCAATGTTATTGACATGGATATGGATATGGTTTAGAGGGGGGTGCTAGGGCGCTAGTTTCTGTTTTGGCCCGGCTGCACGTGACAAGACTCAACGAAAAGTGAAACTTTCTGTGCAAATATTTTCAAGGCAAACAGCTTGCACTTAAAGTCAGCCATGGCCTCCCATTTGCTCCACTTCGCCTCCCTTGCCAGACTGTCCCTTTAAGCTGTTTGTGTCATTAATCAAATGGTGCCCAATAGCGCGTCAGCGGCTGCCAACCCTTTCAACCCCCTTGACTGATAACTTTGCCTTTTGATACCCTGTGTTAAAGGGCTGCTGCTTAAAGGGGGGTTCAGTCAGCTGTGAATATGATATCGAGACTGAAGATTGGCTATAAGAGTTATTCAGTAACATTCAAAAGAACTGGTTCATTGAAGTAAATGAACTTGTGAGTTGAGAGAGAGAGCAAAGAAGAAAGAATGAGAATGACTCAGAGAAAAGAAGATTACGAGAGGGACAGGAGCAGAAAGAGAGAGTTGACACACTAGCAAATACCCTGCACTCTACTAAAACATCCGCTCGTCTGTCTTTTCCTACAGGGTATCTACCAGTCCAGCAACAATCTCTCTGCCTAGCTGTTGCCTCAGTTTCCGGTTGTTAGAAACCTATTTTTGAAATATGAACTTTTTGAGTTCTTCTTCCTTCTGCTGACGAATGCCGACAGTCATTAATAAATTAGGGGTTAAAACATCGGTGGGGGTGGCTTGAGCTTGGGTGGTTTGGCGGTGCTGAAAAGTTGTTTATTTAATTGAAAGTGAAACGAGGGCAGCAGATTTGTTTAACTCAATTAAATAGGAGTCGAAAACGTAGGCGGGCAACTGTCGAGCTTACGATCCGGCCAGTTGCTGTCAAGTCGAGTTAAGTTAAATTCAATATACAGTTATAGTTACCGTTTGTAAATATGAATAAAATTGTTAGCTATTGGTATAAAGGTAACACGTGTCAAGCGGCGGGCTTGATTAGTCCAGAGGAGAGCGAAATACTGACCTCCAGCTATGACTATGATTCTATTGATGTGGAGGAGCCAGATCTGGACACGCCCTACGAGCAGCTGGAGAAGATTAAAACCCGTCTAAAGGAACTGCGAGACCAGCTGATCTACACACCGCCCGATCCTTGCGAGCTGGACGGCGCCAGCCTCTCCCCCAAAGAGGACACTTGCTTCCTCACCGTGAGGCAACTGCAACTGCAGCAGCTGCGTCGCAGCAACTGCCTGCTGCGCTGCCAGCTGCAGAGTCGCATGCAGCACTTGCACAGGGCACGCAAGCAGCTGCTACTGGTCCAGGACATGCGCTGCCAGCTGAGCAGCCAGCTGGAGAAGATGATCGCCGAGATAAACGTGTTGGAGGAGTTCAAAGTCTCGGCCCAGCATCAGTTCGGGCTCTGCATCGAACGAAATGAGCAGATCAAGACGAGCAAAATCGATCGACAGGAATTCAGTGAGAGGATACACGATATGTATTTCCGCAGAGTGGGCTCCATGCGCGCGCTGGTGCCCCTCGATTGCCATATGGAACTACGCTACACCCTGAACATCGAGCTCATACTCGTCCGCATATTTCTGAATGATGTCTTCGCCAATTTGACTGAGGAGTTTAAGTTATACAGTCAGAGTATAAGGTGAGTGTTAATGTATATAATATATATAGCTTTATAGAAACATCCAATACATAGAAGCCTAGCAACATAGAGATACGTGAACGCATTCATACTGCTTTTCTCTGCATTCCTTAGTAACTACAATTTGCTACTACTCTTTACTCTTGCTATTTACTACTATTGAGTCATAGACCTATACTATATGCCTACTATCTCTACTCTTTACTACTATTAAACTCTGTTTTCTGCTATTTAATAATTTATACTACTTTTTAGTACTATATACGGCTTTTTGCTAAAATATACTACTTTTTAGTACTATATACTACTATTTACAATATACTACTTTTTAGTACCATAAACTATTTACAACTTTATACTACACTTTACTACTTTTTAATACATATATATAAATATATAATATATACTTCCATTTACGACTACATACTACCTTTTTCTACTTTTTAGTACCATATACTACTATTTACTACTATATACTACATTTTGCTACTTTTTAGTAATATAAACCATAGACTACTCTGCTGCCTTTTAATACTATATACTACTATTTACTACAGTATACTACTTTTTAGTACCATATACTATTTTTTGCTACCTTTGAGTACTATATACTACTTTTTACTACTGCATACTATATTATACTACTATATACTACTTTCTACTTCATTTCAGTACTATATACTGCAATTTACTACTATTTCTATTATTACTACAGCTTATCCTCAATTTGTTTCTATTTTCAGAAATTGTTGTTTTGGAAAAATTATCAAACGCAAGAAAGATATAAACAAATGTGCAAAGTTGAAGAATAAAACGCTCTGACCCGAGTTTCGTTCATTAATTGCTTCACATTTTTGTTTTTCCTTTTCATTTTCATTTTCATTTGCGTTTTATTGGCAGACTTTTTGGCGCTCGGTTCTAATTGCTTTTGAAATGTCGCTCAATTAAGATTATTGGCGCTTGGCGGCTTTTATGGCACTTGTGTGGGCTGCTCTACGTCTCCCTCGCCCACTCCTGCTCTCGCGTAATAATTATAAAATTTCAACAGAAATTGGCTCAGAAATTGCTTCAGATTAATGGCGTTAAAGTTACAATATCATAGCAGCAATCCCGCTCGCCCTGGCTCGCCTCTACCCTCACACATCCTGCCGCTCGCCACATTCTAATCCTGCCACACAAATGTACGCATTCCCACCAGGATAAGAAGCTGCAGCTAAATACGAAATGGCATCAGATAAAAACAAAGCAGATTTGTCTCCCACACACAACAGCGAAAAACCCTGAAAAATCAAAAAAAAAAACAAAAAAAAAAGAAACGAAAATGGAGCTCTTGACAGCCCGCAGCTAAGCCAAAGGCAAGCCAACACATTGACATTGGGCTCCACATCTTCCAGCTACTCCCACTCCTTGTCCACTTTGTCCATAGCCTTGTCGAACTGCGTAAAAACTCAATTGCCGCGCACTGCCAGACAGGCACCAAAAGGCACAAACTATGCGTTGAGATCGAGTCTGTTGCTCTCTCCCTCTCTCTCTCTCTCTCTATCCCTTTTTTGAGCTCTATATATAGTCGGGGCTAAGGCTACATTGGGTTAAATGCGCCTCAGTCCTGGTGAGAGATAGCGCCAAACGGCTAAAGCGAATTTATTGGAGTCATGTCCTGATAAGCATTCGCTTCAATTCCATGCCAAATTACAATGTTACATGCCCGAAAAGCGATTAACGGCGGTTCAGCGCACTGCGAATACTCTTTCAAATATAGTTGACTGTAGAGTGAAAGTTTATAGTTTGATTTTATAAAATAAATTTACAAAATATTGAACTAGTTGACATAAAGTAAAATTTTGATTATAATAAAATGTTGAAAGGTAAGTAGCTCGAGGTCAACGTTCGATATGATCTCAAGTCTCCATAGCTAAATATTGAATTTTCTTTTATTTATTTAGTTACGTTTTCCTTGTCAAGTCTAACTAGAGCATCTTCGTTGGCTGCTCCTATTTGTTGCAGGGTATACAAAACATAGATAGACACATCGAGATACAGGCAACGTAACAACACATCAGACTACATGGCTGATACACAGGAAACGCATTAGATACTTTTAGGTACACAGACTAGAGCTGGCTGGGCATGTGTTGACTGGGCTAGACCTGGACACTGGACCCTGGACCCTGGTCCCTGGTTAACTGTGGCGGCTGCTGCTGCTGTTGTTGGCTGTGCGATAAAAATCTGCGTAAAATGATGCGGCAATTTGATGAGCAACTAACTTCAGGCAATTAGTTTGGTCGAAACGCAGCTACAGTTGGAGTTAGAAGTTGGTAATTGGGAATTAGAAGTTTGTCGTGCGTGTTTAACTGTTGCGCTACTCAATAAAGGGGGGCAATTGTTATTGGAACGGGAATTGTTAGTAGTAAGCCTAATGGCATTTAGTGTTAATGTGTTTAGCAACTGTTTCAAGGTTCGCTTGATTTATGTGCAGACATAAGGAAGAAACTTTAAAGATAGGCTGCACACAGGTTTGCCTTATGCACGAATCGAAGACAAACTCCATCCACAAATGGCAAAAGAGCCCAAAGAAAAGTCTTTGACAGTAGCCACATTCAGTGGAGAATGGGAGTTTGTGTATGCCTTTCAGCTATTTTTATGCTGTTTAGCAGGCGAACTCAAAGATACATTACAAGTGCTCAAGTTCTCTGACATGCGTGTGTGTGAGTAGCCGCAAGAGTACAAATAATTTCCATTTGGCCAACATTTGCATTTATCTTCAGCTCCACATAGACAAACATGCCCACCGCCAGCTGCACAAGTATGTGTGCGAAGAAAGAGAGCGAGAGCGGGAGAACGCGGCAGAGAGCGGGAGATATGTCTACTTATAAATACTTTGACGACTGGCGCAAGTTGTAGATAAATATGGCATAGATTACATAACTAGTTCTTGCAGCCAAACAAAAGTTTGCCTACCCACCCTACCGCGCTGCCTCTCGTTCTAAATATACAGCTATTTTCCTTGGCGCTTTTCTGTGCCTGTGCACAGTTATTCATGATTCTGTTCTTGAACTTTGTCCAGCCACCTTTTTTAGGGCATTTGACGAGCACATCTCGCATGGCGCCGTGGCTTAGTTGGTTAAAGCGCCTGTCTAGTAAACAGGAGATCGTGAGTTCGAATCTCGCCGGGGCCTTCGAAACGAACTGTGTGTGCAACAGTTGAATTTTTTTCAAAAGAAAATATTTTTCAATTAGAAAATTCAACAGCATCTGCTTGCCGGTTGCCATTTGCCATTGACATTTATTGTTGTTTCCGTTTTCCGTCCGTACGTGTGTTGCCATAACTGTTGTTATTGTTGTTTGCCATTAACATGGCTACAATTGCCTCAATAATTGTTTCCATTATCGTTAAAATCAGCCATGGCACTTGCTGCTGCAAACAAAAAATAGCCATAAAAGTTTGCAGTGCTGAAAAAAAGCTTAAATGTAAAAAAGCTTTTCTTTATTTAGCTTTTTCTAACAGCGACACGGCTGATAAGCCGAACTATATGTTATATGTAAGGCATTTACTTTTTATAATCAAATAAATATAGTGCGAAAAGATAAGGTAATTGTTACAATATACCCTATAAAATGAGTGTTCTTGGGAAAATTTAAAAAAATGTAAATTTCAAATGACATAATCCATTTAAACTTGATTTTTGTTCTACATATAATTTTATATCCAACAATTTCTTAAAACAATGTTTGATTTATAACTTAATCCAATATATTTATTGTAAATAAATTAATTTTTTATATTAACTAATATCACCTTTAAGTTCAGAATAAACATAATTCAGTTTCTACTAGTCTAAATATAAATAACTGAAAACAAAACCACATAAAAAATTTGCTATCTATAAATAAATTTTCAGTTTTTATTCATTCTTTTTATAATAATTATACCAATATATATGCTACATTTTCGATTTATATTTAAAAAAAATTAAATTGTTTGAATAACGATGTTATTTTTAATATTTAAAATTCAATTTTAATTTAGTTTCATAACAAAATCAGAACTTCAAGATATGATATGCACACATCCATCATACATACATATACCTCTATATAGATCTATCTCTCTTTCTCTCTCTCTAACTCACATTTCCATCAATATATATTATCTTGTTGTTTTCCTATATCTCTCACGGAACGAACATGTGAACAAATATTAATTTAAACAATGGACTTTTGAAGTCGACTGCTATAAATAGAAACCGAATGCAGATAAGTGCTCTTAAGCTCTCTATATTTACCAATGAAACCAGAAGGGCGCCGTGGCTTAGTTGGTTAAAGCGCCTGTCTAGTAAACAGGAGATCGTGAGTTCGAATCTCGCCGGGGCCTTCAGTAGATGAAATGAATCTACTTCAATTTTTTTTAATTAATTTTTTTATTTTTCAATTTCATATTTTTCTAAAATTTTGACTACATGCTAAATCGGTCTAATGTCTCTAAAACAGTCCTCAACTTCATTTAATTCTCAATTGGTTTGTGCACTGGCTAAAGCTTTTTGAATTTTCGCTTTTAGAACTTTCACTGGCATTTAGTCCTGATAGACTAGATACAAGACAGCAATCATGAAGTAGGTGGGTCGCTCGTAAACCAGTTGCGTAAAATTATCCCGCTTCTCATCCATCAGATGGCACATACGCTGATAGATGCCCTGATTCTGTTTCTCCACAATCGACAGCAGGCACACAATGCGATGGCTGTGTAAGGTATTTGTATAGATTTCAGTTTTAATGGGTTCAACTGGGTTGCCGATTTGTGGTTTATAGTTTTTGCAATACTCACCGTCTGTGGTTTAGCTTCTTGACCCGATCCCGTATCTCAGCGGCGAGACTCTCGACCAGCTGCAGCGCACGCCACGAATCGAAGTTGCGACTGAATCGATCCCACAGCAAACGCTCCTCAATGCAATCCTCAATAATTTTATGGGCACGTTCCATATTGAAATTGGTGTGAAAGAATTTCCAATCATTTTTGGGCTTCTCCTTACGCTCGCCGCCCTCGCCACCTCCACCGCCAGCCCCACCGCCTTCGCTTTGGTCGGCGCTCTGCAGCGCTCGCCGTCGACTCAACATGGACTCGGAGAGCAGCGCATTCATTCGATTGGTGGTCCGCACCGAGGCGGTGATGCTGCAGGGGAAAATGGAAAGCTAAAGGCGTTAATTAAAGCACAGCCACAGCGAGCACATACCGCGTCTTCATTGCGCTCCAGGTGGACATGGCCGTAGTGCCAGACATAACTATATATATATATATATATATTATATTATTAACAAAAGATACTGGCTAAGGTTAAACAAATTCCATGCACTGCTATCTGCACACTGACAGCCACAATGACGATGACGATGTCTCGGCACTGACATGCCGACACGCCGAGCACATCAGGCTGTCGTCCCCCCTGCTGGCAGCGCCATATCCATATAGTCGGATCGGAATTTTGTTGGTTTTGGAGGCGAACTCTTCCGGCTTGCGTGCCGCTTATCATAAAGTCAAAGGCAGCGCTCCAATTGCAATTGGCGATGTGGGTGTCATCACCATGCAGAGGAGGCAACACACATTCAAAGTGTTGCCCCATACAACCCGCTCTCTCGCTGTCTCCCTCTCTCCACCTGGTCTCTGAGCCCAGTGTTGGGGTCGGGCAAATTACTTGAGCTCTGAGCTATGAACACGCGAAGCCTTTCGAGTTGATGACTTTTGATCGGTTTTGGTCTGGAACCACCTTTAGCGAGGTGGCGCATCCGGCTGTTCGAAATCGCGGCTATTGTGCGGTTTACGGGCAAAGTTCAAGTACTTTGATTGCATTTACGACACTTGGCGAAACAGCGATGCCCCACGAATCCAACATAAAATTCGTATAAATATCGCTGCCATAGCGTATTCAAAGTTCGTGCTGCTGTTAACTGATAGTTATTACTCTATATGCCATTCACACACACATTATATATTTATATATATATAATTTATATATTTACAATTTATGTACTTATTAAATTGATAAGACCCACAGCAATATTTGCAATTCGAACGAATGCGCTCTGATTGTATTGGGGTAGTGCATGGGTAATGCATGCCGGTTTATTTACAGTGCTGGGCAGCCGAATAGAACAGGTGCACCATGATTTGATTGATCTAATAAAGTATCAAATTCAGAAAAGTTCTAATGAATCTATCACTCATTATTAATAGTACTAAAATAGTATTATTTATTATCTGCTTAATTAATCGACATTTCCTTTGATTGTTTGGATAATATATAAATATATGAATAAATAAATAAATAAATAAATAAATAAATAAATAAATAAATAAATAAAGGCTTTTCCTTTATGTCTTCTATTACCTGTCAGTTGAGTTGAGAGAGAGAGATAGAGAGCATTAGAGAAATAGTTATAAGCACTACTTTTTCTCTAATGCTCTCTCTCTCTCTCTCTCTCTCTCTCTCTTTCACGTGTATTGTGGTCTTTCTAAAGTATTATCCTTATTATTCGCTGTCAGACTCTCTCTCTTCCCTTTTCGCTCTCAATCTCTTTACATATCTCTCTCTGTCACACCAACTCTCTGTCGAGTGGTTTCTTTCGCCCTCTTTGTGCCGCTCTTTCTCATATCTGTCAATCTGCCCCACTGGCTTTACCTTTTTCTCCACACCTGTTTCTCCTTCTCTGCATATCTCTCTCCTACTCTCGCTCTCTCTCTCCTCTCACACTCGCTCTATTATGTTCCCTCTCATTCTTTCTCTTCTTCAAGTTCATCATGACTCTCTTCCAGCATTTCCTCAACAACTATCCCATCCGAATTATAGTTAGCTTTTTCAATTTGAACGCTTAAAGATTTCAGAGCAGATACGAAAATTGAAGGAAGTTGCCGCATCACCAGCAGCAATAAATCTTTTATTACTTAAGCAATAAAATGTAAATGTGTCTGTGTGTGTGTGTGTGGGATAACTAAATATAATAGAGCAGTCGAACCACATTCACATGTGCGGCAATAGTTGTTAAGGGCGAAGTTTCACTGTAATGTCTGCCACGGGGCAGTTACCTGGGTTTACTAATTGCCGAGCACAAAGTTTACGACACGTGAATATGTGCCAAAATTAAGGAGCGACGGTGGCAACAAATTAACCAATTTCGTTGCTGCCACCCGCACACAAGGCCAAACACGAAGCGCAAATGTTGACGACTTTTATTTGCATATAAACTTACGCTTGCATGCGACTCATGAGGCGCCTCCAATTATGCTACGCTTTGCACTGCCTGACGAACTGACTAACTGGCTAATAGATGGGCCGGCTGACTGGCTGACTGACTGTTAGCCGAATTATATTTTTGGCAAAACTGCACGTGAGCTCGTCTCAAAAGTGACTGGCTTCTAACTACGCTAAACATAAAAGCGCAAAGCCAAACCCCAAAAATGAAAACAAAAATAAGTAAGAGTGTCCCAAATGGACTTGCACGACTAGCAGACACCCCTCACAAAAGGCTGAGCTGCGCTTGCAAGCTGAATTTATGGGCTACTTTGGAATTGTGAAGACTCCAACTTGTGAGCTATGCTTAAGTAACTGAAACTTGATATCGATTTAAACGCAAAAAGTTATCGATCATTTGTGTGTAGGACTTAGCTTCCTGAATTGATAGACCTCTGCAAGTCTCTTGATCTAATAAGTGCCAATATGAACGACGTTAGAGATGCGATAGAATCCAATCAAATCGAATACAATCAATCAATCAATCTCACTCACGACTAAATATTCTATATAATATCAGCTATGCCTTCATCTATCTGCTACATACGCCCAACAACACCATAATATACCCTTTGAAGATGGACAGTTAGGGTATGCAAAAAAACTAAAGTCAAGGCAGCGCGCACTCACTTGCTCTAACGGTAAGCCAAGGTGTTTGCTACCCTTGCTTAGAAAGGGTTAGGGAATGCCAGCAGCAGCAGAGAGTGGAGCTGGGGGAGTAGTTACAGCTAACCCCACCTGCCCCTACAGATGGTATCTTCAATCGTTTCTAGCTTGGATTTCAGTGGCATGTCTAAGGACAACTCAGACTATTTTATAGAGCGGTTCATATGTGTGTCTGAGTGTATTTGTGTGTGCGTTGTCTAAATTCTATTTATTTTGAGTAATTTAGTTTATATTTGTTGTATGCATGTGCTACACACACACACACAGTTAGCTGTGTGGCAATTAAAAACTTAGGTTACAAACTGTCGACACAGCTGCATGCAGAACCGTTTACTTTGACAGGTGTGTATGTGTGTGTGTGTGTGTGTATGTGATCGCGTGCCTGAATTCGCGTTGAACATATCCACTTAAGAATTGCATTTAAAAATCCACAAAAATCAAGGCTCTGCATGTGTGCACCGTTTAGCTGTGTTAGCCAAAAGTTTTGAATTTGACACATGCTTAGAGCACAAAATATGATATATGGGTTACAATATAATAGATAGAAGTGGGTTGCCAGGGTAAAGAAAATTTAGTAGATAAAAATAGGTTAAAGCTAATTTGAGTAGCCAAATAAATGAAAGTTTTTAAATTTACTTTACAAATATTACTATAAATTTCTATATGATTAAACTCTCTGAACATGCTGAAAGGTTCTTGCAGCTATAAATGAAATCTTTTCTATGAAGCTCCTAAAGACTATGACAGTTTAAATGGCTTCATCATATACATTTTATAAAATAGTCGAACTAGCTCAACAAATTTGCAGCTCAAAATCATAAAAATTTTAAAAATTTTGATATATTTTATAAACTTTCAACAAGCTATTAACAGCCAAAAAAATCGAGTCTCTGTATTATAATCTCAGCGGCGAGTCTCTGTATGGTATATAGAATTTTGTTCTTAAATAAATTATAACTGCAAACTTATAACATTCATAAAATACGATATTTATGAGCTCCCAAATAATAAAACCTAATAAATCAAAATTAAAAATAAAAATAAAATAAATAAAATATTATAATATTATCATTTGACTTTTATGTTTCTTAAAACCCACACGAATTTACCTTTGTTCTAGCACTTTATATTTTTAAATTTATATGTTATTAATTAACGTAGTGTTTAATGAGCAGCCTCAGTTGATGCATCTTGCCTCACATATTATATTTATATACAAGTTTCATTCAAATTTACAATTTATTTATATGTTAATTTCAATTACTTTATTAATTTGCTAACTATCTCCTCTATATCGCCAATCAGCTGTGATTTCCATCTAAAGAACAATGTCTAACAAAGTCAAGTTGAAGTGTTTTGTTATTGATATTTATATAATATAATTTAGATATATATATATATATATATATATATATATATAGAATCGGTTTTTCTAGCTGATAGACTTTGTTTCAAAACGTGTATTCTGATCCAATATAAGATCATTTATCTTTATCTGGTCAAGACTTAGTGCATATAAACAAATAAGCCAGCCAAAAAATAATAACAAATAAATAATTATTTAGCTTAATTAAAATACTTTATTAGTTTCTACTCAAACTCCTGGAACATTTTTGAAGTATAAAATTATGCAAATGGAACATATTTAGGAACTCGCCTAATATCTGGAACGACGTTGCTCGTTGTTGAAGTGAATGCCCAAAATCGTGGCACACACAAAGGCAGCGGCCTGAAAAAATGGAAAGATAGTTAAGGTTGAGTCAATAGAGTGAATATATACATATATTCATAGAGATAAGTGCACATACCTCAACGGCTATCAAAATCCAGCCAAATACCCTAACCAATTTAATGGCCTGCTCGTAGAAATCGATCAATTTGTTTAAGCAGCCATCGGGGTAAACTGTGTGGGTAGACGTAGTAGTGGTGCTATTTGTTACATAACAGCTGGTCGGCAGTGTTAGATTCGATTTGGTATAGTCAATGGGACCAGATATGCCGCAACATTTGAACTGTTAAAGAGAAATATACGATTAGAAATATGTCTAAGAATATCAGAAACTCAAGAAAATTTGCTCAGATATTTATATGAATAATGTTAGAAAAATTCTAATGTATTTATAGATAAATATTTAAAAATATTTTATCAATAGCACAATAAAAAAAAAGTCTAAGAAAAATTCTAGGAATCATATTATAACTATTAATATATATTATTGGAAAAAAATCTCGCATTCTAGCTTCTAAAATAATAAAAAAATGTGTTTATAAATGAAGAAAAATATAAAAAAAAAACTCTAAAAAAATGCATAAAAAACCAAAAGAAAATTCTAACTAAAAATATATATTTACTAAAAATAAGTATACCAAAAATAGCAATATATCTACACATTTTCTACCTATTCTAGTAATTATACAAATTCTAATTTATCTAAAAAAGTAAGTTCTAAAATCGTTTAAATTATCTAAAACTTACCGTCGTCTGATAGATGGCCATGGCATCCGTGCCATTCTGCTGCTTGCTCCAGGCAGTATTCAATAGTTCATGCGCGATCTGCGATTCATCAATATTCCTCACATAGGCAAAGCACAGCACGGCGGACAACACCAAGATGATCAGCATAATAATTGAATACTACAAAGCCAAATATAGAGCTTAAAGTCAAAATATGTAAAGATATATTTATATGCATTTAGTTACCATCCAGGTGAGGCATGTGTTTTGCTTGATGGCGCCACAGCAGCCAAAGAATGAGATCAGAAAGACAATCGAACCGATCACAATGAAGAATATAACAATGGGGCGTGTCTCCTCTGCAACATCTTTAAGGGCAATCGAGTTAACCACAACAACGGTAATGCCCAAAATCTGAAAAAAAACTCAATTAAGTTCAAGTTGAGGAAATCGGTTATGAAATAACACTTTGTTCCATTTAGATAGTAGTATGTGTCAGACAGGTAAACAGCTTTGGAAATTATTTAATTTTTTCCACTGTGCCGCACCCAGGTGTCTATCTATATGTGCATAAATACAATGTACACTCACAGCCCATACATCATATGTGTATATGCCACTGATAACAAAAAATTGGCTGAACTTTGATGCTGACTAACTGCGTTTCAGTTCGAATTAATTACAATTAGCTTTTTTGTTTTCCATTGTTTTTTTCTTCATTTTCATTTGTTACTCACCGCGCAGAGAGCATTGAATATGAAAACAAGATATTTGATCAATGCCGTTGCACAACCCATTTTGCTATTGTTCTATGTTATAGTGTTATAAACGACTGTATCGAAAATCGATGCACCTCTGTCGCTGACGGCTTTTTTAGACTGAATTACTAAAAAACTGCCGAGTGCCGCTTCACCGTCAGTTAGTTGCGATAATAATTGTATGGGTAGTTATTGTGTGAGAGCGTTTAAAATGAACAAAAATATAATAATAAGAGGCTACACTGCGAGAAATGCCACATTGCCAACGTGAGGCAAAGCCCTAGAGACTTTGCTTATCAGATATTTGCCAAAGCCCCCATTTCTGTTTAACTCAATATAACGAATGACTTATTTTCAAGACTCTGAGTTATACACAACATTCATATAGTTGACACGCCCATGAACATGGTTGAGATGATGTCATTGCAAATATACATGCACCAAAGTAGGCAGATAACATATTAGCTGAGGCTTAAAAATTAAAGTGAAATGCAAGGGGAATATGCTTAGAATGGCGTAAAAAATATAGAAAATAAATCAACAAATTTTTTCAACTGAAAAATTAGTGGAATACGAATTTTTGTTTTTTTTTTTTTTAATTAAATTTAAATCAAATCACTTGTGGATCAATGCACAGATGAAATGAAAAAATTATGAAAATAAAAACAAATTGAAATAAAGAGGAATTCGATGAGCAAGCATGTTAAACATAAGTGGAACACAGATATGCTACCCAAGCTAAATAGAGTGGAGTTAGGGTAATACACAGTCTGGTTTACCCGCTGAACATTGTCTAAGCCAATTTGCTGATAACACCGCTTGCTAATTCAACCCACTCATAGACAAAAAATATTTCATTCTGACAATGTTAACTAACTCAACTCGCAAACTCAAATTCCTATAACTGTTTAAGTGTAATTGTATAATTTAGTTCTGCTTGGCAGCTGGCACCTTTGGAGTGCATATCAAACATGCGATCTAATTATGAGCTGAGTGCAATAGCCGATCTGTTACTCACATATATACAACCATATCAATTTGAGCGATAATTTATTGACGCTTGCCAAAGCTGTTTCAGACTGTTTTTTATCGCCTTATCAGCTAGAGCTGTGGAGCTTCAACATGTTATTTGTGTTATCTCAATATGCCTTTAAGCTAGAAAAGTGGACACTGCGGACTAACATTTGTGTGCTTCATTTGATTTTGGTATTATTTTCATTTTCCTCGTGCTCAGTTGAATTCAATTGGTTAGAATATTCGCATCCAGAAAAAGCATGAGTTGCGGTACTAAGACCCTCAAAATCGCTTCGTTCGTACTGGATTTTCTTTGCTGTGTGAGTGATTAACGAATACATCAAGAGTTATCAGTTAGCCTGAGAGTGAAGGTTGTGCATTTCTATCAGGTTTTTGGAGCACTATCCATAGCTGCTTGCTCGTATGCCCTAGCCGTGTTCCCGCAAAGTCTGGCCATACGCATACCCTGCATTTTGGGCATAGTGTTGGGTATACTGCTCTTCGGCAGCACCATCTATGGCTGCATTGCGGCACTGCGTGAGGACATTCGCCTTAACTGGATTGTGAGTAGCGGATCTATTTCAGTATTTGAGTATATAAATTGATTTATTTTCCCTTTAAGTATGTCGCCATTTTGTTAGCATTGATATGCGCACAAATTACCGTTATATTCGCGCAACCAATCAACTTTCAATTGTTGGCCAATGAGACGATCCACATTGCCTGGCAGCAGCAACTGTACAGCAATGACAGCATGTCCTACTATGAAATCAAGGTAGAACGAACTATAATTGAATTACATAAGTTTCATTATTATTTGTTATCCAGTATCACTGTTGCGGCAAGTCGGGACCTCTGGATTATGCTTCGAGCAGGTTGCGCGTACCCGCTAGCTGTTATTTAAATCAGAATTCGAGCATTGCAACGGATTTATATACCACGGGTTGTGACCAACGGTTGGCTGCTGCGTTTGTCATGGGCACCCGATATGAGCGCACCACTGATTGGTCTGTTGTGGGTCTCGAAGTAAGTTGTATCCATCTATATACTCTACTGGCTTCATTAACTAATTCAAATTGCAGTTACTAACTGTCATAGTTGCCGGACTGTTTGCCATTACGTTACAAAATGCGGAGCGTAGACGTCTGTATCGTTAACTTCAACTCATGGCTGACAATATGAACAGTATTCAAAGTTGTACAAAAGTTATACTTTTTGTTTTGTCTTGTAAATAATTTTATCAAAACCTTTACAAGCTTTATCTGCTTGAAAACTAAAGAAACTGAAGAGAGCGCCACCTGTTGTGTTTTTAGGTTACTAGTAATATGAATTTGTTATTTGTGCATAAGATGGGCACTGCTGTTAATGACATGATAATGTAATGAAATCTAATATTAATATATATGAATCAGTATTTGTACTTTAGGTAATATAAGAAAATTTAATAATTAAATTAACTCTTGAATGTTGAAATATCAGCAGCGCGGGAGAGCCTTGCCAACTGTGTTTTAATCTATTACCCGACCGCCACAATATATCGGACGCGTTATCGATATGTTGTTTACAAATATCAACACCATAAAAATATTGGCAATGCGCTTAACTTGTTTTCCGCTTTAAAAGTGAAGTTTCCAGCATTCAGCCAACATGTATTCATAACGCGTTGTTAATTAATACACACTCACGCACACCGCGCAGAGTGTAGAAGTTGTATACAGTGCATTGGTCGCGGCCAAGTTCGACGCTCGCAGCGAACAACTCCACAGCACAATAAAATATAACGAAGAGATCAATTTGTATAGCCCCCAAAGAGAGGTTCAGAAATTGTTGCCGGTCATTAGCACGGCGTAGCTGAAGGCAACAACAACGTGTGCACGGACAGCTCTGTCCCGAGTAGAAAAAGAAAATAAATAACGTTTAGCTATACACGTCAAAATGGGTCTGCGTTTCCAGCAGCTAAAGAAGCTTTGGCTACTTTACCTATTTTTGTTGTTTTTTGCATTCTTCATGTTTGCAATTAGCATAAATTTATATGTGTCAAGTATACAAAACACTGACGCAGAGCCCCGGTGAGTGAGCCCACGAAATTGAATATAATCCATTGTTTTATTGTTTAACTATGAAAATAGTGAAATTTAACAAATTTTGCCACGAAGTTGCAGCCTGTCTATGGATGGCAAGCTATAAAACTTCATTTTCCTGAAGTGCCGTTGCATAATTTCCTTCAAGGCAAATAGTGTTGGCTGACTGACTAACTGAGTGACTGATTGTCTGATTGTCTGACTGACTAACTGGCTGACTACCTAACTGGCTAACTAACTGACTGACTTACTATCTCGGAGGCTTCTTAGCTGCTTGGCTGCTTAGCTGCTTAGCTGATGTTGCAAGTGGCTGTTGTTACACTCGAGTGGGTTGACTCGACTTCGTCTTCATCTCCATTTCCAGCCTTGCTTTCGATTTTTTTTTTTCGTGGCTACTTTGCATTTCTACTTGTATTGTTAAATGCTCAACATTATTGCCATTGTCATCTTTTGTTTGTTTTTTATATATTTATTTATTTATTTATCTCTATCGGATCCACTCATCGTGCGAAGTCATCCAAAACCGCCGCCAAAACGACGCTCGCTCTGGCCGTACAAAAATATTGTGGCTCACTATATTGGCAAGGGAGACATCTTCAGCAACATGACTGCAGGTTATTAAACCACATCAATGACACAATTCACAATCACACATGCAACAACATCAACAGTCAACATCGACAAAAAAACATAGAAAAAACAACTTTAATGTTCAATGACTATACATTTGCAGATGATTACAACATTAACCAGTTCGAGCCTAAACAGGGCGAGGGCGCCGATGGACGACCCGTAATAATTCCATTGCGAGATCGTTTTCGTATGCAGCGCTTCTTTAAGCTGAATAGCTTTAATATATTGGCCAGCGATCGCATACCACTAAATAGAACGCTCAAGGACTACAGAACGAATGAGTAAGTAGAGAGTGGAAACTTTTCAGTTAAATAAATGTTCAGATAAATAAATGTAAATGTATGTCTGTTTCCCTCCCTTTCGAGATGTCGGGACAAGCGTTATACTCAGAGCATGCCTACCACTTCGGTCATCATTGTTTTTCACAACGAGGCCTGGTCTGTGTTGCTGCGCACGATCACGAGCGTCATAAATCGATCGCCGCGACAACTGCTTAAGGAAATCATTTTAGTAGACGATGCCAGCGATCGCTGTAAGTAGCCAGTGACTCATAAAAGCTGTTACTTACCTACGCTTTATTTTTACAGCCTTTTTAAAGCGTCAGCTGGAGGCATACATCAAAGTGTTAACGGTACCCACGCGTTTGTATCGCATGAAGGAGCGCAGCGGCTTGGTGCCTGCTCGTTTAATGGGTGCCCAGCATGCGCGTGGAGATGTGCTCACTTTTTTGGATGCACATTGCGAATGCTCGCGAGGCTGGCTGGAGCCACTGCTGGCACGCATCCAGGAATCCCGCAAGGTTGTCATTTGCCCAGTTATTGATATCATATCTGATGATAACTTTAGTTATACGAAAACCTTTGAGAACCACTGGGGCGCCTTTAATTGGCAACTGAGCTTCCGCTGGTTCTCCTCCGATCGCAAGCAAAGACAAACTAACGTTAAAGACAACAAAGACAGCACGGCTCCAATAGCCACGCCGGGCATGGCTGGTGGATTGTTTGCCATCGATCGCAAATACTTTTACGAAATGGGCGCCTACGATAGCGATATGCGCATCTGGGGCGGCGAGAATGTGGAGATGTCCTTTCGCATTTGGCAATGTGGCGGACGCATCGAGATCAGCCCTTGCTCCCATGTGGGTCACATATTCCGCAGCAGCACACCGTACACATTCCCTGGCGGCATGAGTGAGGTCCTCACCGCGAATCTGGCACGGGCTGCGACTGTCTGGATGGACGACTGGCAATACTTTGTAATGCTTTATACGGCTGGACTCTCGCTAAGCGCACGGGATAAGGTGAATGTGACGGAGCGCTTGGCATTGCGCGAAAAATTGCACTGCAAACCATTTTCCTGGTACCTCGAGAATATATGGCCAGAGCATTTCTTTCCTGCTCCGGATCGATTCTTCGGCAAAATAATATGGCTGGATGGTGAGACGGAATGCGCACAAGCGTACAGTAAGCACATGAAGAACTTGCCGGGACGTGCGCTGTCGCGCGAATGGAAACGAGCGTTTGACGAGATCGACACGAAGGCCGAGGAATTTATGTCGCTAATTGACTTAGAGCGCGACAAGTGCCTGCGGCCACTAAACGAAGATGCGCCGCGCACCTCGCTGCAACCGGTGACAGTGGGCGATTGTTCATCGCATGCACAAACAATGGACATGTTCGTCATTACGCCTAAGGGTCAGATAATGACAAATGATAATGTTTGCCTCACATATCGCCCGCCCAAAAATGGGGCATTTAAACTGTTGAAAAATCGGAATGCAACGAGCTCCAATGTGATGCTGACGCAGTGCATTACCGATCCAAGCCAGCAATGGACCTATGACATGGACGTGAGTAATCAGATAGACAGATTCTTAATTAATTACAAGCTAATCTGTGTTTACTCTCCCTTACAGACACAACAAATATCGCACCGTGACACAAAGCTGTGTCTTACACTCAAATCGGCGACAAATACGCGCAGCCAGAAGGTGGAAAAGGTGGTGCTTAGTATGGAATGTAACTTCAAGGATATAACACAAAAGTGGGGACTTATACCGCTGCCATGGCGCATGTGAAGCAACATTTATGATTAAACGAAACTAATCCCCTGCCAGCGATCTAACACAATGTGATATTTATTGAAATTGTTTAATGACCCCACGCACTCATAAACACGAACACAATCACTTGTTCGTATATTGTACACCGGGACACGCCCTCTTGAATTGTTTTAAGTGTTTGCCTGGGAGCTTTTCTCCAACTTTATTGGTACTCTATGCAATTCTATGTCATATTTATTAAGTGAAAATTTATAGGAAATTTTAAGGCAACACAAGAAAAACAAAAAAAGTAACAAGTACTTTACATTTTATATTACACTTTAATAAAAACGAATAATACCGTAGAAAGTGTCACTGTGCTATCTTCACCTTTCGTATTTGTCTTAATATATATAATATAGTCCATATAGATTATGAGCTCTTGCATCTGCTTTAAAATGAAAGCAACTGTTGCAGATTGGCTCATTCGCAAGATGATCTGCTGCTACAACACAATTAAGTACACTGGACTCTTGTCCAATTTGCTGTACATGGTGAGGTTGCACTTGGCATTTACAGGCTATTAATTATTAATTAATTGCTCTCTTACAGCTGCTGGCCATAGGCGTAATGTCAGCAGGTGGATTGGGCCTGCAAATGGCGCAGCCAAATACGCCGGAGCATACGTACTTTGTGGAAAGCCTGGTGCTTGGTGCTACCATCTGCACCATTGTCATATTTGGCTGCTATGGCCTGGTCAGTGATTTGCTTAGTGTGAATATAATTGTGAGTGCAAAAAATTTATATATACTTGGATAGCACATGCTCATCTGGTTTGCCTTTCAGTTCACCTGCTTCATTTTGATCGTGCTCGGCTTGGAGTATTTACAGCTGTACAACTACCAGCCGCACAGTCGTTATAGAAGCACTACGCAACAGCTGGAGCTGACAGTGGCCTGGCATGACTTGGAGAAGCAGCCGCAATCGATGCAACAGTATGAACAGCAGCACCACTGCTGCGGTTACAACAATGCCAGCGACTACAAGGCTATGCATTTGTCCATACCCAAAAGCTGTTATCAGCTTGGCAGCGATGAACAGCTTTTTACACGCGGCTGCCTAACGACATTGAAGCATAGCCACAGTCGCATAGAGCAGAGCGATAAGCTCTTCATATGGTGCATCATTGGCCTTGAGGTAAAGCCCAGTCGCAGCTGCCAGTTCACTGACCTTCAATAACAATAACAAATTATTTGTATACCCACAGATATTTATACTGGTGCAGACGATTGTGTTGAGCGGGCTGCTTTATAAGCTGAGACGGCGCGAGCGACTCGCACGACAGCAGGTGCCGCCAGGTGTGCGCCGCGAGCCGCGCGCCAATCATGTGGGCTCGCGTGCCCAGCTGCTGGACAATGTTTGAGTTTAGAGATCATATCAAATAAGTCGTTTATTGTATTATATAAAAAATCGTAAATGCTAGTAGGCATAGCGACGAGGTTTGTTGGTCAGCTGACAGCACAGCGTAATGCCCAAAATAATGCCTACAATCTGTAGAAGAGAATTACATATATAAATAAGAGAGGATAAGTTACAGTCGATATTATTTAACTCACTTCATAGCCAATGAGCCCACAGTGCACCCACTTCTCAAAGCGATAGATTAACAAATGGGCACGTTTTACAGCTGACATGCAGCCCTCTGTATAGGGATAGAGAGCATGCACACCATCCATGGTATGGAAACAGCTTTGTGGCGCACGCATGGTGGTCGTATAATCTGAGAAACCCTTGTTGCCGCAGCACTCATACTAAATAGATTTATATTACCATTATATTCCTTCTTCCCATTCACATGATACATACCCTTTGCTCCAGCTGATGCATAGCACCGGAATGCGACAGCTCCTTGAGCCAAATGCCCATAACAAACTCCTCTGTGGCATTTACATGTCTGGCCTCATTGTAATGCACCAGTCGATAAATGTGAGCGCCAATCAAGCACACCAACAAAACCAAGTGCTGAGTATAAGAAATATGTTAATTGAGCTCATTTATAATTAATCTATTAAACTCACCACAACCAGCACCTTGATAGAGCCGAGAAAGGCGCCCGAGCAGCCGATGACAGCAGCCAGGATTAGGCTACCAGCCATGGCCAGTTGCCTGATCTTCTCAAAATCAATGTGAGTCGCAGAGCCCTCGTCCAGCTTATAGAGCAATTCATAGACACCGGCTAAGGCAGCCAGGCTGCCAATTAGCTGAGAACATAAAAGAAAAATTAATGAACAAAATAAAAATCATGTGAATTAATAACGCGTCACAAAACAAAAAGAAAAGAAGAAAATAAAATTAAAAACAGAAATCAAGCCAAAAAAATTAATGAGAAAATACAATGAAAATGTTTTCTGTCTTTTTGTCAGGCCAAAATAAAAACAAATATTAACGCATGGAATTACTGGCGGCTTTATTTTTAAATGCCCAGCGAGACACACACACACATACACAGACATCATCTCACACACAGATATAAGTGCGAAAAATGTAGCAATAATTAAAAATAAGTAAAGTGACAACTTGTCTGGGCGCAATGGAAGCAGGAGATTTGTTTGCTGCCAAATTGGCTATATATAAAGGCCATATAAAAACATGTATATGAATATATACATATGCATATGTTATATATATATATATGTATATGCATTTCAAAGTGAAGTGATTGTTGATTAAATGAACTTAATTATGTATAGCTTATATGTATAGCTGTGCAGCTTCATCAGCTTTAACTGCACATCACTTATACGCACTGTGTGGCTTAACGAGCATATTACTCATAAGCAACGTGAGTCAAGCGGCAAACTACTTGTTAATGGAAAAACTTGAGAAAAATTTGTATAAATGCTAATGAGCCTACACATGTCAGCATAGTTTTTATTAATGTTCACATGTTTTTATTTGTACACAATGAAAATGACTAAAAATTTATTAATTGAAAAAGAAAAACTCACCAAAGTAAATGTATTGAATACCACGGCCGTCCATTGCAGACACACCTGCAGTGTGGGCATTTTTGGTAGCAGCAACTAATTCGTCTTAAATTTAAGCTAAAATATTCTCTCTTTATATTTTTTTTTATATGTTTTTAAATAATTGTTTTATGGCATACGTCGCGTAGTGTGTAGAGTCTCCAATCCGTACGAAGACGCGCGCGCTTCTGTTAATGCTTTTTCGGCTGCCAAGAGAACTCAACTCGTTCAGTCTGAAGAAGAACTGCGAAATGTTTACAAAAGCGTTGAGTGGTTGCCGTACGGTCGGTTTTTCTTTTTTGCTTTTTTCTTTTCGGTCGTTACTCAAGAGACACATCCCCAGCAGCTGTCCCGCCCAAGTCCCGCGCAGAGACGTTCGCCAGTTTCGCATGTATATTTATATGCGTCTTTATAGGCAGCCCATATATCTATTTACTTAGACGCATCTACTCAGCTATGCTGTCTATAGCTATAAGTAGTTTTGGAATATGTACAACAACAATTGGGGAAAGCTAAGTAAAGAAAACACAAAATACAAATTTATAGACCATTTAATTGTATCGTATCGTATCGTATCAATTGAGTTTCGTTTCATTTCGTTTCGCACGATATTTGTATATTGTAAAATGCCAACACTTAAGGATGCTACGTTTAAGTTTCCAGCTGCATTATGAGCTAATGGCCAATTGGGAAACCTTTTCAAAAACGCTCGCGTCGCTGTTTATTGCGCACGGTGACGCCCAAGTGGGTGGCTGCGGCCAAAGCGCAAAGCTGGAAAAGATGGAAGACAGAAGGTAAAATGATTTAAGATACAAGCTAGAACCGTTGACTTCCCGTGCCGAATATTGAATACACTAACGAATGTATAAGGCTAAGAAAATAGCCGAGAGACAATGAATGTATTGTAGTTCAAATTCAATGATAGAAAAGACGGAGATTAAATATCCTTGAAGAGAGACTGAAGATATTTTTTGAATATATATATAGTATGAATATATTATAGAATATGACATGATAAACTTGACGTCTGCTCTAGCAGACCTTCTCTCTATAAGACTATTCCAATGTTATAAAAAATACAAATTAATAAAATCTATTCTTAGCCCTTCTAAGCTAGCCATAAATTATTTGAGTGAATTGATGTTAAGGTCAACTTGCCTCTAGTACGAAGAGCAGCCACTTGCTGATCAGCCCGTAGATGAGATTATCAGTAGCATGTGACTGCACAGCCTCCAAGCAGCCGTTGCCGAACAGCTTACTCTGCACTCTTTCCTTATGCTCATAACAGCTGAGGGGAAAGCCAACGCCTTGGAGTATGTAATCCTGCGGACCGCTCTGGCCGCAACATGTGTACTGTGAAAGGATTGAACAAATAAGTGATCCTTCAAACCTGAATTCAGCTCACCTTTTGCTCGATAAAGGCGATTCGCTCCACATTGCGACGTTGATCTGCCCAAAGAGCCAGAAAATCTGCACGCGATCGTTCCACATAGTCCGTGACATGAGCTGCGACGATTATATAGACTTGCAAGCCAATCAATATCAGCATGCAGCTGACAAACTACAAGAGCACAGAATTAAGGGATATTCGAAAACAATTGCAAGCCACTCACACTCCAAATGAGGGACAGGGAGAGACGTGCGCCTGCGAAACAGCCGAGAAACGAGCTGAGCACCACAAACGAACCCACAAAGATCTGCACCACAATTGCAATATGCTGGAAAGTGCCCGCCGAAACGTTGTTCAACTCATAAACAGATAAGGCAATGAATGCGATGCCAACCAGCTAGAAGTTAACTAGGTCGTTAAAACTGAGGCAGAGTAAGTAAATATTACGTATACGCACCGTTAAAATCACATTTAAAACAATGAGCAGGACTTTCAGAATAGCGATGCGACTGGCCATGTTCACAGAACAAAATCAATCGATAGTACGTTCAATTTGCTTCGCCTCTGTTTCTAATATAAATAATAAACACGCTCCAGATCCAGCCCTTTAGCCATACAGGTTGAATTGCGACTAAGCGACGCGCATTTATTTTTTGAAATTGTGGCGCCCCCTCCAAAAAGGGCCACCAGCCCAGACATTAAGGCGAAACGACAGTCTGACATTCAGTTAGCTTTTCGCTGTTCGTGGCTTCTCCCAAGAAATCAACGTTCAAGTGCTGCCCCGTGCTGTGTTATGCTTGCTATACCCTGTAAATGTAAACAGAGCAATATGTTATTTTTTTGTAATTTGTTCAAGCTAACTTTAATTTTAATAATATATTATAATTTTAATTAAATTTTCTATTAAGCTATTATATTTGGATTTCTAATATTCTACACATTTTAATTAATACGTAATTTTAGATATATATTTTTGTATTTTAATTAAATTTGTCGAACACAGAGTATCTCTTAGTCGTATACAATTAAATTCTAGTCTTAATACTTGTTGTGCTATTAATGTGTTTATGTGTGTGTCTCTTGGCGGTCATAACATTTGTGGGTGGTATGATGTCACGACAATGTCGACAAAAGCTTTTGGCCAATGACTGAAAAGGAGCTTTTGTCCTATATATATATATATATAATATGTTTATATAGTATATAGTACATAAGCATTCATTGATAAATTGCGCAGCACAAAAGCTACTTGATTCGTTGATAAGGCAAAGGACACCAATAATATGAAAGTAAACATAGTGGGCTTTCATTTATATAAGGTGAAATTATATTTCTAAACTTTCTCGAATAAGAAAAGTTTTAAGCGAAACATTAAAAATGCTGTTAAATTTTATAACTCTTTTGCTGTTCAGTGCCCGCACACATGCCAGTGGTGAGTTTAGAGTGTTGCACACTCCGTCATCAATGAAGTGGATTGGCGAAGATCAACTGGATAGCTCTTACTTAAGCGACGTGCTGCTCGCTGCTCAAGGACACGCTGTCAGTGGCGACTGCGATTGGAGCGGTTTGGCCATCAAGAATCCATTTACTCTGGCTCCCACTGCTATGATAGTCGTTCATATCGAAGGTATTTTTAAGTTAGCGGCATGGGAAACCTTGAAAGTATATGAACTAATCTATTCGGAAACTCTGGATTCCATTGACAATTTAATTGCCGAACTTGATCCAAAGACCGTATATGATATAAACTTTATTAATCATACTCTAGGTGTAGAGAAATATAAAAATTACTTTGGCAATGCCATTGTGCCCATTGCCACGCCCATACAATACTTCAAGCCTGTCGAGTATGCGAGCCATCGGCAATTCCTTGAGGAAGTGGGCTATATGCATGCCATCAGTGAGAACTTGAGCAGGCTGTTGAAGCCCTCACATGTGGTTGTCATACGCATCTCATTGCAGAACATTGTCAAGATCAACAGTTACAGTCTGCTATACGAGGCCAAAAAGCTGATCAAACAAGCCAATTTACGTCTTCTTCGTGCAGCCAGGACCATAACCAATGCTGTGCTCTTTGTGCTGACCACAGATAAAAAGCAGATGGTAAACATTTCGGGACGTAGTTTGAAGGAGGCCAATAATACAAATCCCTTTGGTAAACAGACAGCTCGTGATTTTCCGATCATATTTAATATTATTTTATGGACAACCCTGTTATTGGCCTTAGCTCTGGCCGTAGTTTGCTATGTGATTGCCACAATCGATCCTGGCGAAGATTCAGTTCTCTATCGTACGAGCCGCACAGTGTTACAACGTAGCCACAGGAAAAGAAAGTAAAACTTTAAGTGTTGTGTTTTCTATTTAATATTATTACTAATTATAATACTACGTTATTTTCATACATTTCCATATTTAGAATTTAATACTTAATCACATCAATTTCAGCTCTGTTTATTGAACACTTCTCTGCCTATATTTCTGAGTGAAAGAAATGCGAACTATCCATAGTTTCTTTTTAGTTGACAGAAAGTTCAGTCGCTTTGGCATTCCCTGAGTCACATGCCTTGTTTATCAATTAGCCAGCCCTCGTTTTTGGCCGAGGCGCATGCCAAAAACTAGAAACAAAAAACATAAATACGACACATATTTACATGCTCATATACAAACGGACTTACATATTTGCTTTTAGCAAGGTATGAGGCGGGCGAATGGGCAACAAGTTGTCTGCCTCTGCCGGCGCATATTTTCTTTTGGCTTGCCTTACGTATTTCTTGCTTCATTTTGACCATGAAATCATGACGTCGCTCTATTTATAATCATACCAAAATTGTGGGCAATTTGTGAATATGAATTGTTCTGGACTGGAGAACGCGCTCGCACCACGTGTCGTATACGCAATTTATTTGTCTGTTGCGATAAAAAGCATAAAATAATAAATATGTAGAAAAATGTGTATGAAATTTGATGCCAATTTGAACAGTGATTTTGTCCAGATTTATTCCATCTTTTATTTTTATATTCATTTATTTATTCTTCTTTATTTAGTTTATTTAATTTAACCAACCCTCCCATACAAACACTTCCTTTGTAGAACACATACATATATAGTTTTATTTGCATTTTTAAATAATTAAATTAAATTATAAATAAAACAATTAATTTAATTACTTAGCTTAGGTTGTAGCAGTTGAAGTAAAAGTTTAAGCTTATGAATTTTATGCATATTTTATTATTATTACTATATTTTTGGTAAATATTTATGCCCGAATATCCAAAGCACAAGTTAAATACTTAATTACCCCGTAGCCCAGTGGGCGTGGCTAAAGTTTAGCCCAGTTTTTGTACTTGTCATTCGGTTATAGTTGGCCATTAAAATTGCAAGCGCCGCTGTTTGTTGCGGAAACTGATGGCCAGGAAGACGGCCATAACAAAGCACAGCAACTGCAGTTGGTAAATAGAGAAATTATTCACACAGTCATTAGGAAATTCAATTTGAAATTGATACTAGAAATGGGCAAATCAATAGTTACCTCAAAGGCTACCAGCACCCAGGAGACAATTATGAAGCGCCGCTTGTCGCTCTCATAGCGGTCCTGCAGCTTTCCGATGCAGCCCTCGAGATACATATGCTTCGGCAGTTGATCGAGATTCTCATAGCAACTGGGCGGTATCAATTGGTGTAGATGAATATAGTCTTGGGCGCTGCTCTTGCCGCAACACTCGTACTTCTGCTGCAGTCCGTCCATGTTGTTGGCCTGCCAAGCCAGCTCCACTGTGGTCTGGGCGCTGTGCACCTCCGCCTGATGCAGAAACATAAAGGTGCTCACGATTTGCGGTATGGCCAGCAGCAGTAAGAACACAGCGCTCTACAAACGGACAAAGTAATTACAGCGTCTCTCTAATTAGCCGGGTCAATAACCTACCGTTGCGGTCAAGCAAACCGATTCGCGTATTGCCGCAAATATGCCCACAAAGGCGAACAGCAAAATTATCGCACATGCCACGTAGGCGGCGATGACGAATTCCTCGCTCTCCGTATCTGCATTGAACGCTATCCAGCCAATTGCACCCACTGCCAGGAACTGTAAGACAAACGGAAATTAAACTGGAAATTCTCACGAGTCATTTAGATGATAATATATATATATATATATATATATATATATATATATATATATAGATATATATGCAGTATATATTATGATGACAAGGCCCAAGTACATATGGAATGCATCGAAATCGAAACGTTGTAGCACTTTAATTGAGGTTTTTTAACTGATATATATATATTTCGCATATAGAGAAAGAGATGCCATATATGTGTAGCATAGAACCGCAAAGCGCGACACTTGAGTGATTTATATACCCTAACAGAGAGAGGAGATTAAAATACTGTTGCAACGTGCTTTAAAGTAAATGCACTTAGCCATAGGTATATTCTAGATACTGCAGTTTTACTAGATACATTCCATGAGCTCATCTAGCTAAGATATATTGCTGAAGGGTACACAACGTTTTTTTATATTTTTCAATATACTTGACTAATTTATATACTCTAGCATACGCAGTAACGAAAAGATAGTAAAATGTGTATGCATATACATGTGCTAGATTGTACATTATAAATATTGTTATTGGCTAATATGATAAGTTGATCTGCGCCATAATTGAAATTACTAAAGAGTGTCTAAAATTCAACCGTTTCTGCTTTGTTTTGGTTCTGCTATTAATTGGCTGCTTGACTAGTTTATATACCGTAGCAGCTAATTGATATACATAATATACACAAGATCACGTAGGTATTTCAAAGTGTCTAATCGTGCACTCATTTTAAATTTCAGAAGGGTATATAATCATCGACAGTTTCGACTCTCTTTTACTTTGCTAAAAATACAATCAATTGGTTGGTTAACATTTGGGGCTGTTGTTGTTGTTTGTGCGAAACACACCCCGTAATCCAATTGGGGGTTGAGGCCTGAGCTAGCCTGGATTCGGATAACGTTGTATATAGGTCAAACTACAAATAAGTAGTGGGTCATGACATCATCCAGTACCAGCCAGAAAGGAATTGTGCTGCAATTGTGGGCACTGGCGTTTACACACACTTCCCGTTCGACTTCAAAACAAAACAAAAGCTGCAAGTGTAAACAGTGCTAGCCATGGTAACAACAAGGGGTTGTCTGGGCAGGAGGAAGGAGACGCTATATGCGTGTGTTAGCCAAAGACCTGTCGACGACGTGGCTAAAGTGTGTGAAACTGACAAATGACAAAATATGAATTAAAAATACAACACGGTCAGCTATAAGTGGCTCAGCGACAGAATGGGGGCCATGTGCACGGGAATTTTCGAGCATGCTAGCATATTGCAGGACTGCTATCTGGCTAAATAATACATGTACTTATTATAAAACATTTTTGACCAAAACTGATTTCATTTCGCTTTCGCTTGGCTTGCATATGACATCATGCCTGCAAGTGGCTTATTTCCTTTACTGATTCAAATTCGAATGCATCAGTGAACTAATAAATGTCATTGAAATATATATAAATTACAGTCTGTACAGATGCGTAAGTGTGTCTGTCTATATATATATATATATATATATATATATATATATGTGCATTTACATAATTTGCTCAGCTATATATGTATATTAAAAATAAATTAAAATCTTACCGCCAAAATGACATTCAGTACGATTGAGGCAATCTTAACGCTGGTTGTGGTGCAGCCCATTTTTAAAGATTTAAATTTGACAGGCTGAAAATTAAAAATAAAATATCGTTAAATATCTCAACACTCTTATTTTTGTATATAGGTTTTAGAGCATAAAAAGTATATTTTTAATACATAAAAACAAATTTTAATTATGTTTTTTTTTTTTTGCTTCATTATTCACTCTGAAAATGAAAATATTCTCTTTGTGTTTATTCCAATTGCTGATTGCACTTAATTAGCTCGCACTCATTAGCATATGAAATTGTTCTCATTGTTTCACATATCACAGCAGACAAACTTTCTTAACCTCTTGACTTCCGAATCAGCAAAGCGCGCTTGTTTATTTTCCAAATAACAAAAGAAATTCCCCTCTTTATTTTGCTTAGTGTATTTTTGTTTGAAATCCGTCCGAAGAGTCTGTCGCGTTCAGCGTTTGCTTGCAAACTGAATCCGAATAAAAATGTTCGTTATTTTCCACATTCAAAATACCTCACACACACCCACACCCACACACATGCACACGCTCACACACACATGCGCAGCAGCAGCAGGCCTGTAAGAAATTTTAAGAGAGAGCGTCAATGCGCTCGCGCAGATATGCGCTGATTGCTGTGACGTCACGCTCAAGCACTCAATCAGTCAATCTATCAAGCGTAGCAATATACATATGGGAGCTGCCCCTTTTTTCAATTCATGCAGCATTCTTTTGGGCATTCGAGTTAAGTAGGGCTTCTGCATCTTAACAGTTGTGCCCCTTAGTTAAGCGCAGGGAATAGAGTCGAGTAGAGTTGCCAGCGGGAGTAGAACCAATGCTTGCAATGGATTTATAGTAATTATAATATTATTATTATAATATATATTTATATACTTGTATACTATATATACTTTGCGATTTTTAGGGTAGCTCTATAAATTATTCTATTGAATAGGCTTTCAATGAATCAGATTCTTACAAAGCATGGCAAGCGATAGACTCTTGTTTGTTACCTCTGGCCGAATGTGTAGTAATTTAAAAGCAATAATAAGAAATTTGAAATATAAATTTCTTATATGTGATTCTTTACAATTCAATATATGTGCGTTTGTATATAAAAGTATGTAAGTCAATTTAAACGCAAAGCAGATTTGAAGCCCTTGCTCATTTACTCTGGACACATCAAAACGATATCATAATTCAATAAGCCACAAAACGATATTCCCTTACTTTCTCTCTCTCTCTAATTTGTAGTATTTATTGACATTTTTGGGGATAAAGTCAAGCCAGCTGTTTTCCCACTACTTGGCATGAAAACTTCATCAAGCGTATCGTCGTTGGAGCTTCATGATTTTCTTTTATTTATCTTTTTATATTTTTATTTTTTGTTTTTTACCCGAACGTTTCGATTGGTTTGCCTAATTGATTAGTGGCGCTTGGACTGTGGAACAAATTCCGCTGCTGAAAAATGTTGAAAATAAAATAAAGAGAATTTGCTTATTCGAGTTTAGTTTATGTTTTATTCATTGGATTGCTTGGCAAGTGAACACATGGCGCAAAGCTGTTTAAGAAGGTACATTGGTGACACTTATAACTGAGGTACTATGAGTACGATTCGATTGACTATTATGACTAATTAGATACTATTAGTAGTTGTAGCGGCGCCTGCGATTCGAATAGTGTATGGCAAGTATGACAGCCAATCCAAGAATTACCAGCTAAAAGAAGACAAATTTTTAAACTCAACAAACTCAGTGCAAAGAGGGGAACTTGAGACACTTACATCGAAGCCCAGCAGGCCCCATTCACAGTATCGTGATGTGCTGGCCTCATCGGCGAAGGCCAGCTCCACTTTGGTCAGACAGCCATCTGGATAGACGTTCAATGGATTGAAGCAATTGTTGCCCTTGCAACAACTCGACGGCACTGTATTATTTCTATGTCCGATGGCAATATAATCAGCAGCTCCATAGCGGCCACAGCAAGAGTACTATGAGAAATGAGTTTAGCAAACCAATAGGCAAACACTTAAAGAACATCCAATACTAACTGTCTTCTGTATCAGATCCATGCTGCCCGGCCTAGTCAACTCCAGTTGCCAATGATCCTCAACCGTTTTAATGGCATAATTCTTAAATACATCGCGAGTATTGAAGAAGATGAAGACGCCTATCAGCACTAGCAGCACCAGCAGCAGCGAGACATACTATGAAATGATTGGAAATAGAGAAAATATTTAAACATAAATATGAATAGACATGCATATATCTATTGGGCACTCACGGTCCAGAGCATGCGCGACGATTCCCTAATGGCTCCGAAGCAGCCAAACATTGATATCAGCAAGATAATACCACCAAGCACAATTATGCCGATGGCATATTGCTGTGGCATAGCACCCCAGCCAAGGCCGCCAAATACTATGACCAATATGCCAAGTATCTAAAATGGTAAATATATTAGAAAGGAAAATATAGTAGGAGCATATTTATGAAAGATAAAAGCTAAGTGAATCATGAATTACTCATAGGCGTATACCTAAACGCCCACAATTGAAATAGTGAAGCTATTCCAATTATTGTGACGAGATTTTCTTAAGCTTAGATTCCTTACATCATCATGTGTATGATATAGTATATGCTATTGGGGCTGATGTCATGAGACATGAGAGCATATTTCGTATAACGACAAATTGCTCGATTTGGAGACCAAAAAATAATATGAAACGTTGGTCGCTTTCATCGCCAGGTGTTGACATTGGTGTCTTGTGGTCCGTTTTCTAATCCGGTTTCTATTTTATTTTTTTTACTTCAGTTTTTAATTATTATACTAAATCTGAAGGCATGACGTCGTTGTCGTTGTCGTTGTCGCCACTCGCTTGTTAACAAAGAAGCTTTCCGAAGCGGCTCAAGGAATGCAAAAAAGCCATAGACAATAGACACAACTCACTCTTACAAACACACACACATACTGACACACGCACACATACTTTTACACTAGCCAAGCGCTAGAAACCATGCATGTATTTGTCTTTTGTAGACTAACAATAATAATAGTCTGTGAACTAAGCACGCATACACAAGATGATATCATCTGGTCTTAGGTAAAGCTACAAAAGGTTTTTTGCTTTGGCGTATTTGTGAAACATATTTGCCAATATGGTATACCAAATACATAGCTAATGCATTTGCCCATTTTCAAGTTTTCAATACGCCAGATGTTTCGTTTCGAAAACTTTTCAAAAATGTACACAACTTACCGCCCATAATGCGTTGAAGAGAAATAATGAATATTTAATGGTGCCCGTAGCGCAGCCCATGATTGCAAATTATTAAAAAATTTGTTACGAAAAAAACAATTAATGAGAATAAATCTAAGCTGATTAGCGACACGTGCAACAGTTTGCCTACTGAAACTGGGCAATATTTAGATTTTTATTCCCAAAGCAAAGTCGAGAACTGCGAGCGTAGACGGTCACGAACGAACTAAAACTCAAAAACTGAAACTGAAACTGAAACTGAGGCCGAGGCTGGTGCTGGCGCTGATGTTGAACACAGAGCACAGCTGAGCACCACTGAGCACCACAGTGCAAACAAAAACACAGTAAACAAACACGAAAAGCAAAAGCAAAAAAAGCCAAAATCAAAAGTCAATTTATATGTGTGTGTGTGTGTGTGCTTGTGTACCAAAGCCTCAACGATGTCGGAAGCCAAACAAACAAACAAACAAGTAAACAAACACACAGCCGGGCGGTCTGACCCAGCCGAAGAGCCAAGCTCCAAAGTGGTGCACTCCGCAATTGGGTCTATGGAAAATAGCGGCCAGATGTCAAGAGAGACTATGTGAAAGAGAGCCAGAGAGAAAATTAGAGAGAGAAAGAGAGAGAGGCACGATCGGAGACTCTTAGAAACTAATGCGATTATCGAACACATTGCGTCATGAGTGGAACAAGAGCATATTTGAGATGAATGAGCTGAATGACGCCATAGCTGTGGGCCCTGAGCCGAGTATCAGGAATAAATGATTAATAACAATTAGAGAAACTACCGGGCTATAAAAGCATTCACAATTTATTTGTAAGTGTCTAAAAATAATATTGACAAATCGGAAAAGTTCATTTCGAAAAGATTGTAAATATTCTAAATTTCTTAATAATGATATGTGTATCTCTGGCGTTCCTTGCGAAAGCGCAGTACTAAATAAAACGTACAGAAGCACAGCAAAGCCTGCGAAAGATAAAAATGATTAATTATGATAATACATCCATAGAGATAACGAGACAAATTTACCGTAACAGCAAACGAGCCCCATTTGCTATTATCAGCGTAGCTGAAGAATCGAAGGAATTCATCAGCAGCTGCATTTACGCAGCCCGTCATGAAGTAGGGTATATTGGTTTTGCCATCGGGATAACAACTGTCTGGTAGAGTGGTGCGACCTATGCTCACATAATCTTCCGGTCCGTTGCGGCCACAGCATTCGTACTTTAGATTCAAATTGTTCAAATAGTTATTCTTTTTTGATTCATTTATTCAGTTGCTGTTCAACCCACCGTCCGCTGTATTTTATCCATAGCACCACGATCGACCATCTCTTGTTTCCATTTCACATCGACATCTTCGACCGCATAGCGTTTGATATACTCCTCATCGAAGCTATTGCCAAACAAGCCAAACAATTGCACAATCAGCAATGCCAACAAGATGAAACCATACTGTGGCATGGAAACATTTTACATAGAATCAATGCTATTCGTGTTTTGTTTATCAAGTTCACTCACCGTTGTGGTCAGGCAAACACTCTCCTGACAGATGCCACAACAACCGATAATAGACGATGCAAACAGCACCCCGCCAATCACATACAAATAGATAATATATGCAGTCGGTGCCTGGCTGAGGCTCAGCGTGGCTAGTCCAATTATCAACAGGCCAAAGAGCTGTGCATTCAAAAGACAAGCTCATTTTATATATATATATATATATATATTTATATATATATATATATATATATATATATTTATATATATATATATTTATATAATATACTTAAGGCTTCATATTTGAGATTAAAGATGTTCAATTTAAAGTAACTAAAAGTTTCAAATTTTTTGGTTCATAATTGAAAAGAACGTTTTCTAATGTGCAGAAGCAAAGAAAGTTTTGACATTGATATAAAGACCTATGTATTCTGTAGACAAGCTAATTAAATATGCATGTTTATATTCAGTTTAACATTAAAGAGCTTCAGTCGAAAGTAAATAAGTAATTGGATATTTTTTGTAGTTTATCTTAAAATAGAAAATTGAGTTAATTTAAAAAAAGAAGTAGTAACTAAATTTTAAATTTATGTACATGTTAAATTTATTTCTTCTTCTTTTCTTATAGGTTATATATTATATACATTGCCAATTTCAATTTCAGAATTTTCTTATATTATATAAAAAGATAATAAAACAAAGACGCTGGAATATGAATATATTACTATATCAGACTGAAGATATAGAAATATATATGTAAACATCTTCGTTATACATTTCATTACAATCGATTTAATATTCTCGGCAAGTATTTAAAAATATGTCTAGGGCTATAAAATGCTTACATAGTGTATAAATGATAAATGCATATATATATATATATATATATATATATATATATATATAAAGATATATTATATGCATATATATTTGTGTGTGATCATTTATATATATATATATATATATATATATATATATATATATATATATATATATATAAGCGATCACACACAAATATACTTCCATCTATTCTGTACATTGTTTGGCCAAAAACCGGCTATAATTTGACAATTCTAATACACAGTCATACACACATTGCAGTATTTGAGATGTATATACAACATGTATATATATGTCTATATATAACTTTAACAAGTTGTCTCTCGTTTGGCAAAATTTAAATATTCACGAAATTATTTAGCTACTCTTTAACTTCTGAACTCTGCAAAACTCACCGCGTAGACCGTATTGAGTATGTTTAAGAAACACTTAAAACAGCCGGAAGTACAGCCCATATTGGCTATTCGGATTCGTAGCGTTTATTAAAGCTAATATATATTATATACACAACCGATCGTATCGACGTCGGCTATCTGACTGATGCCCAGAGAAATAAAAGCAAAATTATATTTTCGTCTTTGGGTATTGAAACAGTGTTGCCGAGTTACTGGAATTTGGGATTTGTATACAATCAATCCAAAAAATGATTAATGTTCGCAATACGGCAACATAAATATTTATTAAATATATATATATATTCCAGATCAGGCGAATGAGCCGAGCTGATCTAGCTCTGTTTGTCTGTCTGTGCACCTCCAATGCCAGCTCTATAATCGTATAACCAATATACCTCTTTCACTCAGCGAACGAGTGCAAACAGTAACTCTCAGAAAGGCTCTTGAGTCGAACTTAATTTTGACTGAGCCTCCGTCGCCTATATAAAGCGAGCCTGCTGCAGCGCTAGCTCAGTCGTCTCCCTGACCCCCTACTGGTCAGACGTGTGTTGTGCAGTGCTCCTCTTCTGTGTGGTGGTAAATAGTGAATAATTTTAAGTATATCAATAAGAATTGTATTCTTATACTATAAGAATTGTTATTAAGATAATGATAGTAATGTTTGTAATGATCATTATGTTAATGATCATTGCGTTAATGATTATCATGTAAATATTAATTAAGATGACTATCATGTAAATATTCATTAGTATAATAATCATTATAATTTTTATTTTTAAATAATCTATAAGTTAATGATCATTATGATATGATCTTATGATAATTAAGAGAATTCAAATGATATTTTGTTAGAGTACTTCCAGAACACTTGCTCTGCTCATCTCTTATTAATACCCAATGTTAAATAACATATTGCTTTGCTAATTATGTCGTTTATTAAATTGAATAATTTTGGCATGGCCATGGCTCGTATTACAACTAACTAAACTTCACTAAAAAGAGGCCGAGTCATATATTTAATCCTCATTGATGGGTGCCTCGTCGTCCTTGATTTTCAAGAGCTTGCGAGCCTTGCCCATGAGATAGGCAAAGAGTAGACTTAAGAACTGTAGCAAATAAAAGTTAAGTTAATATATTTTAATTATACATTTGACTCATTAAATCACCTCCAGTGCTAAGATGACAATGGCTGCATAATAATTAATCTCAGCTTGGAATTGGAGACTGTGGGCGGCCTTGATGACGCAGCCGTCCTCATACATATGTGAGGCAACCGTGCAATCGAAGCCATAGCAGCAGCTGGCCGGCAAGGCACCGCCATCCTCTTTGCCCAGATAGTCCTGCGGTCCGTCAAGGCCACAGCAGCGGAACAGGCTGTGTATGGGCTGCATTGTATCATTCTGCGTGGACTTCTCTTCGAAGAGTCGCTTAATACGCTCATCAAAGTTCACCAACAATTGACTCTTCATGCTCGAGAAGATGAAGAAATACGTGGTCAGCACAACGATAGTCAAAATACTAAACATAATATACTAAAAAATATATTTCATATAAGATAATGTCAATTAAAGAAGCTAATTGAGGCACTTACATAATTAGAAAACTTATACGACTCTTTGAGAGCCACATAAATGCCCAGAAAGGAAACTGCAAAGATTAAAACGCCGCAAAGAGCAGCTGAATAACCGCCATAGACCGACGCAGCGGAACCCCAGGTGACAACGCCACAAGAGAAGAACAAGATATTAAAGCCCTGTAAATAACAAGATTAAAAAGACATTTGTAGACCTAATTAAAAACAGTTACACTTGATTTAACAGATGACAGATGGCCGAACATTTAAGAATGCAGCAAGAAGAGCAAAAGAAGAAAGTTTTTGACATAAACACAAAATGCTTAAGATGTCATCATAGGCATCTCTATATATAAGAATGACCATGTAAAGAAAGCTAAGTAAGAAATAATAGTTAAACTTAGAAAGAAGAAGAACAAAAACAAAAACGAATGAAGGAAGAAATTGAATAGCTGAAGAACGGGGCATTTAAGCGCTTGCGAATGGTATACAGGGAAAAAAACAAATGAGCAAAGATAAAATAAAATTACGACTCAATGTCAGCCGACACAAGTCAAGTCTAAGGCTCACCAGCATTAAGCTTACAGCACAGTAAAATGTTTACGTATAGTGAACAAAGCAGAATTGTAAGAGCTCATACTTTTTACTCTAAATATATATGTATATGAGTGCGTATGTATATTGTTAGTTATTAGTAGAGGCATTTTCAATTTATAAATATTGCCATTTGGCTGTCATAAATAGATTTACAGCGATATAAGTATGGGTGTGAATGGCCGGCTGTGGCCCACAATTATGCGAATATTTCGCAGCATTACGTATACCACATGTATGTCAAAAAAATAGAAACAAAAACCAAAAAATGAGTGCAAACGTAAACATTCAAATAATAATTAAAAGGCATTTGATTGCCGAGTGCCGACAGCTGTTTCAGGCTTTTTGATACATTCACGAAAATATCGATTTGTTTCTTCTTGCATATGCGGAAATTTGGTTGGCTTGACTTGGCTTGGCTACGCATTGTCTGTGCGGTCGATATAATCGGGTCAGGAAACGGCCTTCAGTTAGTTGGTCAACGACTTACCGCTATCAGAATGCATGTCGTGAATAGCGCATATTTCCAGGGTGTGATGGCAAATGACTTCTCCATGGCTACCAGCAAAGGGGAACTATCAAGCAAAAGAAAGACAGAAGTTAACTTTTTAATTAAACACGGGGGAAACGATTTGCCGCACACACACGTTTTTCGCACAACGCACTTACGACTGATTTTTCACTAGCTGCAATTGAATAGAAGCCGCCGCACGCTCAGCTATTTATGCTGTGTCTGTGTGACAATGACAGTGAACCCAATTGTCTATGCGACGCTGGGGGGCATTATTGACGCGCCTCCAATTGAAGCCAAGTACGGAACGCGCTGCCTCGCTTACAGACCGAACGTTGCCAATCGACTGACGTCTGACATGGTTTCGAGCTTCAGCATTTTTGTCGCGACGTTCAGCGCAGGCGCTTAAACAATACAGGGTGTGCCAGAGTTTGCCAAAGAATTAAACAATTACTAAGATATTTAAATTGTGCTGTAATTACGTATTTAACAGGATTTTGGATATTTTCATTTTTTTTACCCAACATATTATTTTCTCTCAATTTTATATGCTAATTACCTAATTACCTACATTAACCACATAATATATATTTTTTATATTTAACTGTTTATATCTAGAATTTGTTAACTATTGATGGAGTACTGAAAAGATATGCCAACCGACTAAGCCTGAATGCAGCAAATTCTAAGCCAATCTTAATCGAGCATAAAAACAAAAAAAAAACAATTTAAATTAAAAGTAATATATGATTGAATTTAAAAAATATATATAAAACTCTAATGATATCTAAAATTAACCAAAACAGTCAGTTTTAATAAAGTAAGTGTCAATTAGTATACATATTAGTATATGTGTATTTTATGTGCTTACATCGATTTATATATAATATTGATGATCAAATTTGAAACTGGAAATTCTTAAAAAAATTTTTCAATACTGCGTAGTTTCTTATATTTTTTAAAAATATTTTGTTTTGTGTAATTTTTTTGATGTTTTACTTTTTATTAATTTTTTTTGTTCTTATTTGTAAATATTATTTTTTATTATTTCTTTTTTTTTTGTTTTGTTGCATAAATAAAGATGCTTACATTATTTTTTATTTACAGAGCGATTACTAGTCAAGCAGATGGCCATGATCTTATAGCTAAATGATGTTCATTTACTTCAATCGATACTTCAAAAGCAATCAAAGTCTTATACTGCTAAATATAGGCCAATTTAATATCAACTTTGTGCAGATAATTATTACAAATATATATATTTAAGAGAAGCAAAAAGTAGGCCAATTGTTGTGCCTGTTTGGATAAGATATTCTGGAGTATAAAATATTGCTACATTAGACAACCAAGTCACTTGGAGAACTATTTCAGTGTAGACGATAGATTAGAAATGAGTTTTATGTAAGTATTCATCATAGTTGTAAAACTCAAATGATTTTAACCACATGCCAACTGCAGTTTAGTGACTAAAAGGAATGGCTAAAATCCATTTCTGTACGCAATTAAATCGGAAACTAATCAGTTTGGTGTGAAGTAGTAAATCGACTTTAATATTGAAACAAATAAATATTAGTTGCTTTTAATATTAATTAAAAATAATACTTAAGGCTTAGTGTTAAATTACGTTTACATCCAAACAGAGTTGTTACGACGTCCTTGATTCTTCAAGCCAGTCAAAAGCAGCCAGCCAAAGAAGGCGCCAACAGCCTGAAAGAGGTTCAATTTTTAATACAATATAGTCCTAGATATCATATAAGTTTCTTGAATACTACCTCGCCCAGTATTAGCAGCCAGCAAACAATTTTAAACACCAATAGCCTTTCGTCCAGATACTCTACAAACTGTGACTTGCAGCCCACTTTATACACACTGGAGACATTGACGCACTTGAGCTCCGGGCAGCAGCTTCTGGGCACCGCATGATTGATGACCGCATAGTCTCCGTAGTTATTGACCCCGCAACAGTGCAGCCAGGTCTCGTAATAAGCCAAAGCTCCAGTTTCATTGCGTTCGGCATCCCAGAGCTTCTCAAAGCCTTCGTTAATGCTGCCCGACAGACCGTCCTTCGTGCCGTGCGAGACCATGCTGAGGAACAGCAGCTGTGTGAGTATCAACAGCACAATAGCCAACACATACTGTACAGTAAACGAAATAGGTCAGTTAAACAAATCAAGTTCAAAGTGGAGTTGCACTTACAAGGAGCAAGCCTCTGGGTGATTCGCGTGCCGCAACCACACAGCCAGCGACTGCAATGATGACTATAACAATGCCCAGGCTAATGATCAAGCCGCCAGCTACATTTTCGCCAATGCTCACCGAAGTTACATATATTCTTTAAAGATAAGGCAAGACATATGATAAAATAAAAGTAATATATAAAAATATTAATATACATGTATATGTCAGAGATCGAGTTATTGTGGCCACCTTCGAGCTCTTAAATTCTGTGCCGACTTTCCAGTATAGTTACCTCTTCTTCTATAAATCAATATGTGCTCTATAGCATAATTTTTAAGCTATGATTGTGAGACATGAGATAATAATCCTTAGAATTATCTGTGCTTTATGTTGAAAGTCAATATTCCATAGTTACTTTCCTGACTGATTATTAAATAATGACTTTCATAATAAAGGCCAGCTACTCTTGATGATTCTCATCAGAAGTTCTTTACTAATTAACTGAAATTTGATATTATATACTATACATATACTATAAGATGTTCATGCGGTGACTGAGTCCCAAACACTGTCAGAAAATTCACAAAAATCTTTAGTATACAACTTAATTACTTTACATTCAATTGGCTTGAATCACGAGTTTAATTTAAATCAATTAATTGTTGGGAAACTGTTGCAAAATTTGATGAAGCCTTTTTATTATCTCACCCATATTTACTTACAGAAAGAAAATGCCAAAGCCAATCAGCACCAGACCGAGCACCTGCAAAAATGAAAAACAGGTGAGCATCAGATAACATTTTGCTTTTATTTTCATTTTCATCTCAGCAGTTTGTACATACCGTATACACAAAGTTCAGTAGCAGCAGCAGATGCTTCACTGTAGTCTCCGACAGGCCCATCTTATTGTTGTTGTTGTTGTTGTGGTTGTAATGTTGTATTGTTGCAGCTAGCAAAAGTGAGCGTTAAGGAAGAAGCTGACGAGACGACAGCAGCTGTCGCACTAACCAACCGACTAAACGGCTAACCGACTGGCAGACTGACTAGCTCGAACGAGCTATTCAAAACAGCGCGTCAATAAAACTAAAATATCAGTCAGAATGCATTAAGTAGGTATTACGTATAAGGCAATAGCCAGTTTTGGTAAAGGTGCGCGCGCGTAGTATGATTACGAATACGCCGAGAATATATATAATTATATATATATATATATATACATATATCTATATATCTATATATATATCTATCTATATATCTATATATATATATATATAAAAAGCTATGTATGTATTTATACGACGGTTGCAAGCCAAATCTCTGACCGTTGCCTTTCAGTGCCGTGCAACAACTGAAACATTTTACATTTTGTTTTCTTTATTTTTGTTGTTTTTAAAAGTGCGAGTATATGGCGGATAGAACAGCTTTTCACTCAGCCATTGATCTATGTATAATGAGAAAATCGAGCGTCGCCCACACGGCTGCTCTTATTGGGAAAGGCGAAGGCGCTTCTCCGAGACTGTGTGTATCTGTATCTTTGTATCAGTATATGTATCTGTGTGTGTTTTCTATTCTTCTATTTTATCTGTTCGCTTGCTCGTTGAATCCTACTCATTTTCAGATTCATTGCTGTGTTTATATTATTTATCTGGCAGTCAACAAGAAATTAGTCAATAGCAACAGGTTTTATTATGGTTTTGTATATATATATATTTATTTTTATTTTTATGACGTGGGAGTTTTGGGTTTTACAACGCATTTCGATGGCATTGATATTTTTATCAATGAAAATAGTAAAACAACTTTTTTCTTTTTCTAACTGTACTAAATTACAAATCACAATGGCACAATGGCTAAGCATAATTATAATACGTCTACAGTGGGACAATAATAATCAACGGAACAGCTTAATTATAGAAACGCACGCGATCTCGATGATTTCGTATGCTATCCACCAAATAGCAGGTGGCCACAGAGCCCATAAACTGCAGGTGAAAAAATATAGATAAAAAAATTAATTATTTGTTAGAGAGGTAACGAAAAAGGGGGAATTAAGCTATTTATGTATTTATATATTACATAATGCTATACTAGAAAATATAAGCAAGTTGATATATTTTTTATGGATAAGTACTCAGAATAGTATTCAGATTATGAATTCTTTAAATATCTTAAGCTGACTACATCGACTACAACGCACCTCAGTCAGTATGGTAAACCAGCTGATTGTATGAAAATTGGCTGTTTTTCTGCTAACATATTGCTTGAACTTCTGCTCACAGCCGTCCTTGAAAAGATTCAAAGGATTCGTGCAGTCACGCTCAAGGCAACAGCTGGCAGGCAGATAACGCTCCAATATAATATAATCCTCGGGGCTGTTGCGACCACAGCAGTGTAACTATTGAACAAATACACCATTTAGCATTTATATTCACAACTCATCTGTTAACAACTACTCACCCACTCCTCGTAAATGTTGAGCGTGCTGTTGAGTCTGTGCTGTGGATCCCACAGCTCATCGAAGCCCTGTTTCAAGCTGTTCGGCAAGGCATCGCGGCTGGCCGCAAAGCTAATACTGAACATGACGAACTGTATAACCAACAGCACTATTAATAGCACTGCGTACTATAATAAAAGAATAAATTATTTAAATACAGGGTATTTGATATTAACCATTTTGCACTTACACTTATAAGCATCTTCTTGCAGTCCTTGATCAGGGCCACAGTGCCAAATACGCTGGCTATTATAATGACTATGCCTAAAAGAATGCACAATATGGAAGCCAGTTTCTCGCCATGATCAACGAAATTTTGCTGCTCGGCAATGCTGTCCAACAACCAGGTGCCATACCAGATCAGCAGGCAGCCGTTCAACTATTCGAAAGGGAATTTTATTTGGATTAACTTTGGAATGTTTCTAGTCAATGTCAACAGATTACAAAATGATAGAGTTTATTTTTGGACGATCAGCTCATTTCGAATTTTTTTTATAATACAATTAAGGTATGTGAATTTGTTACTATTTTAATTTTTAGGTTTTTCTAAAATTTACTAAACTAAATTTATTTTCGATATTTTTATTGAAATTTGAACAAAAATACTTTTAATATTATTTATAAATTCACTAAAGAGATGAATACCTGCAGATCCTATGATTTGTGTGACATTTATAACTTTGCTTATAAAGCCGTTAAAACAATTAAATTCAAAGTTCTTATATCTGCTCTTACTGCCTGCTTTTAAAGCATAGACCTTAGCTTATCATATTTGCGTACTGTAAATATGCTACTGCTACTGTAAATAGTTCACATCATCATTATTTACATTGATAAGAAGCGCTATATTTGATCTACAGAGAGCATTTGAATACCAAAAATGTGGTGAAAGAATTGGAGTCTAAATTCTGTGTTTTATATACTGTTTACTTAGTTCCAAGTTTAGATTCAGTTCAATATAATTCATATTATAACAGAAGCCAATCCATTTTGTAAACACTTTATTAATTCTGTTGAACATAGCAAACAAAATGTTAGCATTTCATGGTATTTTCGCTGTAACAGCGTTGTTTCTTTCTTTGTTTTGGGCAAGTTCTTATTGTAAACACTTTTCTAGCACTGTAAAACACATTACAAACAGAATTCGCACACGTCAGATGTTAAAAATGTATTTGTTTGGTCTTTTGGTATTTGGTATTTGGAACAGGGCTGATTGTTTCACTTACAGCATAAATCAAATTGATGACACAGAGTATGTAACGCAGCAGACGTGTAGTGCAGTACATTATTTTTGCTATGAGTAGTGGCTACTAATAAAACATGACAAACGCGACGATTCGCTCACATATAATTAGCCGTGCCTAACAAAGTTTCACGCACTCAAAACCGCACGGAAAAACTAAAAAAACACCGAAAGCACTTTGTTTGTGCTGCGCACCTTGAGCATCGGCAATGGTCGCACGACAAATACTCGGAGCAAGCGATTCATAATCTGAATTTTGTTTGGCCGCATCTGGCGACGTCGCTGTCAGTTGAACGATTAACCCACAGTTCTACGCGGCAGTCGGCAGACGGCAATGCAATAGCCAAAAGAAAATAATCATATACAAAACCCCACAGAGAATTGTCGTAGATATATATATTTATATATGCATACGTGTATATATATATATATTTCTTTAAACATAAAGTCAATATCAAAAGAAAACTCAGCTGAACACAAATGATGAAAATTAGCGTTCAGGCGCCCACGCGCCGACAGATGAATACAGAGATACAGATAGAACGTATATAGGCATGCATGCCAGACAACTGACTAACGGAAACTGCGGGCTGCCAACACGGGGGCCCACTGTTTGGCCAGAAACAATGATGTCAACAAACCAAATTTGAGCTAAGAACTAAATATATATATTTTAGCATTGAAATTGCCCTTCAATGCAGCGGGTGGCCAGCAGGTATGTACCCATAAATAATAAGCTAAGCTGATCCTAATGCAGTTTTAGTAAGACTCAATCTATTTAATAGTTAGGCATGACTAGAACAAACCTATTAGCTATGAGGGATCTTCGTCGTCTACTCTCAGCAGATTTTATCTGGATTGCATGTTATTCAAATCATATTTCAGCTGTTATATAGAGTAATTCATTGCAAATATCTCGAAAACTTACAGCTAATCTGATATAATCTAAAAGCTTCATTCAAATGACAATGGACAATGCAAGTAAGCATGAGTGGGTATTTACTCTTCGGCTATTCTATATACTCAAGAGATATTTTGAATTACAAGTTATTTAAAATCATATAAGACTCAAAAAACATCTTAAAACCTTAAAAAAATCAGAATGAGCACAAGTAATATATCCAGTTGTCCAAATCCAGAATAATTTCATAAGATTAGGAAAAATTGCTATCTGGAAATTACGCACCTATTTTTCAGGATGTTATTTAAACACGTTGTTCTATTTGATTTAGTAGGAATTTATTTTAATTAATACAAAATCTACATATATTTTACTTTATTGCTCGAAATGTTAGAAATCGAATGACAATTTACTTATCGTAGGCACTGTGTAGCGTTCGTAGTGAAAAATCAAATGAAAAAATAAAATAAAAATAAAACACAATCAAACATTTGTGACAATCTTATAGAAATAAATACATGCATATAAATATTGTACGATGATACGATATATATATATATATATATATATATATATATATATATATATATATAAAGCAATCGAAATCGGCTTGAACACTGCTTTTGGCACCTGTTGTTGAGCTCTGAAATAGAATCGTGTGTGTTTCAAAATTTATTTTTCCTTTTGTATGCGAATGAACATGAGGTAGACTAGCAAACGCTGCAATATTTAGACTGGAAATTCGATTGCTTAGTGCAGTACAGTGTAGTGTAGTGTCTAGGCTGCGCAGCTCAGTGTAAGTTTTGCACAGCATTGAGAAATCTTTGGCCTTGAGTATGTGCGTATGTACTGAGTTGAATATATGGGAAACCTATTTGGCATAATATTTGGAGCGTCTCCAGCGATTCACGATGCTGTGGGAGAGCACATAGGCGAGCAGTGCGCAAATGATCTGTGAATAAAAACAATATAAAAACAATGCATTAATCTTTTATGGAGTAGTTTCATTTAAGATTTACACACCTCAACGCCAACTAGAACCAGTGCAAATATATTGAAAGCTGTCCAGCGCTCTGCAATGTAGTCCAAAAACTTTTGACGACAGCCGTCTAGGTTCATTTTGTTCGTTTCGCTATTGTAGCAGCTGTTGGGGGGTAGCAAATAGTCCTTGTAGCTAACATTACCGCAACAATCGAGCTGAAGCATAAAAAAAACAAAAATATTACTTAATAAATGATTTACAAAACGTTTTTTAGTCTAGCTTACCCAACGTTCTATGCTGGCAATTTGACTGGCATTGCCGGGCTTAACGGGCACCGGCTGATCGTTCCACAGCTGATCGAATGTCTTGTCCACATTGATCAGCAGCGATGTTTGGAATATCCAAAAGAAGCCCACTGTCAGCACTTGAAGCACAATTAAAACAACAAGAATGGCAACAAACTGGAAGAATATAAAAACATGAGTACAGCGAAAACATATACCAAGAGCTAAACACTTACCGATTTGGACATGCGACTGCTCTCACGTACTGCGCCCAGGGTGCCAAAGAGCGAGACCAGCACTATGACAATGCCAAAGGTGAGAATGATGAAAGCAGCTGTATCAAAGTGCTCGAATCTGAAGAAAACATGTACGGCCAGTGCAATGACAATCAGACCAAAGAGCTGCAAATCGTAAATTAGAAAATGAATCAGTTAAATATAACCCAGAGATGTGACTATGACAGTCCTTCAATAATAAATAATAAAGCCTTAATGAGCTATAAAATATTCATTGAACACAATGTATACTTAATGTGCCTTGAGAAAAAGACTTATTACTCATACGCAGCGTATGCATGATCTTATAAATAGAAATATGTTAAGTAAAACGAAGACTACCAATATTTTGTAAGACTATTAAGCCATTATACTATTCAAAATTCGTTAGACATTGTGCATACTTAATATGTCACTTATTACTAATACGCTTTTGCAATATAATACAATTGTATTAAGGCTTAAAGCTATTACAAATTTGTATTAAAGCTTGAAGCTGTAACAAATTTGGTATACGTCTCATATACTTAATATGCAAACTACGTCTCTCATTACTCATACGCAGCATATTCACGCTCACATACATACGTAAATATCTGTTTAGCCCATAAATTTATTATAGCTGCTCAGTTTTAGCACATGCAACAAGTTAACCTTTATATAGTATATAATATATATATATATATATATAGAATATCATCCGATTTAAAAAATTCTACGCTCGCATCACGCATACGTAGCGTTTGCACTCGCACTGCATTTAGCTTTACCCTTTCACTATTTAATTGGTTGTTTTTTTCTCTGCTTACTTTTGCCTGCACAATTAGCACAAATTTGTTGCACTTGCCGTCTGAATTTCAAGAATGACTCAGGCGTTCGAGAAAATTTTACGCTGAAGCGCGATTGTAAACAGTTTTTCGAATTTGCCACTTGACACAGTTGGCGAACGTTCGTATCGTATTTGAACTATCGGCTATCAGCACATACACTCAAAATACTTTAATAAATGCGCAATAATTAGTTATACATTGTTTTATGTTTCCATCCTACATGGATTTGTTGATTCTTCAAAGTCGGCTACTGCTTGTTGGCTATACAATTGTGAATAATAATTACAATTATAAGAAACCAGTTAACATACTAGGCAAACAACATAGTTGTTGACACTTTGAATAGAGATATAGAGGTGGAAACGTGACACGAAGAGGTGTAGATGCTTGGATATTGTATCGTTATAGAATAGAGAGAGAAGATGACAAAAGATCTCCGATATGTGTAACGCTCTTCTATGCAATTCTCATAAATTAAATTGAGCTAAAGATAATTGAACATGATAGCTGTAATAGTCGTATATCGTATATCGTATATCTATTCTATTCGTATGAATTGTAGTAGTGAAGTAGAAGGAATTGTTTTTAAGTCAAGTCACATTAGCGCTTCTTATTGCGTGTCACGATACGGCTCCAACTCAAGTTGTCTATCAGCCAAACTTCCGCTGACCATTTAGGCTTGACATCTATTTTTGGTTGCATGTAAAGTAGCCCCCAAATAGCTTTCAGATTTCCGAAAGCCAACCAATTGTGAGCACAGCGTGGTAATTATGACTGATTTGTGCGATTTATCATGTTGACTTAATGTTTGTCTAGCTTTTTGTTTATGCTTTTCTGTCTGGGGCTTGTCTTGACGCAAACGCATTTGGCATTTGCTGTAATTTGTTGCCTTAACTGGTTGCGATGTCTTCATAAATTCAAAGTTTATCTTTGCACAGCTGCGCCTTTTAAGGCTCAATAGCGTAATTGAATAAAGGTCGATGCTTAATAAATAGTCAGACAATATTAGCTCTTTATCTGCCTTGCCCCCTTCTATTGAATTACAATTATGCAAATTACTGACAGACAAATTTAATTGCTGTCACTTAGGCAGGCGCATGTACTTGTAGAGGCATAGCTGAATATGGCCAAGAAAAATGTGGAAGGCACAAAATATTAATAGAATTGTAAAAGCAATTAGTATGCCAACAAATGAATAGTTTTTTATTCATCAAGTCATAAAGTCATGAATTAAACTCTGATAAAGTGTTTACAGCACACGATATCAAGTCAACAGCAAGCACTTTATTTACTTCTAAGAGACTTTAGAGCATCTGGCATTATGTCTAGATACCACGCCATTTAATTGTTATTTATTACACATGGCGCCCAAGCTGTCGACGATGCTGACATAACTTTGGAGTGCCCAAAAAGGGGCGTTAAACCAAGCATAGCCCATGGAATCCGAATGACAATGGCATTGAATCCAAGTGTGAATCAGATCTAATCTTTGGCATACATCAATTTCGCCCTTAATTATTTACTTAAGTATGCTCTCAATACGAGTAAATATTAGGTAACCCGAAATGTCACATGTGTTATCTCAACTCATTTGCACTCTAGTGAAGATAACAGCTAAAAAGTGTCGCACAGCAACAACAGAAATATAAAGTCTAAAAAATAACACTTTTTAAATTGGTAGCATGTCGCTAGTTAAACTTTTACTAGATAAGGTAAGTAAAGATAACTATGTGTTTCGATATATAATGTATATCAGACATATTTCATTACTATTTGTATTAGATAAGTTGGCTACGATTTGTTTTGTTAGATGAGTTTGAAAAAAAAAAAATAAGTTGACAATATTGAATTACATAAAATTTAATAAATACGCATTATTTGCAATATATATGCTAGGTAAGCTAAGAAAATGTTATATTTAATATGAATAATATAACTTAACTTATCTAATAAATAATTTTTCTCCTTAACATAGTTGTGCTCATCCTCAAAATATTAATTTATATGACATATATTTTTTGTTTTTATTAAGCAAGTTAAATAGTTTTTATTAAACCATTATCTTTCTAACACTCCAAGCATTTATTTCTTATGTTAGTTAGTATGATTTTATTTGTCTATTAAAATAAACTTTTAACTTTTAGTTTTTACTTAACAGTCAGTGGGCAAATAAAACAACTAACTGATATTAGCTTTAGTGGACTCTGAGCACGATTTTTTCCACTTTAATTCGTGGCACATGTCATTTGCATATTATTTGCTCTAATTTGTCCCACAGACAAACAATTAAATGCAATTATCGTTTACACATATAGACAGACAAGTGCGTAAGCAAGGCCAACCGAGAGGCAAATTATATTTGCATATAGCTGATAAGGCATAGCAACTGATTAGACTTTAGCGGGCTAAGCCTACGAAAACAGCTGATAATTGTACGCTCACACAACAGTTGAAGCGGCCGAAATAGTTGCCTCTGCGAACAGCATGTGGTCTAGGCAAGCCGAGAACAACTAGACAAATGTCATTTAGCGAGAAATGTTCGTTGAGATTTATGTGGGTTTAACAAAACAACCAGACTTGACAACATAAATGCGCGCTTGAATGTTGCTGGGAAAAATACCAACAAAAAAAGGTTGTGCCCTACCTCAAATGCAGGGCGAGTAGTAATAGGCACAGCTGGTATTTAATTAAAAACACGCGGCCGCGCCACATAAAGTAATTTTAAAGCAAAAAACAACAACAACTACTACGAAAACATAAACAACAACAACTACAAAAGAAGAGCAGATCGTCAGTAAATCAAAGTTTACTCACTTGGAACCAATGCGGAAAAGTGGCGCATACGCCACGTTGTGTGCTATTTCTTTTGGCATTTCCTTTGCTGGCACATTTATTCGATATATTTTTCTTGCTCATTTTTCGTTCAGCTTAGTGCTGAAAAATATTTATATATTTTCCAAACAAAATTTTGCAATGTCTGAAAAATGACATCAACCAATTTTCAGTTGGCGTGAAAGACAGAAAAATAAGCCACAGTCAAAAGACAAATATACTAAATATTTTATACAGCTAGGAGGCAGTGACGCGATGCTACACACACACACACATATTTTGACCGCCTTTTGCTCAGGGCCAAGTTTTATGGCGTGGGTGTACCAAGTTTTTATATTTCAATATTTCTTTTTCAATTTTATTTTGAACACTGCGCGCATAACCAAAAACAAGTATTATTGTTTTGTTTTTATTTTTTATTTTTCATGCTTTAAAAACAAATTTAGTTCTTAGCAGAAATAAACAATAAATTAAGTAAGTTTTGGTATGCAGCAATTTTGACAAGCGGTTAAACCTAAGAGCAAAACACAATTATGGCAAAGATCATATAAAAATATCACACAAATATCAGCTATGCGGTATTTCTTTAAAAAGTCTGGGCAAGTTTTTGTTTAGAATTTTGTACAAGCTGCAGACAGTTGAGACTGAATCATAAGCTAAATCGAATGCATGTGGGCGAAATTCCTTCTATAGAAATCGAGACAAACGAAGGATAAGGTTAAACAAACGGTAATTCCATAACAGAATAACTAAAAACTCATCATTTAATGGTTGACTTTAATATTGTGTTAGAATAATATATTATTTTATATGAATTTAATTTAATATATAATTTTTTAGTTGATTACAATTTTTAATAACATTTCTTATATTTTTATATATTTAAATATTTATATTAAAAGGATTATGTTGACTTAAGATTTCTATTATTATTTTTTTCATATTATTTCACTTCTATCACGACGTCAAGACACAATTCACATTCCATTCTACGTGTCTGTTTCGTGAACATAAAAATTAAATTGAATTTTCATTAAGCTGCGCCCAGTCCAAATAGATTAACATAAGAATACAACGCAGCATATTATTATTTAAATACCAAATGGAATGGAAGAAAAAAAAACAGAACAACAAACAGAAACCTTCAAATGTAATTGAAATGCTGTTAAACATTTAGCTATCCAATCAAGCTGTAATTCTAGCTAAATGTTATTATGCACTGGTATCAAATGGTGTTTATACATACATATATGTATGCCGTTATCAGTCACATTAATTACTCAACAATACATATTTATGCGATGAAGTCAAGGCTTGTTGTATGTACTTTAGCACAAATAAACAAAGTTCTCAATACTCAGTGCACGCGTTTATATAAACAGCAAAGTGTGAATGAAATTGTCTTGCTAAACAAACAATTATATACACACTATACTACCGATTTGACCGCAAAGCCATTATTAGTTGCAATTAAGCAAAGCACAAACTTAGTGAAAGACCTTCAGCTGGGGGTTAGTAAACCCAGTAGGTCTTAATGAAACGTGTCTTATTCGTGTAATTATATCTTTTAATGCTATTATGATTATAATGCCTTAATAGCATTTACACCATTCTGAAGAGCTTTAGGCCTCATTTGCATAGGCCTCAGCGTTTCCGTCAACAAGCCTCAGCTCAGGTTTCGCCGTTCATAAAAAGAATAAAAACTTTAATCATATTATATGCGCACACTTACAACATAGATTATATCCCAGATTAGGGCAAAGATTTTTAACACCTTTGTGGAGCAGGCCATTTTGCAGTGACTGTATGATAGAATTTGCACAGTTTATAAATATTTCTATGTATATATCTATGCTACAATAGATATATTTTTGTTGCTATATCTGCCGCACGAAAAAACACTTTTCATTAAAGTTTTCACTGCTGCATTTGGCTTAAAAAGCACTTGGCAACGAATGCGAACACTTGTTTGAAATTCAAAATATTTTTCCTTTTTTTCTATTTTTTTATTCAACTTTTAACGGTTGCTCGGGTAACCAAACCCGACATGTTCGCGCACGAATCTTAACTGATTTGTTGATAGCAAAAACGTTTTTAGCAACAAAGCAAATACAAATGTTTTGAAAACGGAACGGCACATCGGAACGTGCTGGAAGCGAAACAGCAACCGAGCGGACCGCGTGCTGTTTGTTAGGCATGGGCGTCGTTATTAAGAGGGGCGCTCGCTGCTTCAGTATACCATTGTATGTGTATAAACACATACCTCAAGCTGATAAATAAAGCAACCAAAGCGACAACAACTTTTGTCGCTGCGCTATTTTTATAATAGTTGCTTTACATACTTTTCAGCGCGCTCGCTTGGTGGAATAATATGGAAGTGGGACGAGGAGAGCTAGAGGCGGGCGAATCTAGTATATATGCTAATGTTGTAAACTTTGCACGGGATGATTCATAGCTGCTACATTAGATCAGCAAATTAGAAAACATCTCGAAATAAGTCTAAGGAACAAGAATATTTAGAAAGCCCAACATAATTGCTGCCTAGCGTTTGATTCAAGTCTATTTCCAATTTTAATGAATATATTTCTCTCTTAAAAAGATATTTAAAAAGGTTTCTAATTTGAGGAAAAGTTTGAACAATTTACACTGATATTGGAACCAATCTGCTTAATATAAAATATTAGTTCAAATATTTTTTTAATTCCAATTTATATATTTTTTAAGATATAAATATATTTGCTGCCTTGTCTGTCGACCTGATTTTCTAAGCTCGTAGATTTTAAAATAATGTTTATTTTAAAATATACAAAAATTAAAATATTTTCATAAATAAAATACGCTAAATTTCATATTTCATTAATTTTTGGTTGAATCGAAAATATTGTTAGGCAAGTGCAAAAATTGTTGGAGTAACCAACAGTAAATTGTGTATGTAGATTTTACTTGATATTGTTTATTTTATTCGGTTGATTATAGTCAATAATTTATTAGCTCCTTCACAAACCAGCTAGCCGAAATGCCATTTTATAGAATAAAAAGTCACATGATATGTTATTTAAAGATTTCATTTTATTTCTCTTTTTGTTTTTGTTAAAAAGTAATATTCAAATAAATTAATTCACATGTCTTATATTAGGAGTACATAAAAAATGTTTTTGTTTGTGTAAGTAAAGCTATAAAAGCTTAAAAAGCAACTAACTTGATAACAATAACTAATATATATAAATATATCTTTGTGTAGATATATTCGTGTATGTATGTACATCAAAAGCCATTTTAACTGTTGTAGCACTTTCTTAGAAAATTCGTAAGTTTAAATGGTTGGGCACATGGTAACAATTTGTTTTTGTTCTTTGTTTGTTTTTGTAAAGTATTGTGAGGTAAATTCACTTTACATAAAAATAGTGAAATAATTTAAACGCCATATTATATTATATTTGAAGCAATAATAATTTCAACAAATGCAAATTTCACTTTGGACGGTCAAACTCCTCAGTAGTACGAACGTCGATGATCATTGCGAATACTGTTGCACAGTCCACAGGATACAAAACTAAGGATCAGCTGTAAAAGTAAAAAACTTTTTGTTATAGATCCTATTAACAGGATATATTAAGGAGGTTGACTTACCTCAACGGCGACCAGTATCCAGCCCATTATGTTGAATATGCTCAACAGGTGCCGCCAATAATTTTCGAACTCAACGCGACAGCCCGTATGAATTAAGTTTTCCGATTTACTTTTATCATGATCCCGGAAACACGTAGCTGGCGGTAAACGTTCATTCACAATATAATCTTGAGGACTACCGCGACCGCAGCAATGGAACTGTAAAAATTGGACAAATTATTATTATTATAGTTTTGTGCTTGATACGATTAAAAGCTCATAAATATTTGCCAAATATATTCAAATATATTATTAATGTGAATTTATGGTTTTGCTGTATCATTCTTTGGTGCTTAATATCTTTGACCAGTGTTTTTTACACATGGTTAGCCTAGCCATAGTAAATAGTGTTGGGCAATCCAAAGTTATATCTCTAATAGAACCTACCCAGTTCTCATACAAGGACATAGCGCCAGGACTATTGAGCTCCTCCTCCCATGTCGTTTCCAATGAATTGGCCAAGTTCGATGCAGCTGTATTTTCGCCCTTTGTAAGCACAAACAACACAGCCAGCTGAACAATAATAACCACACACAATATGGTAATGAACTAGACAACAAAATAATAGTTAATTAATCATTTAATTGTTTGGGTTGATGTCATGCCTGGTGTAGGTTAACTACTTACAGTCACTGTACAGCAGACATTCTCCCTCCAGGCGGACAGATAGCCCCAGAAAAATATAATTATGGCCGCAGCGCCAATGCCAATATATGCGTAGGCTGTCCAGCAGCCAATCTCGTTTGTATCGTAGGATACCAGGATATAGATGCCAAAAGATATGAGCACCAGTGCCAGCAGCTAGAAAAAAAAGAATAAATATAGAACACAACATAAATAAAATCTAAATTGTAAATAAACCGCTAAAGAGGCAACTCCAAAACATTGCGCTACTTTTATGCTTTTGACCTTACACAAATAGAAATGTCCTGGAAGTGTCTATACTGTGTTTGTATGTGTGAGCTACCATGCTAATGGACGCTCTAGCTAAAAACTACATAGGCGTCCGATAGACTAGTCTAACTGGCGACAGTAGCAAAGGCATAGCCAGAAACACACAATCCACAACAAAAACAATACGCGACTAACAGATGCCCTCTACTCAATCAAAAAAAAAAAATATATATATATATATATATATGTACAGACAAGACCATGGCTATAAATCACATTTAGAAGCCGAAATAAGTGTAGAATAAACAAGCTCCAACTTGTATATAATTCACATGTCAGATAAACACAACTTGGCCTACACTGATTACAGGGTATGTTGACATGCAAAATAGGTTTCAGATTTGTTGTCACATGAGCAATAAATTCTGACAGGAATAAGCATATTAACAAAGTCCTTTAATTAAAACAGACACGCAGTAAATACTAAATTGAATAGAAATTTATTTGCCACAGGCAAAATTTAATTTAAATATTTTAAACAAGTTTTTTTTTTTTTTTTTAATTTAAAGAACAGTTTTTGAACAGCTATACGTCAGAGTTTATTTAAGAATTCAGCTCACAATCGATTATAAATGAAAAATTAATAAACTGCCAGTTGATGTAAGCCATATTTGATGAAGATATACATACCGCCTGCATGTCCACATATATGTATATCTGTATATTGTACTTGCCATGTGTTCATTCTCAAATATTATTGAATATGTGTAGTAAGTAAACTAACAAACGAAAACGTGTGAGCTAAATAATTTAATATTGATTTACAACGGGTTCAATGACAAGCTTAAATGGTGTAAATATTTACACCTATGCATATTCGGGGTATTTAAGATCTATTAGTGTGCCGCAAATACTATTTGCTTAGATTTTAGAAATGTGCTAAGTACCCATATAGTATTGAATAAGTATGAAATATTTCACAGCTTCAAAGATTTTCTTTAAAGAGCAAATACCAAAAATTAGATTTGAAGCTGGATTCAAGTTTAGATTTCTTAGGAAATTTTTAAGAACCTATATGAAGTAAACTTTACAGGCATAACAGTTAACGGATGAGCCTGGATGCCTTTTAAGTTTTCCGAAAAAATCCCTAAAAATGTGCTTAATAAACTCACTGTACTTCTGTTTCTTATGACAAAACAATTCTTTGTGTGCTTTCCATACGAAATATGTACAGATATACATTTAGTATAGCTGTTTTATAGTCCCCCAAAAAGTGAGCTTTGAACTTCGAACTTTATTTGGCTGTTTCATAGACTCACAACATTATAAATTTGTCAAGCAAAACTTTTTTTAGTCAGCTTTTTGTAGTTCAATGAGTGAACAAGTAGATTTAATAACACAATGGCACGAAAATCTGAGTCGAACTTGATTACTCGATTAGTTATTTCAAATTGAATTTCAAATTACATTAAATTAGGAAGTACATTTTTGATCTTTTTTTCATGCAAATAGTTTTGGCGATAAGGCTTTTCAATTGGTGATAACAAATGTCATTGTGTTCTAATTTTCTTTTCATGCATGCACACATATATATATATATATTAATACAAAGGTGTATTGTTCGGGAAAATTGATACAAGTGGTTGGCCTGTACTTTCATTGACGCCAATAACTGGAGAACCGCGCCAATTGGGAAAGTAAACAAACGAATTGGCAGAGTCTTTGCGGCAATTGATGGCAATTATCTAAAGACATTTTTTCTCAACTCACCGTACAAAGTATGTGCAGGGCATAGGCAAACACCTTATAACCCGATGTGGAGGCCATACTGCTGCTATATCCACAAATGCTTCAAATTCCTGTATGGAGCAATATAAATCCACTTGCGCAGCGCTAACAAAAAAAACTTGTTTTCTTTTTGTATTCGCTCTTTTTTGACTAGCTCTCACTCGATCTCGTTCTCACTTTATCTCTCTCTGGCTCTCGCTGCTGTACTGATGATGCGTATATTTTTATGAGATCATGAATCAAACTTTAGAGTGTTAGCTATAACAAATATGAATTTCAAATAGGTTCGCAACAATCAATGACACATGACGTCGTGACTATTTTTAATGAAATCAGAAACTCAAACGGGCTTTATGTGCTATACGGTTTTTTAGACATGTTGCATAGGTGCGTCTATGTACAAGCGAATTTCTATGTATATATGCGGAGCTATCAAGAGTCGGGCGCCAACTTCAACACATTCGGCCTAGCACAAATTCGATTCGCGTGCGTCGAATAACTGAGCGTTACCAAAGCGAACTGTCTGCCGGCTCACCGATTATTATTTTCTTTCGTCAAGCTAATTTTGTACACTCTCAAACATGACGTCACAAATGATTCCGAGAGAGAGCAAAAGAGCTGGGTCACACTTCTAAGCTAACAGCGCCAAGCTTTGACAAACCTCACATGACTTTTGCCACTCAAAGCTCAACAATTGAAAAAAGCTTCAGGTCAAACAATGATGCGCGTAAATATATGCACAGTCAGCATATATTTGTAATAACTCCAGTTTTATTTGAATTTATTATTGATTCACGTATATAGTTGCATACCACAAAAACACAGCTCAGGCCAAGAACTATTAAGAGAAATAATATTTTGAATACATCTAAAAAATATCTGAGGTATGAAAGCTATACTTACCTTTAATAAAAACACAAGTATTGACGCTATATGCATCAAATATAAAGTTTTCTCCCATTACAAAAAAGATTTCAAAACTTAAGGATAAACAAATCATAAACATAGCCATTAATATCCAAGTGAATAACACAGCTTTTATCTGAAAACCAAAAAAAATTAATATCTTAATGGAAATATTTTATATAGCTATTGCACCTTCACTTTATAACAAACGAAAAGCAATCCACAAAGCGAATTGAAGAATTCGGTTAAGGCCTGAATCACGAGCATCGATTCCGAAGATTCTGCGAAATAATTTTTATACTATCAATCGAATACGGCAAGCAGCATTTATGCTTACCTGAGTCCTCTTTGAATATATTAACATTTTTAATTATCAATTCCTTAACACAAACATATGACAGATATACGTTATAGCACATAAAACCCAAAAAGAGCAAAAGTATTATTTCGCGACACATTCTGGCTGAAGGCGAATGCTTTCTGATCAAAAAGTTGGTCTTAATTGGAAATTTATATATATGACCAAAATTATAATAATAGACTGAGGCTAATTGAGAGTAATCCAACAATAATTGCAAAATGTTTATTAATAAACAGCTCAGCATGATATGAATTATTAAAAATTATATATGATATATTAAAGAGCTTTTAAAATATATTAAAATGTATATTATATATATATATATATATATATATATATATATATATATATATATATATATATATATATATATAATATATATATATATATATATATATATATATATACATATATATATCCAAAATTTAACTTTTTCTTTAGAAAAAACATTTAAATAAAATTATATTGATATTTAAAATGGTTTGTATATGCTTTTCAGCTTCTTAAAACTAAAAACTTTTTAAGACATAAAATTTTGGAAAACTTATTATATTTCATTATCCTCGAAGTCTTCGGAGAAAACATCGTTAAAGATGGCCAAGGAGATGCACAGCATCATGACTATAAAAAAAGTTATTAATTATATATTTACATATATATAATATATATAATATATATATATATATATATATGTATATATCAGTAACTATTCTAGTACGGATTCCCAATTACTCATACCCATTTCGACAAATCCGATCACCACTGAGATCAAGATTAAGAATGGCCAGAATAAAAATAATATTTGTACAAAGCACAAAATTAGCAAAAATGAAGAAAACAAAAAAAAATATGCAACGCCATTTTTCTGTATGAGAATAAAAATATATAATTTTCATAAGCAACTGTCGACAAATTATTTATAATAAAAACGCACTTTGAATTGAAAACTACTCAATGATATCCCGATTATGCAATGCACAAGCGCCGTAACCTCAACAAAGACCAGCATAGCATTGACACTCACTTGGTTATCTTTTGCTGCATAAAAGATTTATAAGCTTTATGAAGATATTTTAATTGTATATAGAAATAAATTTTTTTTAATTACGTATTAATGCTGGTTCGTAATACTGTTGTATTACGTAGACATACATAAACCGATAGGTAAATAAATATAGCGACATTACAGCTGAAGCCAGAACTGAATAAAATTGTTCGAACATAATCTACTGTCGAATCAACTACGGACTGTGCACTGCCGAGCTATGAAGAATGGAATGGATAATAACTTGCTAAACTGATGAATAGGTAGACACCTTTTTAATATATGTATAACATATTAGCTGTAATAGCTTTTTATAGTTATAATTATTATAATGATGAACTGAGTTCAAGGACACAGAACTTTTATGGAATGAAAAAATATTTATAGATATAATAATATTCATATTTGTATTTCAAATTTAATCGGCTTTCAATTCTGTGGTTGAAATATAATAAAGTATATGATAAGAGACAACTATCCCTAAGCAGAGGTTTCCGCAGGATCCGATTGGATATTAGCTGCAGGAGTATGCAGCACACGATACAGATGAAATGCAACGGAGCCAAATGTAAAGACCAGACAAGCTGCAAGGGTATGATACAAAATTTGAAATTTATTATTTATAAATATAACAATTTTAAAGAAATTAATTCTTACCAAAGCCCACGATATTTATATCGCTATCACTAATCGAATAAAAGGGACTATAGCATAAATAGATAAAGTAAGCGCAACAAGTAAGAGCTGCATGCAACAACAGCCACCACTGCAGATAGTTAATGCTCTGAATAAGAAATTGTAGCTGATAATATATTAATATATATATATATATACGTATATCGCTACTTACGCTCCGATCGGTTAGCATAATAAATGGACTGGCAAACACTGTTGGCAGATATAGCGTGTATATAGCATACGTACTATAACAGTCCTCCGGAAATGGACCTTAACCATAATCTATTGTTAAATGGCAATTATTCAAATTTATATAGTTATTACCTTCTAGGCTATCGTTGCAGTCATCGTAACAGCGCAGCACAAAAGTTACAGCAATAATTAATATTATTAAATTATAGAATAACGAAAATGTTAGAGCTGCCACGCCTACAAATTTCCAGCCGGCGCACATATTTATCAGTTAACGTCTAAAAAGCAACTGCAGTGAAATAAAAGAAGACTAAAGCTATCCAAACAGTTCCAACATACGAGCAGAGAGCATATTATATTAATTACTGGGCATCGGCCTAATGAATAATATTATTGAGTCAATATTTTTTCCACGGCTTAGTCCATCTGAGCACAGTCCAATTCCTCCAGTTCGTTCGCATTCAGAAACTCTTTCTCGTAGTCATAAACCGTTTTGAAGAACTTTAGATATATTACTAAAAATAACAATTTAAAAAAAATATAATGAACCGCCTCGGTTCATGTAATTACATTAATAAATCAGACAACTCACTTAATATTGATATTGTAACTACTTTATATAATGTCAGGCGTTCGTCAGATATCAGCAAAATATATATAAAGCCGTATACGTAGGTCAAAGAGAAAAATAACCATATACTGATGATGCTAGGAACCTTACATTAAATATTTAATATTATTAAAAATATATATATTGTATATATATATATCGATTTACTTTAAGTTTTTTACGAGCCAAAAGATGGCCTGCACCGCCATTCATTAAGAGAAGACAGTTCATGACAACTATGAGTTGTATTAATACTTCTTTATCTAGAAATTCGACTGTTTGAGATCAATTTTATAATTCTATTTCACTCAAAACTCACCCAATGGCAATCCGAGTAATCCAGTTAAACAACATATTGTTATGTGCATAAATACGCACAACAAAAAATTTGTGCCAGCAACAAGAGCGAGGGCAGACAGTAGTAAAATCCCTCGTACGTCAACCATTCCAGATATATCACTAACTATACATGGACTATCTACTAGCAGCAACTGTTACGCCTTATAAAAACAGGCATTATTTGATTAATTATAATCATTATTTTAATAAATGTTATATGTTACTATACATATCGCTGGTTATTAGTTTCACGTTGATATATCCATGATGATGTATCGAAAGCTAGTTTAAAAGAAATGTTAACTCGGTTTCTGGCATATTAAAATAAACCATAGCAACAAAACATAGTTCAGGGGATAAGTCGGCTAATATCATAATCCATATCAAAAGAATTCACAATAATAAATAATAAAAACATCTACATAAGGAATACAATGTATTTTTATATTTAAAAATAAAATTCCAGCTATGAAACATTGTATTGCATTGAAACATGTCTAAATATACTTTCGTAAGTACATGTATTATATGCACAACCCCAAAAAATGTATATCTGAATTGAATACACAATATACTTATCGCACAGTCAAATACGTATATTTATATGTATAGATGTGAATTGCTGGTTAAACAAAAACGTTAAGAAACCGAAGGTCAAGCCTGTGGCTGCCATGTCAACGCCTGGGGACACAACATAACCCATTGCCACTGCTACTGCTACTGCAACGCGGGAATTATTTTGCATGGGGAGTTATGGTTATAGGTACTCACAAGGCTTCCATATAATTAAAAATAGAAACACGCATAACATGTGGTTCGTTTCACTTTTTTATTATTATTGTATATGTATATAAATACGTCTTAAATGCTTTATTCATTCACGTTGTTTGAAATTCGAGTTTTGACTGCACTTTTTTATCAACTTTATATTTTATGGGTCAAATGTAAAAAACGTTGAGAGATTCCAATTTACAAATAAAATGATGAACAACTTTTAATGTATACATATATTTTACATATATTCTTTTGGACACTTGTTTAGACAACTGGTACAATTATAGCATAAGGCTTTAACACTACATAGTATTTGTATGTTAATATCATATATAAATTTATAAAAATCAAAACAAAAATACAAAGTTTTAACATTAAGATTCGCTCTTCGTTGATTGTTGTAACATAAATTGTTGTTGCTGTCCATCAGCATTTTATTTATTTTTATTTGTAGCTTTGTACGACTTTGGATTCGTTTTATTTTTTTGTTAATTCAACAGAGCAATTGATTACGAAAGCAATAGTTGGACAATATTTAAGCGCTTACACTAGTTTATACTCGATTTTAGGTTTAACTTCTTTTTTTTTAGCAAAAGTTTAGCAAGTTTTTTTTTTGTTCAAACAAATAAATTAAGTATTTTTGTAACCAAATGGTTTACATCGAATATATTTCCAATATTACTCATTTGTTTTGTGTTCTTTTACTGCGTGTGCGTTCTACGGCAATACATATTATTGTGTTAATGAGAATGTATGTGTGTGTATATGGTTGTGTTGGTGTTTAAATGTTTGATTTAGTAGCCATTGCGGCGCTTGTAGTTGCGCACATTGTTTGCCAAGCAACAGGCAAAGATGAAGCCAACCAGCTATAATAAAAATAAGAAATGAGTTATTTACGATCGGAATACAGTAATAGAAAGAAAAAACTCACCTCAACCACAATGAGACCCAGACCGACATATTTAGCCTTCTCGGAGCTGCCGGACATAAAATCAACAAATTTGGAACGGCAACCGCCATAGATGTTCAGTGGGTTAGCGCAAGAGCCATCACAGCAGCTAGAAGGGAGTCCATCGTTTAAGAAGCTTAAAGAAACATAATCCGAAGCGCCACTGCTGCCGCAGCAATGCAGCTATAAAGGATAAACAACAGTTAAATATTAAAACATTCAATCTAATAATTATATGAAATATATACCGATTTCTGAATGGCATCGAATACACCGGCCTCACGTGCTTCAGGCGAAGCCCAGACCTTGTCAATCACTTCACCCATGGCGACATCAAACTTTTCTTTGTTGGTGAACAGCAGCACAATAATTGCCAGCTGCAGGATGAGCAGGACCAACAGACAGACGGCATAACTCATCATCATACACACAGATTCGCGAATGGCACCGCAACAGCCCAGGAACGAGATGAAGACCACAACCGAACAGAGAGTGATCATTAAAATGGGCAACGCTGCCTGGGGTGGGAACCCGGTCTGTCCATTGACCTCAATGGTGCCAACGCTCTGCAGTATGAGCACTCCAAACACAATACCCATAATGCCAATAAGCTGAAAGAATTTAAGGAACACGATATATTGAAAGATACTAATTTGTAATTCGATTTTTGGTCTATATTTGTTACATATTAATGTTAAAGCTTGTTTTATATTATTGTTAAACACAATTGGCGGTTCAGATTATGAATATGGTTTTTACATTGATTTGAGGGTTCCTATATATGCCTTATATGAGTTGACTCCATTAAGTGCTTGTAAATGGCACATTACACAGAAAATATAACAAGTCGTAAATATTTTTACAGGCAAATATACGCTACATTAAATTTTCAATTCAATTTTACATTTTAAATATCGTTAAATAACTGCGAACGTTGGGTCTCCCTCAAAATATATGTATATTAAAAAGGGTCTTTTTCATTAAGAATAAATAATATAAAATATTTTTGTTTATTTATAATACTTGTCATTGCTCTATACAAAAAAAAAAAAAAAAAATATATATATATATATATATATATATATATATATATATATATATATATATATATTTATATATATATATAAATATATATATATATATATATAAATAAATATATATACATATCTATATATATATATATATTTATATAGATAATATATATATATTTTTTTTTTTGTATAGACGTTTTAAAGCAATGACAAGTATTATAAATAAACAAAACAAAATATATATATATGAGGTTTCTCACTTCGCAAAAATTTGTCACCGGGGAATCAACTTTTAAACAACTCTCAAATATATAAAAACATACATTATGAGTTAAGTTGATTTAACCTTATATAAGGTGCCATAAATGGAACAATGAGTCTGCATTGTGCAGACAGCAATTGCGTAAGGCCAGAGCTGCAGTTGCAGTTGATAGCTTAGCTGTGGAAGTATACTGCGCCAATTATGTTCAATTAAAAGAGAGCGAAAAAATGAGTGTGCGAGCGAGAGAACAACAATTAGCATGCCAAAGATAAATTATATAAATTCTTAATTACAACTGGGGCCACCGCCCGCCGCAGCTGACCTTAGGGATAACAAGGGCCAAAAGTACGTGGCTAATGGCTATTAAAATTAGCAGGCGCAACGCTGCTGACGTAATGCAAGCAACTAGTTGAATTAAAACAGATCTCATTAAATACTAAAGCAGTACATATGACTGTATATATATATATAGTCATGCTTATACAGTATATAAGTTGTAAATATTTGGGCAGGCGGCATCGCGTAAGCTATAACGTTTTGTTTGCTAACAAAATCGCACTCAGCATACGCACAGTGGTACAAGGCTAAATGCTGCTGATTAGATAAGCCTCATCTTAACTTTAATACGTAATACATCTATATATATATTTGTACGAGATAGCTGTAAAAAGCGACTAAAGTTCAAGATTTAAATCAATTTATGCAAGTTGCTTTTGCCTTCCATTGTTGTTGAATCGAAGCAGATATCAAGTGCATCAACAATTGTTTGCCAATTAATTGAATTTACCAGATTTTATTATGCACACGATTCCTACAGCTCTGTCTCGCATACCCTGTACTTCGGCAAGTAAAGATATATTGTATATTGATATATATATAGAACTGATAACACCACTCATCTGATCGGTTTCCCAACTTGTCGAATATGCAAAATAAATAAATAAAATACAAATCTGGTTTTCGACACATGCACACACAGGCACACCAAAAATATGAGTTTTTTTTTTTTAATTTTGTATAACAAATACAAAAGAAACAAATATGTTATACAGACATGAAACTTTATAGCGTGCAGCCAATTGCCTTAAGTGCGCCTGAAGCACTTTTACTTGTTATATTCGCCGCTCTGTGGGCGTATTGTTTTTTTGTAGTTAATTTATGAATTGAATGGATGCTCAGAGCTGGTCTTGTCCAAATTTGTAGCGTAATTGACCTAAATAGTAGCAACAAAAGCAACATTCTACTATTCAAGCTGCTGAATGTTCCACTTTCTCAATAGAACAAGACAAAAACAAAAGTGTAAAAACTTCATGATTAATTAGCCCAACTGACTAACATTGATATATATATATATATATATACATATATACATATATATATAAATATCTATTTATAAATGCAAGTATATATTTATATATGAATATAAATAGAAAATCATTTGAAAGTTAATTTCTTTAAGTCTTATGACGTCATGTCAGAAAACCTCTTATGTAAATTGATGTGTACGGTCCCCATTGTGAACCCTTGGCAAAACAAAAGCAATGCACGACTGGGGATTACTCCATAATGACGAGATTACTCTATAATAAAAGCCATCTAAAAAACTTTTGAAAATGTATGCTTTGCCACTCGCATAAAGACCATACTTTGGTTATCATATCTTCTCGCCTTAATAAAGAGTTTAGTCTATAGAAGCAAATGTTGAGCTCATTTTATGCCAACACTTCCTGGGAACAACCCTCAAAGGCATATACTCATACTTGTTTTGGCTGCTCATCAATTGCAATAAATAAATACGCTAGAGAGAAAGAAATTCGAAGCTCTCAATGTTAGAGCCACACCCTAACTGTGATGGCCCGACCAAGCGGCGCCAAATTTGGTCTGTTTGAATGTCTCGTCTGTCCGTTGTCAGTTGGTCTCCGTTTCTAACTATTCAGTTATCATGGCCGAAAACAACAAGTGAGAAGCGAGATAAGGTCGTACACAAGTTGCTGCTGCGGCTTGTGCAACAGGATGTGTGCGTGCAACAAAACACAAAAATAAAAAACATGTGACATTTTGATTAAAAGCGTATCGCAATTTCTAAAATAATTACACACTCTACTTGTATATTTATAGTACTAAAACACGATATACCCCAATGATACTAAGGCTTCTAAATTTGCTAACGTTAAAAGTAATGTGAGAAAAACTGTGACGATAAATAAAATTTTAACTTTGCAAAATAACATTATTTTATGAAGCAATTTATTTGTATCGAAAGACATGGGACCTTTGAATACATTTGACACAGTAAACAGCACTGTGTTTTTTTTTCTTGCTTATAAAGCCCGGATAAATGAATTAAATCTATATATGCATATATATATATAATTATTTAATCAGTTATATATATGCTTATATACATACATATATCTGAGTATTCCTATACATAGTACATATAAAAACTCAGTCAGGGTTGTCATTAACTTGTTGCAGCTCGCATTCTAACTCGCATTCGATACTCAAAAGTCAGACGTGTTGAAAATACAAATAAAAAAAAGTATGCTCTTCGTGCACCTGAATCTGGGTAAAATACACACGACCCTATACACAGTGACTATGTATATGTGTGCCTGTACCTGTGTCTGTATCTCTGTCTGTAGTTTCCCTTTTGTATTTAACCAGCGAATTGCACAATGTTTTGTTGCTTTCTCGAGCGTTGCGATGTTTTTTGATTGTTTTTTTTTACTCTAACAAAGACTACTGTGGCTTTGTCAAGCAGTTTGTCGCGCTTACATATAGACCAGAAACATTGAACAAAAAAGGTTGTCATAAAAAAACAATAATATATGAGGAATGCACAAAACGTACAGCCAGCTCAGAAAAATGACTGCAGCTAATGCATATTTTGAGCTAGACGAAACGATTTGCTACAACTTTTATTCGCTTACTTACTTCTTCGAAAGGAAAATATATACAATTTGAGTTTTCCAAAAAAAAACAAGTATATTAAAGTTTCGGTTTGGTTAAAGCTTATCTACTTCTTTTTTTCTTTTTTTTCTTTCGTGTGGCCAAGCGACGCTCAAAGGCGGCTTTTTGCTGTCTGTTAATTTGCTTGCCTTATAACTGTCAAGTGTGTTATGTACACATACACACACACATACACGTGATTCAGATGGGTATCTGTGTATATATACATCTGTATATATACAGGTAAACAACCCGAGGTGAGTTTGCACGTGTAAATGTGAACTATGTAAATAACGCGTGCTTGTTCTTTCCACCAGTTGCTGAGCAATGCAACAAGTTTGTGCTTTTGCTTTAATTTTCTGTGTTTTTATTTCTTATTATTAACTTGTATTTGTCGACGAGAAGTTCATGTGTTTTTTATGGTTTATTTGTTGAATCACATTTTGCAAGCTAAAATTGCCAACGTAGAAATATATGTGTTAACGTTTATGTGAAAAAGAACTCTGGCTGTCTGTTTGCTTGACTTGACTCAGTACAAAAGCTTGAAAAGTAATTTTCCTAGCACATTAATAGTAGTTTTACTGCTCTTTGGGTTTTAAACTATTTCAGACTCCCTGAAAATTATTACAACCGACAATTGCCACTATAGCTATATTTTTAATATATATTCAACGTGCATATGCAACATATCAATTAACAATTTCGTTTGAGGGTGTGTTTTCTTTTCAACTATTTGCATGCACAAATATTTGCGCTAATTAGTATTTCAAATGCGTAGCCATACGATGTACTGTATATAAGGTTTCTCGTTGAGTCATACGTCTACTGATCGAACTAGCACGTCTGTTTCCCTGTTATTACTGTCAATTATGGGGTGTATGATTGAGAGTGTGTAGTTCATCTTATCACAGAATGCTGCATTTGTCTGGAAACTGATTCATTTCGCAACACAATATAATGACATCATTCGTCGCTTCTGAATTCTGGTAAATTCAATTAAAGCCTGAGCCGCAAACAAATATACAAATTGGGATTTAAGCAAACTTCAGCTGTATATAGTACAGCTGTGTATAGTAGCTAACGAAAATAAGCAAAATACAAAAAAATGTTCCTCATAAGCACACAGAAATTGATTAAGCCGCTCAACAATGTCTACAGTTTGCAGCATCAGCTACACTCTAGATACCAAATACCAGATATATATATTGCCACAGCTACAGCTACGGATACAGATACGCACATATATTTATTAAAGCATGCGTTTGCGTCTGACTGTCTTGGGAAGCTGAATACATATACATATTGTATACATATATATATGTATGTTTGTATTATATGAAAACGATGATGTCATAGCCGCAAAACCAGCCATGCCAAAAACGAGGCTGGCTAAGTAAAAACAGTCAAGAGTTTACGAATAGCAGATACTTCATAATCATAATAAACATATGTAATATTCTTGCATTTCAGCATTTATTCAAAATTAATATAAACCTCACATAAGAAAATCTGAGCTCTACAAAAACTCCTATTACTAACTGCATGCCTAATACTTGTATAGCCTCTTTATAGTTTCATTTCTACAGACCAACAATACAATGCTACGCGTCTACCATAAAGACCCCAACTTAAAACACGTTTTTAGTTTTAATATATACAGGGTATTCCAAAAATACAAACAAGCTTTGGGAGCACGTAATCTGCTTGGGATTTACATTCCAAAACACTTGCGATTCTTCGAATAAACGGCTATTAGACAGTTTGGAGTGAGTATTTGTGAAATCAATATTTCTGCATAATTGTATATTAAATTGATATACGAAATTTACTTACCGACACAATGGTATTGAATATGTAGAGTATATATTTAACCGTGGACGTTCCACAATCCATTTTGCTTAATTGTTGGCTTCCTGCAATGCATTAAAGTTAACTAATTTAGCAACAATTATATAAATATAAATAATTTATTGAGCAATAGCTAAATAAATATTAAATTCGCTTTGATTTGAGCATTTTTGGCGTCGAGCAAGTTCAAACTATGTAAATTGATGCTATTAGGCGTTATGTAAGTCCAATATGCATGCGATCAACATGATTTGTACAGTTAATTAACTTTATTTTATCCAGTGGAAAGTTGAGCTACAAAGATAAACTTGTTTTGTATGTATTTATTGTTATTTTGATTGCCAAAGATAAGCTCTGCTTTGTTGTTTTAAATTACAAAGATATAATTTTCCTTAATTAAGTATTTCCTCATACTTTGTTTGTGATGGAAAAAAATATTGCATCTGTTCTCTATTTCCATGCATATCTTACATTTATTCTTTATCTTCACGAGCCAATGAACTCGGCTATGGATAGATAAATAAATATATAAATATAATTTCCTTATAAAAAGGAAATCATTTTTTTTTATATATATTTATATTTTTTGCATTTAATACTTTAACAAAAAATATTTCCTTTATTATTTATTATTTTATTTTTGTACTATTTTGTAATAATATTTGTTTAGTTTTTATTATTTTATTTATTTTAATAAATTGTTTCATCTGCCATATATCAAGGGGCTAATTACAATAAATTTTTTCAATTTCAAATCAAATGCGGTTTCAGACGTTCTTCTACTTTATTTTGTGTTTCGTTATTGCTCTTTTCCTCCATTATACTTAGGCGCTAAAAAACCGGTTTGACCTTGGCGAAATATTCACAAGTAATAAAAAGTGCACATATATTTTTTAAATATGATTTTTATAAAAAGGCATTTGAACTCGCATGTGAAGGCTTAATTTTTTCATATTTTTAATATGCGTCACGGTTAGCAGCTATTAAAGACAATGCTAACTAATTAAATACTGAACTTCACGCACTTGTTTACGTCGTAAATTGTATGTTAATCGCGAGTTTTCTTTATTATTTTGATGCTGCCATAGTAACGACAACAACTACAACTAGCTACAAAATCTCATTCAACTGCCTGTCGATACGAAAAAATAAAAGACTAAGTTCACTGCACTTCTTCAACAAGAACAAGAACAGCAGATTGTGATTTTATTTTTATAAATGTTTTGTCTTATGATTCTATTCTTTTGCGATGAAGTGCGTCTTTGATTTAAAATTTTTTTTTTCAGTGTGCTTTCGCACTTTTCGTTTTCAACCACTTTCACATGAATGCGTTTTCGAGCAGCTGTCAATGCAGCATCTCACGTAGCACAAAGCAAAAGAAACAAGAACTTGTCTTATACATGTATGCATGTTTGTATAGAGATACAGCGTAATCATTTACTCACACACTACTACTTAATGCTTAATAATATTACCTTTTCCGATTCAAATTATCTATTTATTATTTATAGCAACACGCGCACGGCACGTCTGACTCGTAGAAGAACTGTTTTTGAATTGACTCGAGTAACACGAAAGGCATAACGAAAAACTGGTTATCAGTGTGACCAAACTGCGGAAATCATAAAAAACTGTGTAGTCTATGAGAAGTTTAGTATATTTTATTGAGTGGGAAATATTTTGTTTCGCTTAGAAATAAGAAACTTTCGGTTAAATTTTAAATTATGTGACTTAATAAGCATTTATATAATAACATTTATTTAATTGCAAGGTTTTTGTTTCTTTATGATTATTTTGCTTACATAGAAGCATGCAAATATAATAACATAGTAAATTACAATTATTTTTAATAGATAATTTTCGTTATTGGCGCCGGCTGAAATATAGCGGTTTAAAAATTTTGTCGTCTTTCGTTGTTGCGTGTTTGATTTGCCAAGCAACATGCAAATATGAAGGCGACCAACTAAAAATTTATGAATGCGTCATTTAGTAAAAAACAGAAATATTACTACATATATAATTACAATTATTTTACCTCAACTGCAGTTACACCCAGTCCAGCATATTTAATAATGTTGGCATTTGTGTCCCATAGCGAATCAACTGCCGACTTGCAGCCTGGCTTAAACATAACTGAAGTTAAACTGCAAGATCCATTTGTGGGGGAGTCACAGCAAGAGGCGGGGTATACAGAGCCATAATCGGAGAACTTAAACAGCCCACAGCATTTCAGCTAAAATATTGAAACAATAATGCTAATTCCATTTTTAGTAAAATTTTTGGAAATACTCACAGATTTCTGGAGAGTATCCATTAAGAGGCCATCAGATTTTCTCTGATCCCAAATGGTTTGCACCATCTGATCAAGAGATTGCCGTATTTGTACATGATTGATCCACACATATATAATCAAGGAGATTTGGCACAAAAACAAGCCCAACATAATGATGGAGTACTACAAGTATAAAAGATCAATATAAAACCTTATATATATTTTGAATAGTTTCAACAAAATTTACCGTTGTAAGTGCGAAAGCATTTTCGCGTATGGCACCGCAGCATCCAATAAACGAGACCAAAAAGATAAGACAGCCCAACACCAGTATGATAATAGCCACACTATTTGCAGTAAATGTTTGGTCCACGCTCGAAAAGTCTTTAATTTCCGAGACCATAAGCGAACCAAAAATGATAAGCAAAATACCGCATATCTAAAAATAAGAGAAAACTAATTACATTCCGCGGGACTCAAAAGGACATTGCATTCGCATAGGCGATTGCATTGGATCACTCATAACAAAAATCTTATTTCGAAACAGCTCATTAGCAATAATGACGGTTCTCATCGGCATGTGAAGAAAATTAAAAAAAAAATCACGACAATTCCCACTCTGAATTCACGATATGTGCCCTTTTATATAAGATAAGATAAAGCCGATAAATCTATGTGTATATAACACACGTAACACAAAATATTTAGTTTAGATCATGCTTTTTTTTTTTTAATAAGAGATAAGATATTCCTTTGTTTTCGTTTTGTGTTACGTTCAGATGAGCTTTCTTTGGAAATACTTACTACGAACAATATATTAAATATGAATAGCACATATTTAACCAAAACTCCACCGCAATCCATTTTTAGAAGAATCTGTACTGTGTGCCTTGGCTAATTCTATCGACCTTTACAACTCCAATTCTGAGCGCGAACTGATTCATTTTTAGCTTGCAATAACTGATAATAAAAAGTTATAATAAGCTTTCTGTTAAGCTTTCATCGAATAAGCTTTATCAAGCGTTGCATACTTTTAGGCTTAGCGAAATAATTAATGCTGAGCACCTCACTACAATGAATTTGATATATATTCATAATTAAATTAATAAATAAATGAATAAGTTTTTAAAATTAAATAATAATAATTATTGAAACAACTACGTAAAAGATAAGAAGTAGTTTTTATATATCAAAATTAATCTTACAAAATTGGCATAAAACATTTTAAATTTAAAAACTATCTATAATTTAATATATAAATAATACAAACTCTATATTTTTCTTGTTTGTTTGTTTTTTATTTTGCTATCTGTTTTAGTTTTTCATTCCTCTTTTTTACCAGTAATTTCAATGGAATATTTTGCTTGAATACATTTAATCGTTGACTTATCTGACCGAATTCTTGTTTCGCATACAATTGGCCAACAGACTGGCAACGATGAAGACAATCAGCTCAAATATGCAAATACCTAGGCCTGACCACAAGATCAGATCGTTATTATCATCCCAGAAATCGGTGAATTTCTGGTTGCAACCCTCGCGGAACTCGTAAATGCTAGCTGGGCAGGCCTGCTGGCGATTCGAAAAGCCGCAGCAAGTGCCGGGCACAGGTTGATTCATTTGAAGGTAGTTATTGTAGCTGGTATTGCCGCAGCAGTCGAATGTGAGCTCCAATGCGCCCATTGGATAGTCATTTGCAGGTGTGTTCTCATTCCAAACATTAGTAACCAATTTGCTCATATCGTTAAGGAAATCTTTGCCATTCACAGCAATCCAGCAGGTCATCACCAATTGCAGCACAAATAGTATAAACATCATGGCGGCATACTGAAATATAATTAGCCGGTTATTAGAAATAAACATATATATTTTAATAACTGGTGAAGCTTACCGTTGTAGTTAGGCAAAGGCTCTGACGCCAAACACCACAGCAGCCAAAGAAAGACACGATGAAGATAAACCCACCCAGAACCAACACACAGATAGGGATACTGTTCGAATTAGACAGCTGGTCAACCGCAGTCAGTGAGGTCAAATTCGATATCATTATGGAGCCCAGCACAATTAGCAATATGCCAACAATCTATACAAAAATAAAAGAAATATTCGATCTTATAAGAAGTTATATTACTACGATGCTTCCTTATATAAATTAAATTAAGGCATAACAATACTACCTTTCTATGCAGTTCTCATGAAACGAATAGCCGTTGCTGGAATGTGAATATTTATTAATGATCTGCTATAGCAGCCTCATTACTATTCTCACTTACTAATATATTCCTAAAGATCTGCGCCATTACTTTTTTTAAATAGTTGATAAATAATAATATTGTTACATGATGATAAATGCTCTTTGCATCGTTATCAGTTTCACAAATCTGACATAATCTATCACTGATAGCAAACACATGTCGACCTATCGGAATTTATCGTAATGAGAATTTCATGACACTGAATGTTCTTTCATGTCTGAGTCACTGGCAGTGATAAAGCTGGTCCCAATACATATATATATATATATATATATATAAGTAGTTAGAGATATAATAATTGCAAAAAATAATTCCATGAGCTCTAGCGCATGAGCAACAATTGTCAATGTCTATATATATATATACAATAAATACATATAGTCTATTTTTGATTTATAAACTGCGTAATATGCTACTTAGATAAATGTGAATTGCACGTTATTTAAGATTAAGATTCCAAATATATCAATTTTTTGTTTCTAGATTTTATAGATTTCAATCTTATTATTCTAGCTTATATTATAATTATATTATTTTGTGGGGAATTCAAAATATTCTTAAAATTTATGTCACTTTTAAAGTTTGTTATTAAGCAACAAATTAAATTTATTTTTGTTACTAAGCAAAATGTAAATATTTATATTCTTGATAATTATGATGATCTATAGCAATATATCAATATCCATGTCCGCATGTCCGTCTGAGTGTCTCTCTGTCCGTACGTATTTCAAGTTTATCATATTTGCTCGATAACTCATCCCATTCCCTTATTATTCGATTTCGTTTCTTAAGCTTAGCTAGAAAATTAAGAGATGTACTGTGAAGATCCCCCTTTGGGAAATACCCATATTATTTTCGTATCTTAAAATTGTTTAATCGATGAGCAATTCAACAGTTTATTTCCCATGGTAAAGTCCATAAGCACAGTGCAGTTTGTATGCTTTATATGTATTGCTCGTTATATAGATAAGGAAGAGTAGAATGATTGAAATATCACCTCTCACCGCGGTTCAGAATGTCTACCGACTAAAGCTTTGTTTCTAATTTTCATCTATACTATATTTAATATATGTGTATGTAATTTAATTCTGTTTTATAAAACTTAAAATTGATATATTAAATTTACATTTTATTGAAAGAGTTTCAAAAATTCTTCCAAATTTCGTATAAATAATAATGCATGAAATTATTTTAGTTTGTATATACAATAAAATTTCTATTTCGGACATTTCCAATCTTTTTACATATACTTTTTAGATTTACCAAAGTTCTTTTTAGAATTATTGATATATAAAAAAGTATTGTTGAAATTCTTAAAATATTTAATTAAAGTCACTTAAGCACATTTCACAATAGTGTCCTGAAAGTGTCTCTGTTTTGTGACGAATAACTCACCAAAAACACAATATTTATTAGGTAGATTAGAATATTAAGTAAGCCCTTTATGCAGCCCATGTTGAAGCAGTTTTTGAATAACTTTTAATAGAATTAATTTTTTTAGTTTTCAAATATTTTTCGCGCTTTGTGTACGCGTCGATTGCTGTCGTTCGATTGAACTGCCCAGCGGCTGTGCTGGCCATTATAAACAAAAATCGAGACTTTGTCTTATCTTGATAGATTTCCCCGGTTTTTGTATATCTAATCAGCGAATAGACAACGATAACAAGTATACGCAACGTTACTAGAGGTCTGCCAAAAATGGAAAAACAATGTTAAAAGAAATACATACTTTGAGTACAATTTGTATTTAGCATTGATTCATTGATAAGTCATGAATCAGCTACGAGTACTTATGATCTAATACGCACTCAGGAACCAGCAATATATATATATATATTGATGAGTTCTGCAAACTCTGTTTAAAATTAGGCGCGAGGTATACCTCAAAAATTATTTACGGAAAACTGATAAGATATTAAACCCGATCAGATAAAGCAACTAGAAAAGCTCTATTCGTATGGGCAGGACTAACAGATACCCTGAACCCCGTTCGATCTGTGTTCATAGCTTGCTTCCATGCATAGATACAGACATTCATGGAACTTTTTCTATTCAGTTAAATTTGTTGCAGCTTATTGTCTATTGCATCTAACTCTAATCCTTAAGTAGTGAGTAAGCCAGCTTACATCTTAAAGCTAAATTTATTTATTCTAAATTATATCCATTCATAAATATTTCCAGCTCATCAGATTGAGGTACAGAGAGATACATATATATATGGAGCTGCGTACCCCAATGACTTCTGTAGGAACCAATAAATCCCTATGTAGCACTCAGTTCCTAACAAACCAGACAGCTCCATGCAGAATTTCAATTTTGTTGGCTGAAGAAGATTATGTACCTTGTATCTCTGTATAGCAATACACCTAAATAAAACTAAATGCAAGTTTTGAGACTCCGTCCTCTTTAGGAATATATATACTTTAATGGAGTGTGTCAAGCCTTCTACTGCCTGTCCCATAGAGGTTAGCCAAAGCAGCATACCCTAGATTTCTATTTTCAATGGGTTCAGGGTATAAAAACGACAGCTGACAAGAAGTTCACATCGTAAAGTATCTACTAATCTAGTTTGTTTATTTATGGCTGTGATGGACATTCGTTGATGAATGATGATGTAATGATGTACTATACATAGTATATAGACTATCTGAGGCTAGGGCTTAGCGCTTTTTCATGGCGCTGGCCAAGCAGCAGGAGATCACAAAGATGGTGAGCTCAAATAGCGATATGCACAAGCTGCTCCAGCTTATGATGTCTGCGTTGGTGGTCCAGAAATCGCTGAACTTATCATAGCAGCCAGGACGCGATTCGTAAATGGCCGCTGAGCAGGTCTGGTCACGATCCACATACCCACAGCAGGAGGCGGGGACCTTTTCGATATAATCCTTATAGCTTGTTCGGCCGCAGCATTTGAACTAGAGCAGAGCAACAAGGATCAAGCAAATGAAACGACAAAAGTGGCCATTTGAGTACTTACAGACAGCTGCAGAGCATTCATGGGATAGCCGTTGGCATCGTCGTTCTCCGCCCAGGCCTTGTTCACCAACTCGCTTATCTTTTCAGCAAAAGTGTCGTTCTCCACAAAGATGTAAATGGACAAGCTCAATTGCAAGGCGAACAAGATGAACATGCAGACAGCATACTACAGGAAGGCAGATAGAGAAGTTAAATGGGCTTTATCTTGCCGCACAGCGAGCAGAGGCAAACACTTACAATTGTGGTGCAGCAGGCATTTTCGCGTATGGTGCCACAGCAGCCAAAGAAGGCAACCACGAATATGATGCAGCCAAGGATTATGATGCAAATGGGTATGGTCCGTGCATTGAACGTCTCGCTGAACGAGCCGAAGGTTCCCATGCTGTCCAGCATGATCGAACCGACCACGATGAGCAATACGCCACCAACCTGTAAGATTGAAAATAAAATAAAAAAAATATAAATAAATATTATACCAAGGTTGAAGCAGATAGAGAAGTTGTTGAGTCAAAAGGAAATTTTATTCAACATTTTTCATTTCGTCTATCAACTGTAGCTCAACTTCAACTTCTCTGCAATATTCTCTACCTCTCCTTCCACTTACCACAAATACGACATTAAGGAAGTACAGTAAGTACTTGACCATCTGCGATAGGCAATTCATGTTTATAGATTTGATTTTTGATTTCGGTTAATTTCGAAAAAGACCCGTTCGTTGCGACAGTTCGCTTCGTAACTGACTTCTGCGGCTAAGATCAGGGCCTTAATAATGGAATTTTGGTGCTCAACTAGCCTAGAATCGTTAGCGGAGCTTATCTAGGCAGCTATCTGGCCATTCACATAACAACATTTTGCACCCTAGAGCTAAGAGATAACATATTGGAGGAATAGGTGCGAGTCTATGTACTGGGCGGGCTTATCAATGGACCCTTATCTGATTGCACCCATGAGTCGGAATGTGCCGGTTGCCGAACGTACTCTCAACTGTTTATTGGACGCTTATATTTATGCCAGCACACGGGCTAACAGAGAGCCAAAAGCTCGTCTGGTCTGACTCATAAGTTGTGCTTTATCAGCGCAAAGAATCACTGGGGGTCTCATTGATAGGCATCGTGAAGCTGGTTATGATTCATCTTTAACCACTCGTACTACCTATCCGAATATACATTTAGCTATGAGTCAAAAGGAGCTTATCAGCTGCGATTTCTTTGCTTGAAATCATGAAGCACTTTCCACTCGGGGCTCCCCCATAACCTCAGACATGCTTTATTAATTACCTAAAATGTATGATAATTTAATCAAATTTTGATCGATTTGACCAGGAAACGGCTTCAAAACACGCACCATTAGCCTATTCGATTACTATATTGTAAGCTAGTTAATGTCACTAAGTATGCAGTGATTATTTGATTAGAAATGAATAGTTCTTGTCGCTCTATAATTAAAAAATAATATTATCTAGACATGCCTCAGAGATTGCTACAAATTGTTTACGATACACTATATATATCTATATACTATATCTAACTACTATCACTCATATTAAATTATTTTTTATTAGCAGTTCTCAAGAAATTTTTGGTAGCACGCCTCAAGTGCATCTGGGACTTAGTTTTGAACACATATTTGAAAATGGACATTCGGTGTATAAATGTATTCAGTAGGCAGAAGTAGGCGTGGCAAGCTTCATTAAGGTATACACATTCTGGATCAGGGCGGCAAGCCATGTCTGCCCGTACGTCTGTATAGTCGTGTATTCCATACTCTTTACTTTATAACTCATGCCATTTCCTCATTATCGATAAAAATCGATCATTTGGCTTTGTTTTTTAAGCCCAGCTTGAATACCATATATGTTGCAGACTTCAGATTTCTTAATTTCTTCAGATTTTGTATATTTTGGATATTGGATTTTGGATACCTCCCCCCTTCCACCCAAATCCACAAATATGCTTTGGCAAATACAAGCATCTGTATGCCATAACTATGCCCTGACAATTTCATTAGGTAAGTCCATCTAGAAGAAAAGTTATTCAGCAATTAATTTGCCATAGGGTAACCCATCTGCAGCCGCTGCGTCAACTGCGCAGTAAGCAGAGCGAGTGCCTATGTGTGTGTGCGTATGTGTGTGTGTCTGTGTTGTTTACAATGTTTGTATAAAAGAATCATGGAATGATTGGAATAACACCACTTCGCAGCGTTCAAGGTAACTCCTAGAGCACTCTTACATATTAAGTTATATATTTTCTTATTTTGTTTTATTTTAAATTATTTTATTTTAATTATTATTATTAATTGCGCTTCAAATTGAAAATATTCCATACGTAAATATTTTCCTTTAAAAAATTTGCGCTAGATTTCATTGATTACATCACAAATATTTATTTATTATTTATTCTCATTACTCGCTTTCCCTCAGTTTTATATAAATATTATAAACTATAGAAAATAATACAAAAAGTTGATTTATAGGGGGAGCAATGGAAGGCGATGAAGTAATTGTTCCAGCATTTGGTTCGGCTGCGACTGCTCGACTAGAAGATACCCAGCAACTGTCCCCACAAACAGCTTATCACGAATTTATTAAATGGCTTTAGCCTATTCCATTCACACTACCCCAAATTATACCTCTAAACTCAGGTCATGCTGCCCGGAATACTCATTAAATTGTTCTAATCAATTATTTATATTTTTGTTTGAAGTCTATAAATGTTTTCAAACTGTATTTGTTTTTCAGTTCTTATTGTCATATCGCTCGACCGTTGGCCTATCAAACTATTTTCTAGGTTTATTGCTATAAGAGAATCGAAAAAAAAACCCAAATGCTTCATATGAAAGATAAGACTCGTCAAGCGTGCAATAGTCCGACTGATAAAGTTTTCTATTGAAACTTAATTAAGATTAGTCAATCTCAAGATTGATGCGAAAATATAACGAAATTAGAATTGACTTCGTTTTGTTTCTATTTCCAGTGAAAATTCAATCGCCTCAATTAATTAATATTTTTATTGCATTTTGTATAAATTAAAAAATATGTTGCATATGCATTCAATTTGTACAGCAAAAGTTAGCACAACTAATGAATATGAACAGAGTGCGGATGTTATTGTAAATAAATCTTAAAACAATTTTTTTTTTGATTAACAAAAAAGTGCGCAATCAGAAGAAAGGGGAGTTGAATGGCCAACTGAATCGTCAATTTATCAGTTACTAATATATATATATATAATTGTTTTGTATAAAATTGGGCAACATAATTCGTACTTTCGGTTTGCATTAAAATTAGTAAGGCCTCAAGTCGGGGACTCAGAAAGACTGGAGTCAATTAATAGTCGGCGCGACGTCGATAGTTCCGGATGCTGTTCGCCAAGCAGCAGGCAAAAACGAAGCCAACAAACTGAGAACAGAATATGAAATAGAAAAAGGAGATTGTCAATTAACTAACTAAGAATTGGAATTTGTTGACCCACCTCAATGGCGGCAATGACCAGGCCGGTGTATTTGATAATGTCGCTGTTTCTGTCCCAGAACTGGACAAAGGCCTGCTTGCAGCCGCGTCGATAGACCGTTTCCTGGCGACAATTGTTGGTGTCCTTGCAGCACGAGGGCGGGAAATAGCCCTGGAAGGCATAGTCTGCAAAGCTGCTGCGGCCACAGCACTCCATCTACAAAAGGGAGAGAGAGAGGGAGAGAGAATGTGAGAGATATGCAATGCTTGTTATACAGTTAAGCACTTACACTAATCTGTATGGCATCCATGTAGTCGGCACGGCGTGTTCGACGCTCCCAGGCCTTCTCCACAACATCGCCCATGATCACGAGATATTTGTCCTTTTGCAGCCACATATAGACCACCAGCGTCAGCTGGCCAATCATCAGCACGAACAGCAGAATTGAGTACTAAAAAATGCAAATATATATCATTCTCACTCTCACTCTCGCTCTATCTTTCTTTACTCACCGTCATGGACATGCAGTAGGATTCGCGTATGGCGCCACAGCAGCCAAACCAAGAGATCAACAATATAACGGTGCCCAGCACAATCATTGTTATTGGCACCTGTTGGGTGCGCAATGCTTCGGTAAAATCATCGATATTATGAATGTTGCTGAAGAGCAACGCACCAAAAACAATCAACAAGATGCCGCATATCTGGTAAAAAGAGAGTAAAATAATATTTATTATTAACACGTTTTTTTTAATATGTTAACGTAATCAGAACATAAAGCAGTGCATATGCTTGTAGCAACACAGTAACGCTATCTATTTGTCAAATTATTACAAGCAGTGTAATCTCTTATTGCCAACCAAACATAAGGTGGCGCCACATTTGATAATTTCATGATCTAAAATTCATTAGGTTTTCTTTGTGTTCGGTAGGTGACAACAGCTCTGGTTGTTGTACATATTAAATGAGATCTGACTGAGAAATAGTTCTTCTTGATTATGCTAGGTGTCTTCATTATGGGTTGTTGTACGGAATAAATGTATAACAAAGGATTTGCATTGCAAGCAGGTGGCGCTGCGATTTACATTCCACATTCAGTTGACGACATTTAAGGTAGCTGTCTATGTTAACAAGGATCTATGTTTCAAGCAGTGATTGCCAGATGGCGGCACTTGGTATGTTAACAGACTGAAGAGATCACAAGATACTGAACTTCCTTTCTTCCCATTAATACTAGGGAATTTGTTCTTAATATGTTGGTTTGTGTCTGCACTAAGTAGTGATAAAACAAACTATTGTTTATCAAATTGTTTTAATAATTTCGAACTTATTTTAAGCACTATGTTTATGAAAGCGGCTATTGGTACTTTTGCCTTATCAACAGCTCTTATCTAGCCGATAAAGGCAGTCTAATTAAGCAATTTAGATTAGATGATATCCATAACAAATAAATATGCTGTGGGCAACTGTTTGCATTGATTTCGCTTGTGGCAAACGTCAGCCAATGAATTTGCAATTCAAAGTTATGAGCGGGACTAATTTCGTGGGAGTTACAGTTTAGAGAGGAATTTGGGATATCCAAAAGATTTGAGAGGAATATGTAAGCACCTTTAAAGCACTTCCTTGGCAATCAATTGAAAGTCAAGTTTTAGAGTGTGTTAATTGCGGTTGATTAGTCAAATTTTGTAACCCACTTCCGTGGCAATTAATGAGAGCGCTTGAACTCACAATTTGACCTATTTTAAAGACGACTCAAGTAATAATTTATGCAGTCAACGAGTCACCCATTTAAGATCAGACAGCGATGAGCGCTTTTATGAATGGCATAGCTTTGTCTACAGAGTAATACCACTGAGCAACATATATTTGTATATATGTATATATGGCACATACTACATAGTATAAGCCATAAGTCAAGCCAAATGAGTTCAAGTGTGCTGTCAACGCCGACGCCCAATTTCCTTTACAAAAGTACCCCAAAGGGTGCGTGTGTAAATGCAATGTTTTCTCTCACAGACTGACTTACTGCCTGACTGACAAAGTGACTGTATGTCAAGTTCGTATATTTATAATTAAGACAGACAATTTTAGGCGTGGACACCCTCGCACTTGCGCAATTTTCCATTTCAAATTACACAACTTTTGGCTGTTTGTGTGCGTGACTAAACTGCAAACTATTTGAAATATTATTCTAAATTACATTTAGCTATAAAGCTTCATAAGTCATTCAGCACATGTACATACTTATGCGTGTGTGTGTATTGCGCCTTATAACTGGTATTTAGTGTAGTTGGAAGTTAGAAGTTGCCTTTGAACAATTACAAAACAAATGAAACCTGTTGCTGTTGTTCGACTGGTTAACCTCGTTGCAGCTGGTCAAATGTTACTTAAATGGGAAGCTAAAGAATCAAAATATATAGGAAAAAAAAACAATTGAGCTGCTATGCGAGGGTAGTTTGTGAAAGATGTGTCTTAACTTTCAGCTCCACCATTTGGCAGCTTTGCGATCTGCTTTAAATCTAGCTACCTTTTGCATTAGGTAATTTTTCAAACCACCCTCGTATATGGCGTAAGCGACGTCATCTACACAACTCTTGAAGTTAGCCCAATTTTGTTTAAATAACAAGTTTTGCATTCCTGATGATCTCAAAAGCTTGTGACTTTTTTGTTAACCGGTTTGTAGGCCTCACGAATATTCCCAAAAGAAAAACAATGCACAGTGAAGACTGGCTACAAGCAACTTTCAATGAAGTGAAGAGTTGAGTTTTGCCCATGAACAATGAATTCTAATTATAACTATATGTTGGTCAGCCGAGTGTTCACTGTACTGTTTGTAAGCATAAGAAAACCTGTTTGGGAGCTACGACTTATGATATCATGCTAACAAATTAAGTTTTGGCTCATCAGTGGAAAACGTAATTAAACGTGAATTACAAATAATAACGAAATACATGAGAAAATTTAACAAACAATAGAGAAAAAATTAAAAAAGAAACCAAAATAAATTTATTAGTATTTTAGAAAATGTGTTTTTCTTTTTTTTCACTCACCGAACAGAGCAAATTGAATATAAATAATATATATTTAACCATGGAGATTCCGCAGCTCATTTTGTTTGAGTTTTGAGATTCGATTGGATTCGTGGGGACGGTTGAAGAACTGCAACTGTTTTTGTTTTGTTAATATTTTGATATTCATATTTCGCTTTGATACATAGGGTATATTTTGCGCTCACAGATATATACGAATTGTGGACGAAAATAAAAAAATATCAAGTATACGTTATAAATATATTATTGTATCATTTTTATTGAAGAAGCCAAATGCACGCACATACATACGATCTATATGAATACACATACATACATACATACAGGCACACAGATATATTCATACATATATCATGCAAGCGTCAACAATAATAGTGTTTGTTTATAACAAAAAAAATTCTTTTCGCTTTCGTTCGTTATCATTTATAGTTCAGCCGCACAAGCTAGCTAATTTTTTCTCTTCTATATTGGGATTTTCTTTGAATTTGTTGGGCAGCTTAAAAATTAAATTAACAAAGATTTTCAAACGTTCAACGTTTCGTTTAAAAACTGTGAGTTAACGGCAAGGCATTCAATTATTCAGCGCACCAGCTCGGGCAACAGCTTTTGCTTGGGCAGTACCGAGGCCTTCAATTGGTTGAAACGTTGCCAGATGAACGGATAGCGCGCCGCCCACGACAGCCACGCCTCCTTGCTTGCTGTGCTGCTCTCCACCTGCCGCAGATGTTTATAGTATTTATTATTACGCTTAACAGCCGCTGCAACATCCTGAGCAAACCGGGCAAAGCGCAACTTAAGTAAAGTTTCGGAAACATCGATCAATTTATTTCCTTTGGGCGGATGAACCAGGCACAGCTGGCAGACAACATAATCCTGTCCTTGGCTCTTGTTGAGTGGTATAAAGGTGGCCTCACGTCCAATTAGGCACTGCTGCAGCCAGGAGTAGCCATTGGCATTGACCCGCACGCCAGGCAGTTTCACAGGCAGCAGTTTCTCACGGGATGTGAAGATTGGTATCAGCGGACGATGCTTGATCATCAGCAATGTATCCTGATCACGTTGCTGGAGACCGCGTATTTGTCCAGTATGCATAATCCTCTCGTTGATAATCCGTTCCGGTATGTGTGATGGCTGTTTGAATTGGCGCACCAGATAAGCGGGCTTCCTCTTTATGTACGCCACCAGAAGCATCAGCGACGAGGTGCCATAGATGGCCAATTCGGTGCCCACTGTATCGCGCTCCAAATAATTACATAAGCCGTAATATTTCTCCAAAAGCTTATCCATTGTGGTATATTCTTTATTTCCTATTAAGTACACTAATGCCTAAAAAAGTGTGCGAAGGGAAAGGGTATGTATAAACTATTGAGAAATCTCTTTTATGCAATTGCTTTTTATGACATCATTTTTATTTTACTTAATAAACTGGCAGCGCAAACGCCTTCCAAATCCGTTCGATTTCTTATATATGCACTGCTTATGTTTATATGTAGTTTGTACATATGTATCTATATTTTAGCAGTGGCTAATTTTATTTTTCAGATTTTTGTTGTCATTCGTATGTCTTCTTTATTTTATGCTTTGCTTTGCTTTACTTTGCAACTCGAACTAAACTTTTGACATTTATGGATGCCGACAATGCTTGAGAGCAAGCGAGCTAGCATGTGTGAACTAAACGATCCCTAAACTGTTTTCCAACACTTCTAAGTTGACGTCTTGCAACACTTTGCGATCAAACCCACACATACGCAAAGACAAACGGTATTCAAACTGCTCTCACACACACAGCCACACACACACCTTGAGCGAACAATTTTCCGTTTTATTTTCGATTTGCGTTTTGTTTTACGCGCGCTATGTTATGAACTGTTGCCGTTGTCGTTTCAGACTGAGATCGCCGACCACAACAACCGCCTGTTGCTCCACGGTAGTCGGTTGGGGTCGCTCACATACAGACACATGAACATCCAAACATACAAACATCAACGCGTCGAGCGGGCGCACGTTGGCGTTTTTGGCAGTCGGCTTTCAATTGATTACCGTACCATTTTTATTGGCGCGCGATGCATTCATACATAAATACATATGAACATATGTATATACAATATTATTTGTATTTGTTTTGTTCACGATTTCCCCAACCCCGACCCATTTTGATGCCGTTGCCATAGCGGGCGTTATTCTTTATAATTGCATCAACTAGTTTTTATCTGTCTCTTTTTAATAAATATGAAATATTTAGAAGGCCCTATGTTTGTTTATTTATGTAAATGAGTTTTGGCTTTGAACGTGATTTTTTGTATTTTGTTTTTCATACACTGAATCCAATCAAAATGGGAATTTAGGGTATAAAGGTTTTGTGGAAAGGTATGTAACCGTCAGAACTAGGCGTGGCAGATCCTATAAAGCTTATTCTAGATCAGGACGTCGAGTTGAATCGATTTAGCGGTGGTCTCGTAACACAAAACCTAGAAATTCGAATTTTAAAATGTTTACTCGTTTATTCCATATCTTTTTTTTCGATAACTCATTTCATTTTATTTTTTAAGCTTATCTAGAGTACCGTAAATGTTGGAGACTTCAGATTTTTTGTATGGGGGTCTGTAATGAATACAGAGATGTTGTGTATTTGGGATTTTGGAAACATGTGCTTTGGCTGATACACCTATATACATTATCTTGAAATTTGATTAAGAACGCCCATTTAGGAAAAAAGTAGTTCAACAATTAACAATCAGCATGAACATAAGCTTAAGTGGGTGTGCGTTTGTATGTGTATATGCAGGTGCTGTTATGTACGTTTTGTATGTCTAAATGTATGTATTTATGCATTTATGCAGAATGATTACAATATCAGCACCATAGAGCATTCTCGGTGTGGCTTTGTGGTTGCGCGCCAAAACGTGCCCTGACTTGAGGTTTGCATTGACTTACGTTTTATATCAAATATTTTGCTTTGAAGTTTCAATTACAATTTAGAGCTGAAATTACAGCTAAGCTTCCTCTTTTAATTACAATTTCAAGCAAGTATTTAATTCTAAGCTTTACTTTTCCCTGACACCAAAACAACAACAATGGCTGCTACAACAACAACAATCAAACTGGTTTACGAGCCGTTGTAACTTGCGTAATCCAGTCTAATAAACGTGGCTTGAAAACGCCAGTTGTCATAACAAAAAAAGGCGTGTATATATAAATATATGTATAAAAAGATATATATATACATACGTATACTGGTTGCGACTTTGCCTCATTTTCATCTGCGTCGTCGTCACAGTCACCAAATCTAATTAACGAGAGCACACTGTACAATTAACCTCGGCCATATGTAAATGTATTTCCATGCTGCGGTCGCACATACACACAGATATAAATTGTAAAACAACAAAATCCATTTACATGATTCATTCATTTATTTTACTATTTCTCGTCTACAATAGAATTCACTTTTAAGTTTACAGAAGAGCGAAGGCTTCATGTTAGTTCCCAGCACTTAAGTCCAGATTGCCCAGTGCTCTCTTAATAGGCAAATTGCTTAGCCCCTTCCCAAGAAGCTTTTCAGGCATAAATAATAAATTATTTCCGCTAACATTCGACAGCTGGACAAACAAGTTGAGAGAGTAAACAAGACACGGCCATGCATGATTATGTACAGTAATCTCTTTATAGAGACGTTCATTGAGCAAATGTATACAATTTCTATATGAATTTTTACAGTAAATTGGCTTCTTAATCAATTCAATGTTATTGAAATGTATTTTGTTTGTAATTATAGATTTGTTGTAGAGCATACATACTGTAGTATGCTTATTCATATATTCGCAAATATAGAAAGTACAGTGATCACTTGATTTGAATGTTTCTTAAATATCTCTTCACTTTTCACACCTCAAAACCTGTTCGCATAACTGGTTTCTTAAATAAAAACCAGACGACATAGCTCACGTATATGTAGGCCTTTCATATGCATGTTTTACAGTACGCAGTAAATGAAAGTAAAGCGATTAACGAATTTAACAAGATTAATTGGAAAATAGGGACGCCATAGTTGTGTGCTTTATTCTGTGCGGCTGCAAAGCAGCTTAGTCGAAAACATTTTAAATCATTTCCAGTTAAAATCGTAAAATTATGAGTGAGCTTAGCAGATTTACATAAATACGGAATCAATATAAGCGTCCCGTGTACTGTATCTGTTGACCATGTGGTGACTGTCCGGCACTTGCGCCCGATCCCGGCTGACCGGGCAGCATGGACAGCTGCTGCCTAGCCAATTGTTGATCATAAGCACTGGCACCTCGACCAGGCGCGTAGCCCTGCGTAATGCTGCCTGTGGTCTTGGCATTCTGAAAAAATGTGAACAAAAATTAAGTATGGCTTAGATTTTGTAATATTCAACAGATCTCACCTGTGCTGCACTGCTACTAATTTGCAATACATTCGGATGCAATGATAGCTCACCGAGCAGTGGCTTATAGATAACGCCCTCGGACAATAAATGCGGTGGGGGCGGCACATGACCTTGTGACGGACCATCGTGCTTCACTTCAATGTGATAGCGATCCGGAATCTTCTCCATGGTCACCTGCGGCTTATTGGACGTTTGCACGGATAGACTACTAGCTCCTGCTTGTACCTGCACCAGGTCTGACTGCGAAATGGGCGGTTGATCCAAATTGATGTGAAGCACATGCATCGGCTGGGCTTTAGGTGATGGTGACTGTGAGCCTGGAGCTTTGCTGACCGTTGCACTGGGTCCGGGTTGGAGCTCAACATGATATGCAGACCGCAGTGGCACGCCATAGTTGTATATGGACTGAAGACGAGCGTCTGCCTGATGCTGTGTGGTTGTTGGGGCCGTCGAGGTCTGATAGAATAAAGTACCAGTACTCGGATACTGTCCCGTGGACTCTGCAAGATAAATACAGAAAAAGAAAGTGAAAAATTGAGCTAAAATATTCTAAAAGCTCAACTTAGAGGGTTTTAGATGAACTACTTAAAGAGTAACGATTAATGTTCTTACTGTTCCATGACATTTTAGCATAGTCCGCGGCACGACGGTAGTCATCGTGTTCTGCGAAACGAATTATAAACAAATAACGAAATGAAAACGTAAATAAGTGTGTCTGTGTGGGTTAGATATTGCTACTCAAAAGCATGACAATAGCTGATCTACATATATAAATTAGTAAAGTAGTGACAAGGCCTTTGTTTAGAAGGGTCTTCCTTACTCTGTGGCTGTTGTGTTGAATAGTTAGCGGGATTCTTGTAGTACGCCTGATGCTGTTGGCTGGATGGCGAGGGACTGCGGCCTCGTTTCACAGTCGTTGACTGGCTACCAGGGGGAGGCGGTTGCTAAAAAAAAATTGAAATGATTATGTAATGTTTGTAAATGTATAAAAAGGTGACTGACCTTCTGCAGCAGCGGCAGCTGATGATGCAAGCGACCAGGTGGTAGAAATACCTGAGCTGTGGCAGCATTGACTGCTGCTGCCTGCTGCATTGCCTGCACTTGCTGCAGTGCAAATAACTCATTCTCTTTCGCCTGCTTTTTCCGCGTTTCGTCATCGTTTAGAACTTTCTTCAGTTGTACGACGAGCTGATGCTTTTTCTGATGCAAATCGGCAAGTTGCTCGTCCAGTCGATTAATTTGTCCACGTGTATCTTCTAGCGATAAATTATTCTCGCGCTCGCGTGCCTCATGCTCCCGTCGCAGGCGCAGCTCCTCACACTGCCTTTCGTACTCTGCATTATTATATAAAATGTATTTATTTTACATTCGAAATATTACATTTGACTTACCCTCTTGTCTACGCTGTCTATCGGCTAGTATGAAGCCTTTAAGTGACCCTCGCAGTTTTTCTGCTCGCTCGGCAGCTGCCGCTTGTGCGGCCGCATTGTTATTGTTAACCGCAGACGCTGGCGGCATCTTTGTGCTATGCTTACTTATTTTGCCAATTTTATAAGCTTTTATGTGACAGTCACGCAATGCGTAAATTGTGTTAAACCAAGCCTTAATATTGGCTGAAACGCCTCAGCAGTTGGTTAAACCGAAACTGATTTATTTGATGTCCAAATAGCACGGTGTTGTCACGTCTACGCGTTTACTTCTTTTAAGTTAAGTTTATAGACATTTAGCAGAAAGGATAGATAAATTATGAGCCTTAACTTGCTTAATAATATATCGTAAGTCATACGCCTTATTATTCTTCAACTCTGTTGAACTTAGTAAAAAATAAACAATTTGTTGTGTGCAGAGCACGCGGGCTGGCAACTCTGCTGGTGGCACGATATAGTTATCTCTCTTACTCTAAGGTTGACAACAGCTGGTTGCATACTGGTCATACTGGCGACTATCGATAACGAACCAATTTATCGATACCCTCAACGCTGGCAACCTAGCTCAGTTGCAGTCGAGTTTTCTTTGCGCCTTGTTGTCATTCCGTAAAAAATTTTTGCAAAACAACAAAAAGTGCTTAATAATATATAAATAAGTGATATAAAAAAGTGCAAACCTAGTTATTGCTGGAGTAACTTGTGCGGGCAGATATACAAAAATACAAATGCTGTGAAATGTGTTCAGTTCTTTGATGAACCCAATTTCATTTTGTGTCTACCAATAAGAGAGTTTTACAGTGTCGAAATAAACAAAAGGAAAAAAGTCTAAGAAAAAGGCGGCTAAACTAAGAAGAAGCAGCGGCATTAAGCAACTACGCAGAAACAACAACACCAACATGGCCAGTGAGTAATGAAAACAATTAGAAATAGAAATAAAATTATGCTTGAGTTTTATGCGCACAGCAGCAACTAAAATCATTTCAGCTGTACGTTAAATGCACTTAGCATAAACAAATGCAGCTCATGCGTGTCAATATGAGTCTGTATATATATAAGTATATTTATGTGTGTGCATATGTGTGTGTGGCATTCTCTACATTTTATGTGCTTCTTTAAATATTTTACGAACTGCTGCTGAATGCAGAACAGATACGAGGTGTATAGACCAGGTGCCTCAAGTGTCTGTCTGTCTGTCTGCCGGCTAGAAATGCTGCTGCTGTGTTAAGTGGATAAATGGAAGGGGTAAGCAGAGTTTCTGCTGCCTTTTCTCCGAGGAGTCATGTGTGAAAAATCAATATTTACGCGTTTTACCGCTTGTTGTTTAATTTTGCAGTGGAATGTGCACGCTTAAATGCCTAAGCCAAATCTGGTCACACTCACTGATCGCCTTAAAATTTGCATTTTGGTCTTATATGAAAGATAACTAGAATTTAATTGATGTTTTTCGATCGAGACTAAAATAAAGATCGAATAAATTTAAATATGCTTATATATGGCCTAGATTTTCAAGAACAAGAATCCAATGCCTTAATAAATTGGATTTGAAAGCGAACTTTATATTAGACACAAAGTAGCGTTTGTGAGAGTTTGTGATCGTCTGTGCGTGCTCAACTCTTCTATGCAATCCAATCAGAATATCATTCCATTTAACTAGCAACCACCTTTCAGCAGTTACAACAACTCACCCATCCTATCGAGGGACACCCATTAATAAATGAATATGCCCCTGTGCGACGGGCACATGAGGTGCCAGCTTTACCGGCATTACCAACAACATGCAACCCCCCTGGGGCATAACAACAACAGACACACACTCACACTCACTCACAGGCTCACACAAGTTATACGTGCCAACGCAAATTTGAGTACAACCCCCCAGTTGACTAACTGCTGCTGTTACTGCATCTGGGGCTCCCCCTTAAACTCACTTTAGATTTTAATTGGACCTTTGTGTCTCGCAGTAACCGGCAACCCAGCGTAGCGCCTGTGCTCACTGATAAGGCATATCGGTTGTTGAAAAAAACACCCTGTGCTCAAGTTTTGCATCTGCCTTTTCCCATGTTCCTATTCCTTTTTTCTTTATTGTTATTGTTATTATTTTTGGGCTTTTCATTCGTCTCACGCAGCTTAGGGCCAGATTAGCTATGGAGATTTTTTTCCTAGTTTTGGGGCTGCTTTTGTAACTGTTTCGACTTGTGATTTTTCTTTCTCTACTTCCTCTGCTTTCTTTACTGCTAATAAGATTTTGGTCTGCGCTTAATGGCCCTGACAACTTGATAGAATAGAAGAGGGTGTGGTACGCTTGCAATGTTCACTATTTTAATTAAGTTCCCTCCCCTCCTTCAAATTGGCATAGAAATTAATTTCAATTAACTTGAGTTTTGAGTTACTGACGAAGAACAAACCGAGCCGAAGGCCAACGCTAAAAGTTTGAAGCACACTTTTGGGATTGCAAACGCTGTCAGCTGTCATTTAGTTTGGCAATTCGCAATCAGCCAGCTTTTGTTATATTTAGGCCAAATTTTCGTAAAGAGCTCAAATTCCAAATGTTAAGGGTCAACTTAAACAGCTTTAAGCTATACTGATTATTGTGTATATTTGATTTGTTTAATTCACAGCAAATTCGTTTCGTTTATCGATTTACTTATTTAGTTATAATGTGTATATTATAAATATTAGTATGTTAAGTTTTGGGTTTTCTTTTGACAAATCTAAAGGTTGCTTTTGTGATTGATTTTAGTTTCTTCTCTAAACTAATTATGCTAAATGCAATTTATTCTAATACTTAGAATACTTTTTATTTTTAAGTCTTAATATTAATATTTCTTTATACAAATATATAAAATATAAGTAATCGATGTTATTCGTCTCGAATGTGTATATACACTGTCAGCCTTCGCAATTGCTTCCTTTTGTCTATTAAACATATTTGCACAAAACCAATATACTCATTTTACCCATGTTCGATAGGTACTGGGTTAAAAGATGGAATTTTGAGCAGAAAATATTTATGAAATACATTATAAAATCCACAATAACGGTCGGAGAATGTGTGGATTATAGTTACAAGAAGCTTGTCTTGTCGTGTTTAAACAAAACATTTTATAATTGTCTCGTGCTATGTGTCAAAAAAATAAAAACGAACCAAAAATTGGAATGGATAACTTACACACAGAACCTTGTGAATCGAAGTTGTGCTTTAATTCATTGCAGCCATATACAAAATTGATTGTTTTTAACTTAGCTAAACTGCAATAAATACAAGAGCATAGCAGATATGTATATCAAACCAAAATTTTTGATTACACAAGCTACCGGAAAACGTAGAGAATATGCAGCTGAAGCCGAGGATGAACCGAATGAAGTAGACCTGCACTGGCTGAATGGAGCTGTAGCTGAGATAATCCTGGGCAATTATTCTAAGGCCATGGAGGTGATCAATCAAGGCATGATATACAGTAAGGATAGTCATGAAGACATTACAGCTTTGCTGGAACTAAAGAATATTGTGGCACGTCTGCGACTCAAATGCGAAACGCCAGAACAGCTAATTGGTCCCACTCACAAATCTGCTGCGCTTCCCAATAGATTCAGTGTGTATATGCTCGATCTGGTGCAAAAGGTTTTGCGCTGTCGAAATCATTACGAGGTGCTGCGCATTTCCCATCACGCTACCTACTCGGAGGTGAAGCGTGCCTACAAACGTCTCGCATTGCGCCTGCATCCTGACAAGAATCATGCTCCAGGCGCGGGGATAGCATTTCGACGCATTAACGAGGCAGCGGACACATTGACCGACAGTCAGCGACGCATTGAGTATAATTTGCTGACAGTTGTGGGTGATTGTGGCATGAACAAGAGCTCTTATAATGTAAACCAGGTCCACGACCAAGGACAGGCGCAGTCACGCAAATATCAGCCTGCAAATCAGCGTGTGCCTCAACGTCAAAGCCTATATCAGACCGAACAGCTTGTCATTGGACTAGTCGCAGCTTTGGTTTTTATTATAATTACTCTACACTACTTGGCCTCAGCGCCCAATTACAGCTTTTCTCCCACCAGGTAAGTCTATAGAAAGTATTCCCGTACCGATCATAGCTAATATATGTTCTGATCCTTTGCAGCAGCCACAGCGTTCGCATGACCAGTCGGCTTAGCCGTGTGCCCTTCTTTATAAGTCCCAAATTGGCCGAAAGCCAAACGCCAAAGCAGTTGCAACTCTTAGAGCAAGAGGTCGATGACGTCTACGTTACTGGGCTGAAACACAATTGCAAACAGGAACGCAAGCTACGTGAGTTGCCGAACCATTTATCTATTTATATTAGATTTCATTCAATGCATTATTGTTTTTGCAGGCACCAAGCTGCTGCAGCGAGCTCGACACATCAACAATCGCAATTTACATGAGCATGCATTGAAGATGCCTACACCTGCCTGCCACGCTCTCGTTCAGGTGGATCAGAAAAAATACAAGCTATTAGATCACAACAATGAAATTTCAAATGAATTCTTGAATTGAAGCAAAATTCGAAAAAGTAATACCACAAAAAGCATAGACATACAATCGGGAAATTGCAAAAACAAATTTTATGTATTTATTATTTTCATGTGGTATATATATCTATGGTAATATGCATATATAAATATATGTATATATATATATAAATATATATATATATATATAAATAATTATATATATATATATGTATATGTATATGTATATATATATATATATATCTATCTATAGTTTTTAAGATTGTATTGTATTAATAAAATATAAATTTTTAATATATTACGTAATATATATATATAAATTAGATAATTAATATAATATATATTTTGAATGTGTTTTAGCTTCATGTATATATCTTTGTTGTCTATATAGCTAGAAGCAAAATTCTTTTCAGTAATATTCGCCTATGTTAGGACAATATAACATTTTGGAGCTATTAAGCATAGGAGCCAAATTGTCAATATAATTTAGAAAAGTTAAGTATAGAAAACTCTTGTAGTATATTAAGTTTGATTACTATAATCTGTTTATCGTTTATCCTTTTAATTTCCTCGTATTTTTTATGTGTCGCTATTTGTCTCTTCGTTGCGTTGCCGTCCTTTGCGATTTCAATTATTCGAACTAGCTTATCAGGTTTGGAGCTAGATATTGTCGTTTCTATAAGTGTTAAATGACGAGTTGTTTGTTTATCATCTGCGATTCTGATGATTATATCTTTAAGTAAGCCTTAGGCTCTTTAAAGTGCTGTTGTCCTCTGCGATTCTCATTAACACAAGTATTTTATTTATATTACAAGTATTTTACGCACTGATATTTCTCACGTATGAGTATACACCTGTCTGTCATCTCATTATACCAACAATGTGTAACCTACTGAATAATTCATATAAAAGTTTGTTGTAAGGTCACAGCTGTGTGTTGATGGCATTAAATATTGAGCACAAACTGTTGTTGCCCTTAAGAACTGATGAGTTAGCTGAAAGAGAAATGAAATACAAGACAAATGAGAATCGATTATAATTTAATGATGCGGTTGCTATGATCGCCCATTTTATTGTCCTGTGTTACGTCTAACCCAGTTTTTTGTTCAGATTGGCACGAAAATGCAAAGTAAATAGGCACAGAAAAAAAAAGAAATGAAAATAAGAGATAGCTCCAAAGCAATTGCCCCACAATTGTTCCAGCCAAGGCAGAGAAGCTAACGAACTTGGAGGCGTGCTCTGAATAACTGAACAGTGAATAGTCGTGAATAGTGAATGCCAACGGGTACCAGTCACAGCTAAATCAAGGCACGCAAAAGGAACCAGACAGCAACAACAACTTTCAGTCACATGAAAGCAGTCAAGCGAAGTCAGAGTCGGGGGCAGGGCTTCCAGCCAGGCGGAAGTGCTGCCTGCTGCACCTGCTTGCATCACGTCTGTCACACGAAACGGTGGCAACTGTCCAAATGCAATTGCAATTGCAATTGCAATGCAACAATTTCTCTCAATGCTCCGCATTCAGTTTATTGGGCTGCATATAAAGGGTAACACATTTTTCTATGTGTGTGGCAAATGACGCCCTCCTTCCACTCCGCCCCAAAAACAACAGTCGCCACAATTTCTATACCACATGCTTGTGCAGCACTTGATATGCACTTTTTTTGTTTGGCAACCGAAATGGATCACCAGTCGGGTGTATTAAGTTCTCAAAATTCATTTAGCTGGTAGCAGGCGGGAACAATACAAACATTTATGAAATAGCTATATGTCTACGCTCCTAACACAACTGAAAAGCACGATAGGAAAGTTTAAGTATTCTGAAAACTCGAAAACTTAATAGACTTAGTAATTAAAAGCTTTGGCATCTTGTTTCATTTTTGCTGTTGTTTAGATAATTTAAATCTTCACATATTTGATGATTGATTGATGTCTTAGAAATTAGAATCAACCAATGTACATTGTATTGCATACCTGAGCCTTAATTTCTAATGTATATATTGGGTATCTACTTTTAACCAATTCTAAGTTAATTAAACGTTTTTAAATTTTCATCTATCAATTATATATCACATATATTCGGTTGCTTGTCTTTCATACCTGTTTGTTGCATTCACATTTAACATTTATTATTCAGCTATCAGTGCATGGTTTACAACTTTATCAGTAAGTGCAGGATATCTGCCTGGTATGCCTACCCACCACATCTATCCTGCATTCACATTGACTGTTTTATCCCACTGTTTATTCATTATTTATGCTCCACAAAGCTCGCTGAATGCCCTTTCTATGCGCTTTTGCGAAACGGAGGTTGTTGTCGCCCACTTTTATGTAGTTTGTTGTTGTTGCCGTTGGAACTTTTTCAACTTGACTACGGTTCGGTTCGCAGCATGACCCTTGCCCTTCGCTTAGCTTAGCTAGGATGGAAAAAAAGCTTATCAGAATAGCATTAGGCGGTGTTTTCAGCCATGTGTTTATTTGTTTTTTCTTCATTTTTTACTGTGTGCATTGCCCTAGCTTGGACCAAGGGATAATCACTTGTTGAGAGCAGCATGTGCTTTACTGCTCTCTCAGTGGGGACACTGCTGTTAATTCCTTGAAGGGGACTTACGTTCAGTCACGTCAATGTGTATGCTGAGGTTTATGAGGCGGAAAAAGCGGAGAAATGGAATTGAAAGCTACAGAGCAAACATTGGAGATGTGTACCAAAGGCATTTAAGGCAAGCGATGCATAAGAGCTTAATTTTCTGAATAAATTTCATCTTAAATTTACTTGAAATAAAGTAATTCGTGCTAAAAGACTCGAAATTAAGCATAAATTATTTTATTTTTAGATATGCCATAAACGAACTAGTAAAATTGGTAAATTACCAAATTAAGTGCATATTAAATAATAATATAAGTAATACAACTCATTATTACTGCGCTGCAAATCAAAATAATTTTTAGTTGCTACTCTTCTCTGTGATTCTCATAAAGTGCAAAAAGGCTTTGGGGTTTGCTTGCATAAAATTATTGTATTTTATTGTCCTCTGCGATTCTCGTGAGTTCAATTAAGGGCTACAGGTTTTTATTTGCCTTACTCTCATACATATATTTTTGCTATACTTTTTAAAATAATATGTTTACATAACAATATATTTAATGCTATAAGCAGAGCATTTCATATTCGTTATGCGTTTTATTCTTTGTTTTCTCCCTTTTTTGGCATTGTTTTTGTTGCCAGCTGTGCTCCTGGAGAATTTATGCAAATTGACTGTTTGTCTGTTGCCTAGAGCAATTCTCAAGCTCTCAATCCTTCTCTCTCTACTTCTCTGTCGCTCCCTCTCTCTCTCTCTGGAAAGAAAATGAGCATTTAATGGGCAACACGCTTTAAGCATTTCCGGCGGGCTGACAATTCGCAAATAAATGAATGGTATTACATTAGTTACTTTTCTGTCTCTTTTTTGTGGATAGGCTCTGCGGCCAATAACCGGAATTCTTAGCAATAAATTTGATAGGGCAAACAATAGAAAGGATATGCCGTAATTTGCCTTAATTGTGTCGCCCACACACACAGATACACACGCACAAATAAAAATAGATAAAAGACAGCTCGTAATATTTACTGCATATCTAGTTTAATTTAATGGAATGATTTCCTCTTTTCTGCCACTTTTAGCCGAAATAGACGAGCTCATTGAGCAGCTGAAGTCGACAAGCGTTAGCCTGGACAATACAACGACGACGCTGCTCTGCGAAATCTCATCCACAAAGGATCCCAAATTATTTGACAAACATGAGCTGGCCGAATGCTTCCTTCGTCTGACACAATGTGAGGATACGAATGTGCGCAAGGAGGCTGCGAAATGCATTGCCGAGATAACCAAATCGGAGGTGCAACGCAAAAAGTTCACCAAACGCGATATCATCGCCGCCTTCCTCGAGTGCCTGCGTCATGTCCCAGCAGCCGATGGCAGCATGGAACTGCCTATCCAAATATGCCGAGCACTGGGCAACATTTGCTATTTAAATGATGAGGCACGGGACCTTATACTGGAGCTGCAGGGCGATACGGTTCTGTTGCGTTTGTTGGACATCGCGGACATTAAAGACGCAGTCAATGCGCCACAGTTCATCAAAGTGAGGGGAGGCTTGCTGTCCAATTACTTGCTAGGCGGCGAGGGTCTCGCCAAGCGTGCCATGGAACTGGGCATTATGCAGCAGCTACAACGCATTGTCGACACAGGCGCCAGCAATGTGGAACAGCACGAGGATTTGCTGCTTAACACACTGCCTTTGCTCAGCATACTCACCGAAAATGTGGCCGATCTCAACTTTGACTCCCATTTGAATATCAAATTGTCTCGCATCTTAGCTGCTTCCACTAATCCTGATCTGGCCGAGATGTGCTTGGAGCTGTTGCATTATCAAGCGGAAAGCGATGAGGTTAAGCTGTTGCTCGCCAAGGATGGCCTGTGCGAGACAATCTATAATTTGCTTGAGAAATATAAGACGCTGGCCAGCACAAGTGAGGCACGCGCACTAATGAAGCTGGCATGCGAACTTATTGTGCTCATTCTAACGGGCGGTAAGTGGCAGTTACTCAATTAAGAAAAATTGCTTTACTTTATTGGTAATCCTTCGTAGATGAATCCATGCATTACTTGTACACGACGCCACTGCTTAAGAATATGGTCGATTGGCTGGACTCAACGGATATAGATTTGCTAACCACCGGTGTCTTGGCTCTTGGCAACTTTGCTCGCACTGATAGCCATTGCATTTACTTTGTAGAACAGCAAACGATGAACAAACTGCTCCAGGTACTTGCCAAAAATAATGGTGTCAAGGACGATGTGCGTCTGCAGCATGCGTTGCTTAGTGCTTTACGCAATCTGGTCATACCAAAGCCAAATAAAAATGCGGTCATTCAAGCGGGTCTGGTGCAGACCATATTGCCCATGCTGGAAATCCATCAGCCACCGGTGGTATTCAAGCTGCTCGGCACGTTGCGCATGACTGTAGATGGTCAGGGTAAGTCTTACCATGTTGATCAAGCTACAAACAACTCTCTATAACTCTGTTTTCATATTTCGCAGAAAAACTGGCATTGGAGCTGTT